GTAATTGGTGGCTACTTTTGTCGGTAATCGTTGGCCTCTACACCCCCCCCCCACCCCCACTGAAAAAGGTCTAGCGACGCCCCTGACTACTACTACAAAAGAAAAAGGAAATCAAACAGAAATAGATAAATAAAATAAAATCAAATCAAATCAAATCAAACCTTAGATCAGTTGCGTATAAAAGCGGGGTGAAGAGGTGCATGCGCCCAGGACGCGGCACTAGACGAAAGAGAAATAGAATCAGGCCACGGGGGGCACGGGGGCACGTGCCCCCTCCCCCCCCCCCCCCCCAAAAAAAAAAATCCAAGATCGATTGATCATTGTGTAGACCCCTCCCCCAGGACGTTTATCAATTACATGTATGTGCCCCCCCCCAAAAAAAAAAAAAAAACCCATCAAACTCTGGCTACAGCCCTGAATAGAAGAGAAGGTAGAGACGGTATAGTTCCTAAAGGATTATGAATTCTGCGCCCTAATCATAAGTAAAGTCCATATTTAAAAGCGAAACTCCTCTTAAGCTCCGATCATCCCACCACTCCTCGGTACGGATTTACGCCCCTGGTTTCAGGCAAAGCTATTATACTTATTTAGAGCGTTTGGCACATAATTAATTATCGTATCATTTTTCGTTTTAGTGTGGCTTTCAAGGAATAGAGGGTTGAACAAGATTTGATGTTGTCAGGAAAACATTTTACAGATATTCCAATGACCCCTCTGATTATTACAAGATCTCCACTGGATTTTCTTTACAATTGAAACTCTGCCTCTTTTTTGACAAACTATTGAACAATACAGCCCCTTCATACCTTGGTGACATAATTGCTATTATACTTGAGGCGACCATCGTACCATAGGAAAAATACCTGATGAACCCAATTTACATTGATTTGATGGAAGAATTTAAAAAAATGTAACAAGGGGTTCAAATAAAAACAGCCAAGAGCCACCAAGAGCAGAGCCGAAAACAACTAAAAAACCAACCCGAAAAACACACCATAAACAAATTTAGAAGCTGCCTATAGAGACTCCCAAAAAGGTCATTCAAGGTTTTTAAGACCATTTCACTACTTCCATTCGGTCAAACCTGTCTTAGTGGTCATCTCTCTTTACAGGCCATTTGTCTATAAAGGTCATCCATATTGCCTCTTTTTAGAAGGAAATGCTTATTGAAGAACATGTCTAAAGGCCACCCGTGTACAGTGGCCACTTTTATATTTCCCATGGGTTTCCTTAAGGGGTACGACTAATGTCCATTAAAAAAGCTCAAATCCTCAAGCGTGAAACCCAAGTAAATAGCTTGCCTTCTACACCGGCAGAAATGAAGAGAAAAAATACATGTATTACAAGGCAAGCCATTATATGTTTGTGTTAAGTCACACGGTATTGAATTGTATCTATAACAAAAAAATACGCATCAATTTAAGTACTGCCAGAATAAAGAACAGAAATACACAACAATATGCAGTATTCATTTTTCATAATAACCATCTAAATATACAACAATGTGACAGAAAAAAAATTACAAAATCACAAAATGCTATTATAAATGCAGTCAAACCTGTTTTAGTGGACATCATGCTATAAAGGCCACCTATCTACAGTGGCCACATTTTGTGCTTTGTTGGGTAGCCTTAACAGAGGGGGTTGACTGAACATGTATACATTGCTTGAAGCCAACTGATATTGCAAAAGATCTGGGCCCTGTTTCATAAAACTTGTTCTCAATTACAAATGCTTTAATTCTATGACAAGTTTGCTTGCAGCCAATCAAATGCAACGATTTCAGAAGATTATAACTGTTATTGTAACTTGTTATTTAATTACTAGTTTCACGAAACGGGGTCCTTTTCTACGATGTCTCTGCCATCTTGTAAATGAGCTGACTTACAAATGTAGCAGTACAATTAAATAGGGTCCTAATATTTATAAACATAACTTTCATTACCAAGATAACATATAGTCTGTTTAGAGCCAGAAAAGCGTTAACTTCAAACCTCTTGACAAAGACCTGAGGCTACGCATGAACATGCAAGCCGAGAAGCCTGTTCAATGTACCGAATCGGGCTGGCCAGAAAATACACACAAAACGGTCAAATGATTTTATGTAGACAGCAAAATGCGAAAAATTGAACAGCGTCAAATTTTGTTCCTTCTCTTTTCTGCTTCCATTTAAAATTGTTAATACAACTTGAATTCGGCGTAAATATTCATAATTGAATGACACACTCCTTTAAGACTAAAACAACAACAACAACCATGTGGCTATCAAAGAGAACACGATCCTCTCATCAGGGGCTCACTTGGACGCAAGGCTGTTAACCGCTTTTAATGCTGCATCTCATGACACCCAGATAAAAGAGTACATTTGCAATGTTTACGCCCACAGAACTGCCTCTTAATTGTCATTCATTTAATATACAGGATGTTTCGCCACGACTGTTTTTGAGGAGGCCTATTATGCCTCGTGTGAATGGGGCCTTACTCATAATACCCCGGGAAGAAGTAGCTAGAGCTAGAGCTTCTTTGTAAGCATGGTGACGAGGGCTGGCATCTGCTTATGCCTGCCGGAGGAAGACTCGAAAGCTCGTGCTACTTTGGCATTGACCTGGATGGATGGAAGAAGAAAAAGAAGCACAATTACTATGTACCTGTCTGATACGATATCGGGAAGTAAAATCTAAAAGATACATAACTCCACCATCTTCCAAGAGAACCGCCCCAGAAGGAAAGCTCATAATCACAAATTTCCTTTACCCACTCATTCTCCAAGGCGTGAAGGAAAGCATGGGCATTTATCACATAGGCCATTGACTCTCAGTTAATACACCTTCTTCTTTTTTTAGGGGGGATAGGCTTACACAGTGTAGTGTTATTCATAATTGTACTCGTTAAAGAAGCTTTCTTTGCAGTATTAGTAAGTCGTTAAAATGGGACAAAAAGGACATTTAGATTCTGTACGACGAGAACGTGGACTGCCCTTTTAAGGCAATGTGACGTCACTGCCAGTGCCTTAAAAGGACGTCACATTGCCTTAAAAGGGCAGTCCACGTTCTCGTCGTGCAGAATCTAAAAGTCCCTATTGAGCATCCACTTCATCAAGATTATTGCTCTTAAGATCTTAAAAATTGGAAAAACAAATAATTACCATGGTGATCATCGAAAGAAGATCTTCCTCTTTCCCATACTGTAGGATAGTTTCTGTCAGAGCTTGGATGAACCAGCTCCCTCTCTCAGAGTTCGTCCACGACACAAATCCTGTGAAAAAAAAGCATGTCAATATGTCAAGATAACTGAATGGTTTGATATCATAACTGGGGTGAGACAAGGCTGCCGCCTCTCTCCAAGTCTCTTCAATCTATTCCTGGAATATGTGATGAAGAACATCCAACAACTAAATAGTGGAATACAGATGGGTGACATGCGTATTAAAAACATCAGATATATTATGCAGATGACACCACCCTCATGGAAATCGTATTTAAAAACCTCCAAATCTCAACAAATGAACTGGAAAGGCATGTAGAGGATGGGGAATGAAAATCAATGCTACAAAATGCAAAGTCATGACAGAGGATCAACAATATATTTTACTTAACAATACCAACATTGAGAAAGTGGATAATTTTTAAATTTTTTTTCTCGGCAGCACAGTTCCTTCCAAAGAAGATGACGTGAAGAGACGAACAAGACTGGCTTCTTGGGCATTCGGAAGGCTGAAAAGTGCCATCTGGTCCAGCCAAGATATTTATAGGAGACTAAAAGTCAGGATCTACGAAGCCCTTATACTCCTTATTGCCACATACGGGGTAAGAGGACACTTTTTTCCCCCTTTGGTCTCGAAATTTGAAAAATTGACATTTTGTCCAGTTGGGGGGGGGGGTTAAGGTCACCTTTTCAAGGACAGCCATTGGCAATTTTGCTTTTGTTTTTTTATTTAAAAAAAAAAAAAAATCTCAAAAAGGGGGGGGGGGGTTTCCAAAATAGCATACATAAAACATACATATAAAAAAAACCGAGGGGGGGTTAACCCCCCCCCCCCCCCCCCCCCCCCCCTGCGTACGCGCCTGGTCATATACATGTATATTGATATCGCTATGGGAGTTGAAATGCCACATATCAGCCTGGCAAATATATAGACTATGTTGTCCTGACTCCTTACTGAAAGGAGCAAGCGGAATATTCATTTTTGTAGCACTGATGTATTTCTATAACTCTTTATTTTGTAAACATACAGTACGTGTAAATTGTGCTCACGTGATATCAACGGAATCTAGATTTTCTACAATTTTTAGTTGTACATTTTAAAGGATATTATGCAAGGGGAGGTTTAACGATCGAGTGAGAAGATTTTTGCATTTTTATTAGTCTAAACGCTGTAGTCTTGGGCCCTGTAGAGCCTAAAAGGGTGTTGCAATCTTAAGTCAGTATGTGCTATACATTTTTAGTTGTTGCACCTTTCACATTTTCCGGGGGGGGGGGGGACGATCACCCCTAAAACAAATAGGGGGGACATGTACCCCAGTCCCCCGCGATCGCCGCGCCCCTGACTCTCCGTAAATCGGATAGAAATAAGCTTGAGGCATTTGGCATGTGGTGACTCCGATCCGGACCCTCCTTGGAGTTCACCTAATCAGGCAGAGGCTGAACATTCCAAGCACCATATTTTGCGAAGAAATAACCAAACGTCGCTTGAAATGGTTTGACCATGTTGTACGACAAGAAAAGCGGTCTTCGTGTAGGTCTACACGTTTCAATGGAACGCTGTGCACAGGACACCGACCTAATTGAGCGTTCGCCGTACAGCGATTTAGGTCAAAAATCAAAGCCGCTCAGAGGTCAAATGTTGCTGACCGATTTTGAACTCGCCGCCTAGTGACCGACTGATCTCCCAGCGGCGACTGTGGGCGGCCTGGGCTGCGACCGGGCGGCGAACGCCCACAGTTGCATATGCTAGGAGCATGTCGCTTTGACTGGGCACCTTACTACGACTGGATGCAAAGCTATCGGTGATCTAAATCCATTTTAAGCAGCATCTTGGCCAGCTGATCTTCATCAATCTGTGCATCGACCTGAGGTTTGACCTGAGCCTTGGCCCGAGCGTCACATGCGGCTCCATCAAATACAGCAGTACCGTCTGTTGCTTCTATACCCCACTGTCGAATCTCTCTGGCACAAAATAAGAGTTTAAAAATGTATCTTAACCTATGTGGCCTCCATCGACCTCCTAGTGATACAAGTTGATTCAGTCTAATGAGCCGGAAAAGAGACTCTATTATGTTTGAGTCCCAAATATGCTATAAAGCCTGTGTTGAGAGGTGACAGGCCCTAACGTACGACTGGCATCCATGCTGTTGGATTGGGGGACCGGGGAAGATTGTGTTTCCATGCAGACACTTAATTGAAGTAAAACTGGATCTTTTGCCATTGGATTGAATGCAGGGCTCCATACTAACTTTCTTGGAAGGGGGTCAAGAAAGAATTTGTTACGGTCTGTGTATGTAAAACAAAAAATCCAAACTTTGGGGGTCCGAACTTCGATTTTCAGCGCCTATGTGTCCCGGGCGCTCACATCACTTAAAGGAATTCCTTCCTACCGGTACCCATTTAACACCTGGGTGGAGAGTGGAAAATGCAGATCAATGTCTTGCCAAAGGACATTAGTGCCGCAGTACAATGTAATGGGATTAGGTCTAAGGGTCAGTGTTATAGGGTTGAGGTTAGTGTTACTTGTGTGGAAGGGTAGTCCTGCAGGTGTAATTCCACTTCTTTTATCATTCATAATGGTGTATTAAAAAAATTAAAGGTAAATTATCCTTCGCTTCTATTTGCTGCTTCTTTATCATTACTTCTATTTGCCGTGTAAAATGCAGGAATGTACATGAATCAGTATGTTTCTGGCCACTGCAGTGGTCACAACAGTGTTACAAACGGTGTCTTCGCAGTTATGAAACATCAAGGTGTTACACCTGTATTAAGGAACTGAATTTAAAATTTAAAATCGGCATACAGAAAATCTCATTAAACATATGTTTTTAGGCTAATTAAATCTAAATAGAAATTAGTATTCAAAAGTTATGTATCATTTACATCTGGTTCTGTAAAACTCAAATTCATGGAATTTGTATGCAGGCATAAAAATCTACTAAGTAACTTAAATATACTCAATTCAATGCTGCCGGTGTCATAGGCGATTTGTTCCGTGCAGGCGATCGGTTCCTCCGGAACCGATCGCCTGGGTATGTACCCGTCGATTTGTTCCGGATTCGTAGATTCGTTCCGCTAGTCACAGGCGATCGGTTCCGGCCAGGCGATTCATTCCGTGGAACCAATCGGCAGGATATTTAGCCGCCGATCCGTTCCGAATCTCATCGGAGAGCGTGCGTGCTCACGTATTATTGAATACACGCCATGGTACGTACACCCCTAAAGCAAAATGAACTATTCTGGTCGGCCTTTGCAACCAATCAAACTTCTCCAAATTAGCTACACCAACGATTGCCAATTTGAGAACTTTGTATAGAAATGCAGATTCCCGTTGTTCAAATATGTTGATAATTGCGGCCAATGACTGACCACAAACAGTAACTATAGACAGCGCCGTCGCGAAGCGACGGGGACTGGGTGGTCTACCAAAAGGGCAGTTGTTGCCATAGGCTTAGTTTGCCTGTAAAAGCAGATGTCGGGGTGTTTTCTAATCAGGCCTTCTAATTTGGTTTGAATGCTGCTTTATATGATATCGTGTTACGTCAACCACCTATTACCGGGCTTCATCACAGAAACTAATTATGCATGTGGGCTGCATGCATGATGTACATGTAGTTTAAATAAAAGAGATGCGGGGTGGGGTGGGGGGGGGCGGGGTCAACACAAAAAGAAATGAGTGGTCGAGCTGATAATTAAGAAGGACCAATACAAAAAAAAAAAAAAAGAAGAAAAGAAGAGAAAGAAAATTCCTCAAGTAAAAGACGTGTCCGGCAGAATAAAAAAAAAAAGAAATAAAAGAAAAACCCGACATATTTTGTTGAATTTTCAACCCTTGGTACTAGCCGACAAAAGTTAGTGTTAAACAGAGCCATAGCATAGTGTGTCTATACCCCCCCCCCCCCCATTCCGCTACATACAGTGGCAGATCTGTTGCGCCCCCTTGTTTGGAAACCACTAATTTCACGTACATTTTCACGTACATGTAGGCCTAATATCAGAAAACTATCGCCTGCCCCCCCCCCCCCGTTTTTCAAATTTTCGGGCTGCGCCCGGCCCCTATTTCGAATCCTGGATCCGCCGCTGTACTGCGCACCCTTTCCTTACTTATTCCAAGTGCCATTTTAATATCAATTGTCACAGTTGCTACGTGCACCTTATACTTTGACAAAGTGGCTCCTGTACCTTTTATGCATTTCCCTTGTAAGCATGCCCTTTGAATCTGTGATGGGTGTCCCATCTGTAAGTTACACTTTTTTTTCTTTCCCTTTTTTAAAAAATTAGAATACTTCAGTCTCAGAAACGCCTCATTCTCTGAAATTTCAGATAATTTTCTCATTGCCCATGTAACTGGCCTGCATGGAGTGGTTATCTTTATTCTCATGTGCTTTCGATGTAGAAACTGTGAAGCCAGTCAGTGTGGTGTAAGGAAATACTTGTGATTAACTGATCATCCATACACAATTAAAAAAAGAAACCATGAGCCTGCATGCATGTAACGCAGCAAAAAGAAAAAAAAAGGGAAAAAAAGGGGGATATGGGACAGCGTAACAAGGGTTGCGTTAGTGGGGGGGGGGGGGGCAGGGGGGAAATTTAAATTTTATTTCAAAGGGTCCCAAATGAGAGGTGGTTTTATAAGGGGGAAGGTACCTAAGAGGGACATGTGAAAGGGGAGATGTGAAGGAATTTAGGAACATGTACTCTATGCGCATATACTAGTCAGTAGGTTATTTATTTATTTATTTTTCGTACCGCGCGCGGGTAATTCCGTACGAGGTTATAAACCTTATTATTAAGTAATATTTCAAAAAAAAATAATATTGGTTTTCATTCCAACAATAAATACAAAAGTATCAAGATAAAGCTAAAAATTATTTTTACCATGTTTATTCAACACAAGTAATAAAAAAATATACGCGATTATATAAGCAGAAACGTTCGGCCAATGTCGGATAAGAACGGCGGCTTTCGAACGTATCTGCGAACGAGTCGATCCAGTAGATTCGTTCCGCGGAACAAATCGCCTACCACACCGGCTCAAAACCCCGTGGCCGACCTTTCAAAACCTGACCGGAATTGCTTTAAAAGAAAGAAGATATGACAGCATCTGGCCTAGCAAAGGCAGATGCTTAAGACCAAAGGGCTTGGAGAAGGGCCACCGAGGGCCACATGGGAAATGAAACGTCCAACTCAACAACATAAGAAAAAACAGACACTAAAACATGAAAATGGTGATATAAGTGTGACTTGCTCCCTCGACATGCTTGTAAGAAGAAGAGCTTGGGCTTTCCATTCAAAGTCGGGCATCGATCAGAACAAAAGGGACCAACTATAAGTCTATCTTCACCAGACACGTGCCATAAACGGAGCCCTCTTCCCCATGGGTGAGTATATGGCGAAAATGAAGCAGTCAAACTTGGAGTGGTTGTATATTCTTACTAGTTCAATCTTCTGCTGGATATCCTACAAATTTTTATGAAATAATAAGAACAATTACACCTTTTGTCTCTGAACCACAACGGAACTACACATGAATTTTGACATGCTAAAAACAAGGGCGGGGGGGGGGGGGGGAGGGGGGTCTGTAGGAGGGGAGGTATTCCTTACATCTGCATTACAAACTACTGTTGTACCGTGGACCTACTGGTTGTACCATACATGCTCTGCTGACAAGTGATCCATGTTCAATATCATTCTACATTAACCAAACACTCAAGGTCAAAAGAGACAGTGGAATTATCAAATATTTTGACAAGTTCTTATGAAAAATATAGTATCAACGTAGATTTCAACAGAAGGCCATGTTGATGATGCTCTTAAGAATCGCACACGTGCTCACCCTTCCTGTGAGATCATTGTGTACAATTAGATTGAAGCCAAGCTGTTTGAAGACATTCTCTAAGTTGCGACAGTCTACGTCCGTTCCTGTCCTCTCCTTCATGGTGTTGAAATTTTTGTTGTTGATAATGAGTGCCATACCTCTAGGTCTAGATTTCATTTTGTAGACCTATGGGAGAAAACATTCAATACGTTCAATACACTGGTAAATGTAATGCACTTATTAAATTTGAGATCTTGATGACAATTTGGCATGTAATTGTTTAGAGATAATTAAAGTTGAATTCTGGTCATGCAATAGCATTATGAAGGAAACTGTCTGGAAGTGATATGGAAAAAGTTGATGATGCATATAGTGTAAAAAGAATATGTGTACAACGTGAGGTTTTGGAATCAAGATAATGATAAGAAATTGACAAGTTTTTTTTCCATACGAAATGTGACTTTTTATCCGCTGTGACGACTTCGAGACAGACTTCAAGTATAATACTTGTATTTTCTGGAAGTTTCACTTTCCTATAATATCAGTTAGAGAAATCAGAGGTTTAACATTTTCGGGCAAACTAAATTCAAACAATGATTAAGAATCAAGAACGGTACAATGAATCATCCTCTTTCTCTAATATTTTAATGAAACGCCAAAGCTTCCGCGCTTCGCGCGGTTGCGGGAAACTTCATTCAGACAAGGGTTAAGAGTCGAGAACGGTACAACGAATCGTCTTCTTTCTCTAATAATCTAATGAAACGTCAAAGCTTCAGAGTTTCGCACGGGAGGGGGGAACTGAATTCAGACAAGGATTAAGAGTCGTAAACAGTACAACGAATCGTCTTCTCTGTGTAATAATTAAATGAAACGTCAAAGCTTCTGCGCCGCGGGAGAAGGAAACTAAATTCAGACGAGGATTAAAGGGGAAGTCCACCCTGAAATTAAGTTAGTTTTAATAGGAGTAGAAAAATGAGAGAAACAAGTCAGTGAAAGTTTGAGCAAATTCCGATTAAAAATAAGGAAGTTAGGATTTTTGAAGTTGTGATCAATCAAACACAAATTGGCAACTCTATGACGTATCATGCGAGCTCAACTTCCATTTGCTCAGTACTAAAAAAATCTAAAATTTTCATTTTCCCTCAAGAAAAATTTCAACCATACATGCACCCTAAATATAATAATTGCAAATATGTTTCTATACTCCCCTGCAAGGAACAAATATATACTCCGTCATCAATAACGAAGAAAACATGATTTTATGGAATATTATGCACAAAGCAAATGAAGGAGAGCTCGTATAATAAGTCACAGAGTTGCCAATTTGTATTTGATTGATCACAACTTCAATAATTCATAACTTTCTATTTTCATTCAGAATTTGCTCAAACTTTCACTCACCTGATTTTCTATTATTCTGCCTCTATCGAAACAAACTTATTTTGGGGGTGGACTTTCCCTTTAAGAGTAAAGAACGGTACAACGAATCGTCTTCTTTCTCTAATAATTTAATGAAACGTCTTTGTGAATATATAATAAAGTTAATGATGCATAATATGAATTAAGATATATATAATATGTTATGTATTTGGGGGTATTTTTGTAGCGAAGTAAACGTGCTGTTAGCACTGGCAATATCTTAGAGTTTATAGTTTTACTTAGGCTTTTGTCGTTGTTGAAATCTTGCCTTCAAGTTTACCGTGACTTTTGACTTTTGACTTGTTGTACGTGTGTGTCGTTTGCTGAGAAGAACATTTCTTATATAACTTGTAAGATATTCTTTTTTTGTACTGTATTACTTGTAAAATATCTTTACGTTTCTGTGATACATTATGTAAGGACAATGATTAGGGAGAATTCCATCCACTTACAAGATCACTATCCACCATAGTTTGCGGATACGAGCCTGAGGCATCCATTTGAGTTGAGCTGTAGTCACCACTGCTACCTCTGGCAGGCCAAACTAAATAAAGATGAAAATAATAACATGATCAATAATAGGCAAAGTTCATGGGGTATGGTCAGTCATCCTCCCATATGGGTGTGTTTATTGTTGTTTAAAGCGTTCCATGTCCTACATGGTAGAGAAAAATGTGAAGCCTGTTTGAACCGCAAGGAAAAAATAAGTAAAAACTTCTTTTATTATGCAGTTTACTAGTTAAAAACCGACCAAAGCTCACTATATCAAATATTATGTGGGGAGAAGAAGAAGAAGGAGAAGAAGATGAAGAATGAGAAAAAGAAGGAGAAGAAAAAGAAGTAGAAGAAATAGTAGTAGAAGAAGAAGAGGAAGAAAAAGAAGAGACTTTGATATGCCTAATACAAGAAAAATGGTTGAATAATCTTATTAACAGTGTTCTTATCTAATCATTTATTCTTGTTGTCTAATTTAAGTATAAATCAATCCAGAACTTTAAAGTTTTAATCTATGAATTACCCTCGGGCACTTGCTGGGTTGGTTGACCAAATGGAGCCGGTCTGTTCACATGAGCTGTCTTAGCCTGTGCCTGGCCCATCCGGCCCTGTGAAGGTCCAGACGCTGAGTATCCTAGCAACTTTGCTAAATGTTTTTGGTTTGCCTCGATCAGGGACTCTATTAGGCTAGTGAAGGCCCTGGGACCCCTCGTCTCTATGTCCATTAAGAGCGCCATATTCTTCTCTTTCTTGCTGGGCTTTGACTGTGATATTCAATATTAGTTAAAGAAAATTGTTGAAATTATTTCTTTATTACAAAAAATTGGAAAAACATTTATACATGAATTATGTCCAAAAAAATACTAACAGAATGTCTTTAATTTTACCTTTCACCTTTATCTCAACATCAAACGGAAAGTTGGCATCCAAATTAATTGGGACTATTAAAGTTGTTTTGTGGTACAAATTCAACAACGAAAAGCACAGGTGATCGGTATATACCTACTTTAAAACATCTTTGAGTGAACTTATTATCTCATTATCATCAAACGTGGAGTTGGCAAACAACAAATAACTGTGATTTTTCAACGTTATTCTAAAGTATAAATTGAATTATGAAAAGCACAACAAATACCTTTAACTCTATAACAATGTATACTGCTAATGCAAACCCATAGAAGTATCTGTTATAAATTTTGCAAGATATGAATTTTTAAAGTTTTAATCGATCAAAGGCAATTTTGCAACTCTGAGCTGGCTGTACCTTTTGAGCATCTCTCCCAATATTGCTCTGAACTGAATTTTCATAAATTTCCATTTTCTTGGCTATTGGTGAGGAATTAGCTTCTATTCAGTCCTGTTACTATTTCATTGAGGCAAACTAGAAAATATTCTAGACAGAGAATGAAGATTCACGAACGTTTTATACAGGCGTTGCCAATATGTTTGATTGGTAAAATGAATGTTGTCGACATATGACATTCAACTTACGTCAAACTTATCTATGTGATGATTTTCAAAGATGCCTCGGGCAAGAAGGGCCGGGGTCACGCTTACAAAGTCCATGTCCTTTGAGAGGATTACCATGTTCCTCTTTATGTTTTTCTGTCGGCCTGCTCCATTCTCAGCCGATTCCTCGTACTTTGTCTGAATTCTATGAAAATCGGAGCAATGAAAATGGTATATGGGAAGGGTGAGTGATTATGCCTGGCGAAAGCTTAATTAAATACTCTGGACTTTTTAAAGATAGCTCTGGTGAAAATTTACAAGATTTTAAAAAAAAATGAATTGTTGCCCTGTAGATCTACTAGTTTATTCCCAAAAGAGCTCCTGTATTCTAAATGAAATGAAAAGTAGATCTATTTCATCCGGAAATTGGGGCAAAAAAAGAGAGATTTATTTGTATATTGTATTGTATGCTGCCATTTGTACTTTTCTTCTCCCTCCTCCTCCCCCTTCTCTCACTCCGTCCCCTCTTCTTCATCTTTTGCTCCTTATTCTCTTCCTCTTCGTATTATGCTACATTTTCTTCCTCTCCTCCTTCTATTCTTCTCCTTTTTGTAAAAAAAAAATGTAATCAGGAAAACGAAAAGTCCAGAATTATAATCGTGACTGTACAATCAATCAATCGGTCTTTGAATGATATCTTACAGCATAATAGACTACTCTTCTTAGCTAAACTAATCACCTTAAACTCATCACTTATGAAATAATAATTTTAAAAAGCATGTTTTATGATGTGGAGGACAAGCCTGGTGCTGGTCGCCTGTCACTATATACTCCCAGTATGATTTCCATTTGCCTAACGTACGCGATTTTTTTTATTTACACACGAGCGAAAAAGCGGAGGGTCAAAGTTAAATATTATGCTTAGTTTATGAGTTGCCTGCCTATAATACCACACACTACTACAAACTAAGCACATCTTGTCTATTCGAAATATTTCATCATAATACACAATATAACAGAGGTGTTTTTTTTATTTATCTTTAGCTCGTCGAACATATCGCGGTGTGTGCAGCTGAATATACCCCCATATACCATGGCGTCTTATTTTGTTTACAAGCGACAGCGGATTCCTTTATTTTTGTATCGCTGCATTTGTCATCAAAATAAAACCATGCGCGGGGTTTAGAGTGAGGCAAAAGATTATACATTTTATAGCCTGGCGGTAGTGAAGTAAGAGAAAGAACTCAAGAAAAGATGAAAAAACAGGCACTGAAAATGTGTAAGATGTCATGGGACATCGTCTGCTTGTGCAAAATCATGTCCATCCTTTGACCTCAAGCATCTAAGCAGCGTTCGGAGAGCTCTTCAGGTGCTATATGCCGGGGCTGTATTTAAGCATTTTGTAATTTATAATAATCATTACTTCGAATGTTATCAAGCATTGAATTTTGATAACCTTGTCGAATCAAAGTTTCAACTTTGCAATAATGAAAATAAAGTTAGTTTTTAAAATCAATGAATATCTACTTTAATGAATTCGCACGCTTTGCGTGCTCACTACCGCCCCCTAAAAGTTGACGAAATAAATCTTATATATTATGTCGTCGAGGAAAATGACCATGTGTATATATACGCAACTACTATAGATAGTTCATAGGAAAAATAATTTGGCCTTCGACCCGGGTTTATAGGGTAACATTTGTAGACATTGGGACATTTGTCGGTAATTGATGGCTAGTTTTGTCGGTAATCGGTGGCCTCTATACACCCCCCCCCCCCCACTGAAAAAGGTCGAGCGACGCCCCTGAGTATTTATACATTATACACTAGTAACATTAAAATTGCATATTGCAGAAATTATGTGCTATTGATATCAATTTTGCCATCTCTATGAGTTGTAATTATGTTTTTTTTTTAATTTTTATTTGCTTAAATACAATTTTCTGAGAGAGTAAGGCAATTGCATATTACAATTAGTAGACCTCGATCACCTCTTATAATTGCTCAATGTTAATTCACCACATGCACATCATGCACACATCCCAAGTGTATATCTCGCAAGACTCTTTGCAAGCGGTTTCATTATATTAGAATTAAAGGTGAAGTTCCATTCGCTTGCTTGTAAATTAAAAAAAAAAATGCCCGGGACACAGCCGGTACGCGTATTTTTTTTTTTACACGGCAGCCTGTGATTTTACCAAATACGATATGATTAGGTAGCTCGGCTTTTCTCCGAAACCTGTTCGAATTTAATAGACACGAGGAAAGAAAAACGTCCAACGATGATCCTCGTAAAAGTAATCTTGCCATGAAACAAATAATAAACAGAAGGATACGGATAACGTAGATTTTACTTACAAAATTGATGTCACAGTTATCTTCTTAGTAATAATACCGCCTTTGTGTGTGGAATATAATCGGGTCGGCAGTTACATGTCATATGCAGCTGCCGAAGGTCGATCACAATTCGCTTAATTAGGACGTTGTATAAACATTCATATCATTTATTCATATACTATTATTGCAACCTTTGTACACATGTTTTCCTCTACCAAACATCAATACGTTTTCTTTACTTAAGGTGTCATTTTAGTTTAACCTTATTCAAGCCGTATCCTCAAATGCACACCTCATTATATGAAAATCCTTGTAATTCCTTACAATATGTGTATAGTATTTTGAAAAGATTTAAAAATGTTTTCACATGTTTTAGTCTCATTATTTATATAAATTAAAAAGAAACATATGACAAAAAAGTGTTTTTCTTTTTCTTTTCTTCGTAGTGATATAGCATTAAACGATTGAGAATAAAAGTGTGGAGATCAAAGAATAAGTCTACAGGATATTTAAATCGGTTGTTTGAGACAGATTTAAAAAAGAAGGGGGTCAAAAGAAGAAGAAAAGATAAGAATAGCATTTTGAAAAAAATAAAGACTGTATAGAGTAACTAAAGAGAGAGAGAGAAAGACAGAGAGAGAGAGAGAGAGCAAAAGAGATGTTATAATTTATTTGTTTTCCCCTCTTTATCTTTCTTCTAAACAGAAAGAGAATACAAAAGCGTGGGAGGGGGAGGGAGGATAGAGCAAAACGTTTATTTTACTTTTTTTAATAGATGGCCCCCCTTGAGCGTCAGGGGGGGGGGGGGGAGGGGATGCAATTTTTCAAATTTTCGAGGGCCCCCAAAAAAAGTAGTGCTCACTACCCCCCGCCCCGCCTCTGAACAATTAAAAACCTGTCTTCATTGCTGCTAACTTAATTGCACCCATTCGTGTTTCCTTTTTTTTCTATTATTTTTTTATAAGTGAATTAAGTTAAGCTCGGAATTCAGTTATAGTGCCATTTCACTCAAGATCATGATAATAAATTAAATTAAGTAAGTACACGTAAGCCTATATCAACAAAATGCTTACACACTTTTGAACATAGGTAAGGTGTCCCGTTTGTTCCTAAATTAAGTGTGCTGAAATTTCAAAATCGGTAGGGGAGGGGGGAGGGGAAGTGAGCACTAATTTTGTTTCTTCTTTGGTCACAATTTTTCAGGGGGAGCCCGTTTTTTTTTTTTTAGGCAAGGGGGGGGGGAAGTCCCGCTCGCCCCCCTGGATCGGCGCCTGTGTGCAGGGAGGGGGAGTTTTCCCGCGAAGCGCGGAAGCTTTGACGTTTTTATAAAACTATGAGAGAAAGACGACGATTCGTTGTACCGTTCTTGACTCTTAATCCACAAAAATAATATTTGATTCATTGTCAATACAAGATTTCGCTTTTTTAAAGGATATCTTTAGAAATGTGCATCAGTATGTTTGTAGTGATCTCTTTTCAGTGATAAATAGAAGACTTTTCTATTTTAGGATTATATGCCGTGCATATACACCGAAAGGGACCCCATATCCAGGCGCGCCGGAAGCTGTTTGGGATTGGGGGGGGGGGGGCGGCGGCAAACATTCCAGGGAGCTTACCTTCCAGGGGCAGTGGCGTAATAAGCAAATACGTTTGGAAGGGGTGGGGGCAGAAGTAAAATCTGCATCACCACCACTCTTACGTTACATGCAGGGCTGAACCCCCAGAAGCTCAGGGTTTTTAGGCATTAAACTACGGTCAGATGAACATCCAGGGGCCCGCTTTAGGGCCCTTGGTGGGGTCCAGAAGGCAGAGCCCCCGGAAGCTAAGGGGTTTTATATATTTAACTACGGTCAGATGAGCTTCCAGGGGTCCGCCTTAGGGCGCTTGGTGGGGTCCAGAGCCCCCGGAAGCTTGGGTTTTTTAGGTTTTTAATTACGGTCAGGTGAGCATCCAGGGGCCCGCCTTGGGGTCCTTGGTGGGGTCCAGGAGGCAGAGCCCCCGGAAGCTCGAGTTATTTAGGCATATACGGTCAGATGAGCATATTTTTATACCTCATTTGTGACATTGGCAGGTCACTTATTATTTCTCTCTCTCTTTCTTTCTTTTTCTCTGTAACATACTTTTACAAAAAGAGAGGGGTGCTCGAGCACCCGAGCCCAACCCCTATAACAAGAAAAAAAAACACGCTTTCCCATCCTCTCACAATATTTCCACGATATGCGCGTATCGCTATTATAAAAACCTCCGGTGATAAATATAGGTGGCATGTGGAATGTTTAGGAAATTTAATTCCTGTTTACTTTCCTTTTCTTTGAATGGAATTTTATACGTGATTTAATTATTATGTTCTTTGGGGTTCAAAATACAAATCAACTTTACTCCTTTACTGCTTCTATGCCCATGCATATCTCTATAAGGAGATAATAAACGTTAAATGACCACAAAGAGCATTTTTGGGGGGGGTGTCCCAAAATTTGGCCTATCAATATTTTGTTTCATTGGGGGGGGGGATTACCACAATTTTGTATTATTTTTTAATTTTTATTTTTATTTTATTTTTTAAAATTAAAAACAAAAATTGAAGGGGGGGGGGGGGGGTTTCCTCCAAAACACATACATAAAAAAATTTGACGGGAGGAGGGGGGGGGGGGGTTCAACGCCCCCCCCTTGCGTACGCGCCTGGCTACCACTGAGAAGATCTAAACAAAATCATGTTATCTAATTTTAAATTTATGAAGATCATGACTTGATTAATATCTTTGGTTCATTTTGTTAAAAAATTACAGTAATTTAAACTGGATGACACAAGGGAGGATGCTACTAGCTCCTCCAAAAAGAGTGGACTGTTTACTGGTATCTTACACTAGTCTGCCTACAGGGATATGGGCAAAGAAAAATAATAATGCACAGGAAAACAACAGTTCTTCCTCATAATTCTTTTTAATGTAAAATATTACAGTTCAAAATTAAGCTTTAAAAAAAAAATAGTGTGAATGCAAATTACATGACATGTAAAACATGATGTAACATATTGTTGTATGCCCTACTGAAGGGCTAATTCTGAAAGAAATAGAGCAGGAATTGCTCTATTCATGACCTTCGGCGGTGCACAGTATATATATATATATATCTATATATATATCTATAGTCGAATGCATAAGTAATACATTCACTATAAAAATTAAAAATTTACAAAAAAATGTCTTATTTTAAAGAACAAAATTGGAAACTACTGGTACTACGATATGTATGAAATCTAACAACCGTACACAAAATAGCTTTTCATAAGCCTTTACCACACACAATAATAAAAACTTTCAATTACAGAAGTACTTTCTTGAACAGATCATTTTGCAATTTCTACATTTAACAGATATTCCAACAATTCATCACACAATACAAGATTTAAAGCATTTAATGCATCTATTTATCTAGCCATAAATGGATTTAAAAATGAGAAAATGTGTTGGTATACAAAAAAGCAGCCTTTATAAGGATAACTTTGTAAAGAGTACCATTTGTTGTTGTTGGTTCAACTGGGGGGGGGGGGGGTATGGAGCTCTATTTTTTGTTAACGCAAACCCCCCCCCCCCCCTTCGAGCAAAAAAACAAAACAAATTTTTTTTTTTTCTCAGGGGGGTATCTTCTTTCTTTAAGGTAAAATTAATGTTACATTTTTTTTACCCATTTTTTTTGCAAAGGGAGGGGGCCCGAGCCCCCGGGATCCCCCACTGGATCCGTTACTGCACTGGAGAACCTGTCTAAAGGCCACCCATCTGCCATTTTGTATTTCCCTTCATTTTCCTTAAAGGAAAGACAAGAACCAAGTTGGGATAATCTATGGGCCTCTTTTCAGCTTTAAGTGGATCGGTGAGTAACTTGCCTTCACAATATGCAAGTACAATTGCAGGGACTTCTCTGTTTATGCCACAAGTTTAATCATTGTCACATAATATACCATTTTTTTCTTCATGTAAAAAGTAATTACAAGATTCATATTCATACAAGGCAGCATGTAAATCTGCTCCAAATTAAAGAATGAGAAACAAAATGCACAAAGACATAAATATGATTAGTATTCATTAAATATATGGCCACTTAGATATTCCTTCATCACTATAACCCGATTCACATTCGGGAACATGTTCATTAAAAAAGCTCAAAGCCTCAAGCAAACAAATATGCACCTAACTAAACTTCCTTAAGCATGAAACCCAAGTAAATAGCTTGTCTTCTACACCAGCAGAAATAAAAGGGGAAAAGATACATGTATTTAATACAAGGCATGCCATTATATGTTTCTTTATAGTCACAGGGTATTGAATTTCATCTTCAAAACAAAATAGGCATCAAAATTAAGTATTGCCAGAATAAAGAAGAGAAATACACAACAATATGCAGAATTCATTTCCATAATAACATTCTAAATATACAACAATTTGCGGGAAGCTGATGTATTCAGGAACACTCATTGTACAGAGAAAACAAATTACCAAATCACAAAATGCTATTATAAATGCAGCGAAACCTGTTTAGTGGCCACCTTGCTACAAAGGCCACCTGTTTATAGTGGTCACCCGTTTTGGCTCCCTCTCAAGGGAAATGCGTGTTGAATAACCTGTCTACAGTGGCCACATTTTGTGCTTTGTTGGGTAGCCTTCAATAGACAGAGTTGGCTGTACATGTATACCGGTAGGCTATATTGTTTTGAAGCCAACTGAAGGATGCGAAAGATGGGCGAAACAAATTATCTGTTTGGAGCCAGAAGGGTGTTAACTCTGTGTAAAATTATATTATACAACCCCCTTCTTCCTCTAAACAGATGTATCTGAGTCATTGAATCTACTCATGCCAAATTAATGCTGGATTGTGAATTTCCCTTTTAATTAGCCACTTCAGAGATACAGTCTGCACATGGGCAGATAAAGGTCACTAGTACAAACTACATAAGAACCAGAAGAGAGGAATGCTGGACACGTGTTCATGAAGGTAATGTAATCGCTATTCATTTATGCGCTGACAGTAAATTCTACGACACACAGGTGGAGATATTCTTTTCAAGAGGGCAAACAAAAGGTATTCATGAAGCACGTCCACCACTTTGGCACTGATTATTCTAAAGTGCACAAGGTGGGACTTCTCCACGTTTAAAAGATCCTTGGACAGTTTGGTTTCACCTGTACATGTGCTATCTCTGAAGCAGTCTGCATTACATTCCTCTATAAACTTCATCATTTTCCTTTCTGATATAGTGATATAGTGAAGGTATAAAAATCAAAATATACAGTCAACCATGGCACAAGTCTAACTCAATCTAATTTGGCAAAACATATAATTTCTTTTAATTAAATGCCTATTATCAACACTTCTTCACAAAATCTGGGCCCTGTTTCATGAAACTAGTTATCAATAACAAATACTTGATTTCTAAGACAAGTTTGCGTTCAGCCAATCAAAGGCAATGATTTCAGTAGCTTATAACCATTATTGTAACTTGTTATCTAATTACAAGTTTCAGGAAACAGGACCCCGTACTACAATGTCTCTGCCATGTGATCTGGCAAATGAGCTAAATAACAATTTAAGCATTACATGTACATGTATAGAGGGTCCTAATGTTTCTAAATATAACCTTCTAGACCAAGACAACATATAGTCTTTTTAGAGCCAAAAAGCCGTGAACTTCAAACCTCCCGACAAAGACCTGATGTATTCATGTGGCTATCAAAGAGAATGCCATCCTCTCAGGGGCTCATTCGGACGCAAGGCTGTCAACCGCTTTAAAGAAACCTTCACGTTGGTATAAAATAAGATGGTAAACGTAATTCGCTTCACAATGCTGCATCTCATGACACACTGAAAGAAAGTACATGTGGGGGGGGGGGGGGAGGGCATCGCAGTGCAATGTTTACCCCCACAGAACTGCCCCTTAATTGTCATTAATTTGATACACAGGACATTTCGCCACGACAGTCGTTGAGGCGGCCTATCATGCCTTGTGTGAAGAGGGCCTTACTCATAATGCCCTGGGCAGAAGAAGAGCTTCTTTGTGAGCATGGTGACGGGGGCTGGCATCTGCTTATGCCTGCCGGAGGAAGACTCGAAAGCTCGTGCTACTTTGCCATTGACCTGAATGGAGGGAAGAAGAAAAAGAAGCACAATTACCATGTACCTATCTGATACGATATCGGGAAGTAAAGTTTTAAGTAACACAATGGTGGGAAATCATGGGGCAATTGGACACCATTGGGTGTTTACCCCAAATGGGGGGTTAATAAATCACCAAGAACCCTGTTTTACAAAACTTGTTATCCATTACAAGTTATAACTGTTATAAGCTACTGAAATCATGGCATTTGATTGGCTGAGAGCAAATTTGTTACCAAACTTTATTTTTTTTCTTTGAAGATAACAAGTTTTATGACACAGGCCCCAAGAGTGGGCTTCACTCTTACGACCAACAGGTCTTATATACTGCCTCCATCATCTCTAGGAGAACCGCCCCACAAGGATAGCTCATAATCACAAATTTGCTTCACCCACTCACTCTCCAAGGCATGAAGGAAAGTTAGAATATTTTCAATGTGGGCCATTGAATCTCAGTCACTTTTTTTTTTTGGGGGGGGGGGAGGGGGGGGGGGGGAGGGGGGAGCGATCTAACACAGTGAAGTGCTATTCATAATTGTACTCGTTAAAGGTATAGACCAGTTCTGGTCATGCGATTGCATTGTGAAAGAAACGTGGAATCAATCAGAAAAGGTTGATCATCTAGCATATAAGTATTGGTGTGTACTGCAAGGTTCTGGAATGATCAAAGTAATAAGAAATTTGGCGCAGTCTTGGTAAAGTTACAAGCACTGTACACAGAAAGACGTATATGGGACTACGAGACACTTGTGCGATATCTATTCAGTCCAGATAGATATAATAAATTACCAAATATTTCAATTAGTAGGCGGTTTCCCAGCAAAATTTGTATCATCATGTATTAGTCAAAACATATTCTTTTACATGATTGGTAATAAGAGCTTCAAATTTCATTTTTTGAGAGGGGGGCATTTCCAAAACTGGTCCATACCTTTAAAGAAATTTTCTTTGCAGTATTAGCAAGTCTTTAAAATGGGACAAAGAACATGTGCATCCATTTTCATCGAGATTATTGCTCTTAAAGGACAAGTCCACTCGAAAAATAACATACTTTAAAAAAAGCAGAAAAATCAGACAAATAGTTACCATGGTGATCATCGAAAGAAGATCTTCATCTTTCCCATACTGTAGGATGGTTTCTGTCAAAGCTTGGATAAACCAGCTCCCTCTCTCGGAGTTCCTCCACGACACAAATCCTGTTATAAAAAAAAGCATGTCAACAAATAAGTGTCGATTTCTCTGACCCCCATTCCCCCATTCTTCATTCAATTCAATTCAATTAAAAAAAATCTTTATTATAGCACCAACATGGTTCATACAAATACAATTTTACATGAAAGACAGCCATGGCTGGAATATTCATGTTCACATGTTAGGCACAATAGATAACACTTTCAAAGATATGTACATGTAAGAACCTAGGAATATAAAAAATAGGACTTAAGATTCTGTAACTAAAATCCTCCCCTTCTTTTCCCTCCTTTTCCTTTCCCTCTCTTTTCTCTCCCCTCTTCTTTTTTCAAAAAGCGTATAATGTCATCTCCATTCGATCATTTGGCGTCCCATATGTTACTACTTATTATGGTAGAAATGGTAGAGCAGAAAATATGGTCTTTTATAGACAGGTAGTCCTTCTATACAGGTGGTCACCATACGGCAGGGTTGACTGTATCAATTATAAACCAAAGCCGTAAGTACCATTTCACTTGATGTTTTGTCTGATACAATGTACGAAAGCCCATTACTGCCACTGACAAAAAAAAAATTCACAGGGGGAAAAAAAAAAAGTTTTTATTATGTTGACAACATAATTTTGTTTTAATGTTCACTGGAATTTGTTGTCGTTGATAACCATGCATTATCACTTCTAGCCTTGGGAATGAATCAATTTTGATGGGAATTTGTCTGCATGGTAGGCGTGGTAGAAAAGAATGATGTACCATCATGAGTTGTCATTTGCCTAAAAACATTGCCTACATTCTAGATCCCGTTTTCAAAGAACTCATGATCAGCTTTAATATCCTCCCAAACCAAATCTCACCTGGCACAGTTGCATATGCAAGGAGCATGTCGCTTTGACTGGGCACCTTACTCCGACTGGATGCAAAGCTATCGGTGGATTCTAGTTCCATTTTAATCATCAAGTTGGCTAGCTGATCATCATCCATCTGAGCATCGACATGGGGTTTTTCCTGATTGCTGGCCAGAGCGTCACTTGCGTCTCCACTTTCGCGTACAGCTTGACCGTCTGTTGCTTCTACTCCTTCGTCAAATTTCTCTGCCATTGACAAGAAAAAGGAAACATTTGTATGAGGGGCCTCTGATGACAACACAAGAACAGATACATGTCAGCTTGCACTTCATAGTAATAACAAAAAGTTCAACTTTGCAAAATAAATCATCACAATTCAACACAAGTACAGATAAGTCAGCCTGGTCTTTGTAATCTGTCCATCTGCTCTAATGATAATGCAATCACAAGCTTTTTTGCATACATAATGAGCCCATGACCTTTGACCTTATGAACCTAAAATCAACCCATCTACTTATTGACATTGTCAGAAATTTTTGAAATGTTTACATAGGTAGGACGGTAGTCCAAAGGTTTATCAAGTTATCTCCCAAAAGAACAAAATGAGATTGTTTGCACATTTGTTGCATGAGGGTTAGAAGTCAATTCATAACCACTTTTCACCCCAAGTACAGACCGGCGACGCATAAGCCGCCATGCTCGCTGGGCTGGGCTGTGAGTGGAAAGGGAGGGCTTAGTTCTACCAGCGAGCTGTGCGGTCTCGGAGAGGGATTAAGAGGATTACGGTAGGGGAAAAAAGAGACACGAGGTGGCATGGGTGACTTCAAAGGGGCCTCTGGGACAGTATCTCCATCCATTTCAACTCCCTGGTTCGACCAACCAACGTAGGAAAAAACGGACACTAAAAGATGATGATGATGATATCAATTTGACTTACCCCCTCTACATGCCTGCAAGAAGAAGAGCTTGGGCTTTCCATTCAAAGTCGGGCATCGATCAGAACCAAACTGACTAACTATGTCTTCTATCTTCACCAGATACTCGTCCACGCCATAAACAGCTCCCTCTATGCCATGGCTGAGTACGGCGAAAATGAAGCAGTCGAACTGGGTGTGGTTGTGTTTCCTTAGCTGTTCAATCATCTGCTGAATATCCTACAAAATTTTGATGAAATAATAAGAAAAATTGAGCCTCTTAATTCCCTGAAATATCCCAGAACTAACAATGAATTTAGACATGCTAAAACTTGGGGGTTTGCTGAAGGGGGAAGGGGAAAGGTGGGGGGGGGGGGGGAGATATTCCTTATATCTGCAGAGATGCTAACCCTATAGGATGGTTGTCAGTAACATTTAACACATTTGTCTATAACAAATGGGGGTCTTTCCGGAACGCAAGACACTGCAGCATAATTTTCGCGCAAAACGTACACAAAACACCCAATCACTCTTACTGCATTTCGAACCTACCATTTTTAAGTTCAAAATAAAGATGTGCATAAAAACTTTTTTTTTAAATCTGTTTGCAGTCAAAGGATCTCCTCCTCGGGTACTCACTCTTTTTAGTGAATCCATGATAATATTCAGGAAGATAACCTCGTTCAAGCGAATTCAAATTCCACAGTCGAATGGCAGAACTCGTATCCTACACACGCACACGTACACTGTACACTCACCACAGACACACCAGCCCAGGCCGCTAGGCCCGGCGTTCATGAACAACAACAAACCTTATACCGCACTTGCAATGCGCCCGCTGAATCACCGAAGTCTTCGCTACTATACTTTGAATGGGTATTGCGGGCGCCGCGCGCACGATCATCCACCACCATGCTCCCCCCAAAACGCACGACCGCAAGTAGCATACTAGTATCAAAACAGTAATGACGGCGGCCGTGTTGTTTCGGAATTAAACAAAATGGCGGCGGACGGACCATGTGCGAAAAAGTGCCAATCCAGTGAGGTCAAATTCAGTGAACTTATGAGTAAATGCGTGCGACATGCAGCGCTGAGTACGGAGGCTATGTGATAAGGCGGCATTTGCTATAATGTACTTTTATTTATTGTTTCCCCGTAACCTTTTGATTGTTTGCCGTAACGCCGTAACAAGAGCATAAAAACCGTAACAAATACGGCAAAACCGTAACGGTTGGCATCTCTGTATCTGCATTACAAACAATGTGTTACTGCAGTTGTACCAAACATGCTCTGCTGACAAGTGATCCATGTTCAATATTCTACATTAACCAAATATAATACAAGACAAGCGGAATGGTGCAATATTTTGACAAGTTCTTATGAAAAATAAAGCATCAACATAGATGTCAACAGAAGGCCCTGTTCTTCTTCTTCTTCTTCAAGATAATCTGCCTCCTTCAACACTGAAGATTCTTGCAAATGCCGTATATACTTGGCCTGATTGGGTTGTGCAGGTGGACCACTACACTGGGGTTTCCCCCTTTCTCTGATACGAATAGTGCAGTGGGTTCTTAACGTGTAAGGGCGGTGACTCTCCTGAAAACGGGGCGCCTCCATTTAACGTCCTATCCGAGGGACAGAGTGTTTTCCACTTAACATAGCCTTCGTCTCCGAAACAAGGGGAGGGGCATGTTAACATGCAACGCAGGCTTCAGTCATCTGCCTGGCTGGGATTCGAACCCGAGACCTTTGGTCCGACAGGCAGATGCTTTACCGACCGAGCCAACACGCCCTGTTGATGATGGCCCTAACAATCGCACATGTACTCACCCTTCCTTTGAGGTCTTTGTGTACAACTACATTGAAGCCAAGCTGTTTGAAGACATTCTCTAAGTTGCGACAGTCTACGTCTGTTCCTGCCCTCTTCTTCATGGTTTTGAAGTTTTTGTTGTTGATAATGAGAGCTATACCTCTAGGTCTAGATTTCATTCTGTAGACCTATAGGAGAAAACATTCAATACATTTAAGATACTATGTCCCTTTTGCAGCCAAAATCCAATTCTTTAGAACTTTGCAGGAACTGTGTCATGTATTTCCTAGTTGTGAAATTTAAACATTAGCAGTTTGCTAGTATTCAAATTATGCATGGAAACCCTTTACCTTCTAGACTTCACTGTCAGACACCATTGAGTGACTTACTGACTGACATCTTTTTTTTCTTCTGTAATAACATACCTAAATTAGCTGTAACATGTACATGAGCATTTGTCTACATCAATAACCCACTACTTGTAATGGCCAAAATTAAACTGATTGAATCTTTGTGCAGCATAAAACGTACAACCATTTAAAAAAAAGGGTCTGAAAATCAGACTATTACTTAGGTTATTGTAATCACTTAAGTGGATTTGACAATCAATGGTCGTGATTTTCCCACTTAAAGCTATTTTCAAGCCCTTTCGTTTTGAGGGAAGTTCTAAAGTAGTATTGTCATTCAAATAGTGTTGGAATTTAACCTTTTCATTTTTTGGGCCTGCAATCATTGATCAATTTGAAGCGCAATTTTTTTAGGGCTTCAATATTACACCATTTCACAGACACTGATAACTTATAGGGCCGTGCATCCCAGATTTAACATTGTTAAACGATACCTTTAAAATATTTTTATTTTTTTAATTTTTTTTTAAGGGCGAAAAAGAGGGGTGCGGTTAATACATGAGGGCGGTTTATACAACGTTAATTACGGTAGGAGAGCTACATATATGTGAAACATATGCAACAACAATGATTTGGGAGAATTCCATCCACTTACAAGATCATTATCAACCATAGTTTGTGGGTACGAGCCTAAGGCATCCATCTGAGTAGAGCTGTAGTCACCATTGCTATCTCTGGGAGGCCAAACTAAAATAAAGATGAAAATAATAACATGATCAAAAACAGGCAAAGTTCATGGTGTATGATCTTTCAGTCTCCCATATGGGTGTGTTTATTGTTGTTCGAAGCAGTCCATTTACTACATGGTAGAGAAAAATGTGAAGCATTTTGGGACTGCAAAGAAAAAAATTATAAAATCTTTCTCTTTTTAAACACTTTACCAGTTAAAACTGACCAAAGCGCTTTAAACAGGCACTATATCAAATATTATGTGTGAGAAGAAGAAGGAGAAGAAGAGGGAGAAATAGTATACTGTAAACATGGTTATATTCGCGTTGCTTTAATTTTCTTGGATTTCGCGCGAAAGTCGGTGTCCGCGTACATTATTATGCGTGTTTGAACGGCCGAATTGAGTGCAACGCGAATTCAAGAACTTGCGAATATGTTTTGGGGTCACTCGCGAAAAATTATTCTCACAAAAATTACAGCGTTTACACTGAGTAAGAAAGAAGAAGAGGAAAAAGAAAAAAGACTTTGATATGCCTTCAACCAAAAGATATGTGAATAAAGTTGTTAACAGTGTTCTTATCTGAGCATTTATTTATTCTTTTTTCTGATTTATGTATACATCAATCCAGAACTTTTAAATTCCAATCTACCAATTACTCACCAGGTGGCACTGGCTTGGTAGGTTGACCAAACGGACCTGGTCTATTGTCATGAGGTGTCGTAGCCTGGGCCTGGCCCATCTGGCCCTGTGAAGGTCCAGACGCTGAGTATCCTAGCAACCTTGCTAAATGTTCCTGGTTGGCCTCGATGAGGGACTCTACTAGGCTAGTGAAGGCCCTGGGACCCCTCGTCTCTATGTCCATTAGTAGTGCCATATTCTTCTCTTTCTTGCTGGGCTTTGACTTTGATAATCAATATAAGGAGAAAAAAATTGCTGAAATTATTTCTTTGTTTAATACAAAAAAGTGGAATATCATATACTTGTCAAAAATTTACTAACAGAATGTCTTTAATTTTATCTTTTAACTTTATCTCAGCATCGAACAGAAAAATGGCAACAAATTAAGTTGGGATTATCAATGTTGTTTTGTTGTACAAATTCAACAACGAAAAGCCCACTTAAAGACATCTTTGAGTGCACTTATTTATCAAACGTAAAGTTGACAAGCAACTAATAACTGGGATGCTCAATGTTGTTGTAAGGTAAAAATTGAATTATGAAAAGCACAAAGCCATACAAATACAATGGGTTAAAGATAAACTCCAGTTCTAGTAAAAAAAGAAAATTAATTCTCACAGAATCAAACGAAACTTACACTTAATGCTCAAGATTACAAATAAATGACATGTGCCAAACAATTTTAGAAGAAAATGTATACATAGAAAGACAAGGAAATCAAGGTAGTACTAGCCCCGACACCATGTGTGTTGTCCCATATATAGCTTTCTGTGTACAGTGCTTGTTACTTTACCAAGACTCGGTCAAATTTATTATGATTTTGATGACTCCAGAACCTTGCAGTGCACACCAATACTTACATGCTACATGATCAACTGTTTCTGATCCTTTCCACACCTTTTCTTTCACAATACAATCGCATTACCAGTACTAAAGTTTATCTTTAAGTACTGTAAAGTCTTATTGAAATTACGGTTTCATCAAATCATTAGGGGGGGGGGGGGTGGGTGAAATAATAAAATAAGGAAAAAATTAAAAAAAGGAATTAGTTGACAGTGTTGTACATTCTCTATGGAAGCCAAAAGAAACCTTGTCTTATCATCTTTCCCAGTATTGTATCTGCAGAGCTGCCAACCTTGTGCGTTCGAAAAAAGGAAACATGATGGCAAAAAAAGGAATTTCAAGCAAAAAAAAGGAATTCATTAAACTAAAACTTACAACCAAGCGCGACTCTTCAAATACAGAATCATTTCCATTCCTCATGCTGTTTTTTTCTTCATATTAGGACCTATGGTTTAATTACAAGTAGATATTTCCTTTTGAGAATATTTTTCTCTTCAAGAAAGTTTTCAATTATGTTTTGACGTTAGTTTTCTATTGAATTTGTGATCAAATCAACATTTTAGGGCAGTTTTTTGACGTGCAGTATGTAACAGAAAAACAAAAACAAAAAACATATTTTATGATGAAAAAAACGCACTACCGTAATTTGGAGGGAAAAACATAATGGTTGGCAGCTCTGTATCTAGGCATGTGCTGACCTGACCTGCGCAGTGAGTGATTTCAAGTTGGGTGTTTAAGGCTGGTGTTAGTGTTTAATAAACACTAACACCAGCCTAAACACCGAAATGGAAATCAGCTGGTGTTAAGGCTTTGACCTCTGAATATCGTCAACTTCCGGTAGCTAGTGTCATCGATTTTGCAAAATTGTCGTCTGCTGAACTGGCCTTTGTGGCTGGTGTTAATATTTACGTACACATGTCCTATTCACTAACACTAGCCCCTAGGGATTAAGCAAATGTTGATTTCCAGTTCGGTGTTAGTGTTGTACCCGCACACAGTCAACACACGAACGACGCCAATTCATTGTCTGACGATCAAATACAAATACGTGAAACAGGTAATTCATATATTCTTTTGTGTAAAATTAATTATTTTATAAGACCAGAGAAATAGGTGTAAATTTATTCTGTACTTTTCATGATATCTTTAGTTTTGATGTACTATTTTTAAATCATCGTCGTGAAATTTAGTATGTGGTGACGTCACGGCTGGTGTTAAGCAATCAATTTTGATATCGGTATCGGGCTCTTAATTTCATCAGCAAATTTTCCGCTCGATTTAAGAGCTCTTGACTGCTCTAAACACTAACACTAACACCAAACTTGAAATCACTCAGTGTGGGAGAAAGGTCACCATCTACTCTTGAAAATTGTATTTGATGCACAGTAGGGTCGATTGCTCTTAAATGAAATTCTCATAGATTTTTATTTTCTTGGCTGTTTATGAATTTAGCTCTATTCAGTCCTAGCTCTATTTCATAAAGGTAACATGGATAATATTCTAGACAAATAATGAAAATTTGTGATCCTTATATACAGAGAAAATTGGACAGATCCTTGAAAGATATTTCATGAGGTAGCACATTTGTGTTGATTGGTACAAATTAATACTATGGACATGTACGACACTCAACTTACGTCAAACCTCTCTATATGGTGATTTTCAAAGATGTCTCGGGCAAGAAGGCCCTGGGGCACGCTTTGAAAGTCCATGTCCCTTGAGAGGATTACCATGTTCCTCTTTATGGTTTTTCTGTCCGCCTGCTCCATTATCAGCAGTTTCCTCCTACTTTGTCTGAATTCTAGGAAAATCTGAGCAATGAAAATGAAATATTATTTATATGTTATGGGAGTAGTGAGTGATTAAATGATTTATACATGTATGCTTAGGGAAAGCTAAATAAAAAACTCTTGAAACTTTTAAGATGGATATATGGTGAAAATTAAAAAGATTTAAAAAAAAAATGACTGTGATGAAATCTTGCTTTGTACAAAATTGTAGATCTACTTGTTTAATCCTACATGTAGACCTAAAATTTCTGTCACTTTCCTTATCTAGTCTCTTATTTGGGTAGGGTTGGCTCCTCTCTTTAGAGACAGAAGACGGCCATAGGGTCTGCTGTCAGAAGTTTGGGGCACGAAAGTGCCACCAAACTTTCGACTAACATGTCATTTATGCGGATTCAAATCCGATGCATTTATTCTCAAAAATTATGCCTTGGCTAATATACATCGGTTCTACTAACCAGGTTGAATGTATGATGTGTTTAAGGGTCTTTTTTCTGGATTTTCTTTGTTGAAATTCTTGGAGCCGTATTTCAAACTGTTACTGCACATGAAGGAAGATGACGTCATTCATTGACAGTAACAGTTTAAAATACGGCTGCAGGAATTTCAACACGGGTTTTCTATTTCGACCTAGAAAATCCAGAAAAAAGGCCCCTGAAACGCATCATACAGTCAATCTGGTAAATGGAACCAATATTAAGGATGTACATAACCGTGTAATGAGGTACTCAAGTACACTCCCAGGCTTACAGGCGAATACTTGGCGGCCATTTTTTTTTTGTCGACGTTGCAGGAAGCACTCCATGGTCCGGCTAAGAAAACCCACACTATTTTACTGCGAGTTGCAATTAAAGGCGCCGATTTGTGCTTGTGAACTTCTCACAAATAATAGTGACAATGTTGTTTTTAAAACTAAAGATGACGGACAAATTATCCTCTAAGTTCAAACAGAAATCTGGACATTGGCAGCTAGTTTCTGAGTGGTGAGTTGACAGTGTCACCCTGTGTATGATTGAGCTTGGAAACATTTTTAAAGTACTATTATATTATTAGCCTAGGTCTAGGCCTAATTTTCGAGAATAAATGCATCATGCCACCAAACTTCTGGCAGCAGACCCTATGGCCGGCTTCTGTCTTTAAAGAGAGGAGCCGACCCTACCCAAATCAGAGGCTAACGACAAAAGGGACAGGCGCAGGCGGCGGCGTCTAGTCTAATCCTAGACCAAAATTTTCTGTCTCTTTCGTTCGTTAGCCTCTGATTTGGGTAAGCAAGAGAGGAGCCGACCTTACCCAAATCAGAGGCTAATGAACGAAAGAGACAGAAAATTTGGTCTAGTTTAATCCAAGAGGAGCTCCTGCAATTTGAATAAAAGGAAAAAGTAATTCTATTTCACCACAAACTTGGGGCAGAAAAATCTTTTTATTAATGAGAAATATTTGTATATTGTATTGCATGCTGACATGGGTACTAAATATCCTCCTCCTCCTCCTAATTCTTCTCCTTCTCCCTCTATATCTTCTAGATAAAAAAAAACAAAAACAGGGAAAAACAAAAAGCAAAAAGTGCAGAATTCTAAAACAGCACAATATGTCAATCAATCGATCAGTCTCTCAATTCCTATTCCTCCTCACCTGTTCCAAAATAAAGCCAAAAAAATTCTACATAATAATAATAATCTCATCACATATAAAATAATTAGAACAAAGCATGCTCAACGTTGTGGAGGTCAAGCCTGGTTTTGGCCGCCTGTCACTATGCTCCCACTATGATGAATTCCATTTGCATTATTTTAACGTACACGACTGTACAGCAACTCTCAATCACACCAAACAGATATTACATACACCCGGCCCACACACGTACCGTACCCCGCGATCAAGGCGTCGACCCCACTAGCGCTCTGCCTACTTACACCGTGCGTACCATACCAATGCAAGCCCGCTAGAATGCGAACTCGATTGGTAGCTCGGTTATTCTCCGAAAGTTTTGATGGATACAAGAAGAAACAAAAACATACAACGACGATCCTCGTAAAATAGATCTTTCCATTACACAAATAATAACCAGAATGATATGGATAACATAGATTTTACTTACAAAATTGATGTTACAGTTGAGCTCTTCTCAGTAATGATACCACTTTCGTGAGGTTTCTGTGGTACCGTAATATACAGCAAATAATGCGTGCACTCACTGCGCGCGCGCTGCACGACAGGCGACCATTACGTCATGGTGCGGTGTTGGGATTCCCCGGACTAAAGACTTTTGACTTTTCATTGGAAAATTCCCAGAAAACATGTTGTTGACACTTGTATTTGCAGTTGATAATGAAACTAAATTTTACTCGGGACAAAAGGCCGAATATAGATTGAATAAATGAATTGCTTTCATTTTCAAAGTTTTTATTTTAGGCCTTATGATAGTTGTGATTGGATCGATATCAATCGCAAATAAGTTGAGATTGATATCAACTCTTTGTAACACGCCACATAAAAAAAAAAAAAAACTCTTTGTAAGACGGGGCCCAGATGATGAATGAGAATGATACGGTGCATAATAATTATGAAGATTGTGGTATATAGCGGTGGTGGTGACACCTTTTGATGATGATGATGATGATGATGAAGATGATGACGATTGTGATGCTGGAGATGGTTATGACGATGATACAAGCAATTTAACTACATAATAGTGATGATAATAACGCTGGAGATGATTGTGACGGTGATGCATGGCAGGCCGCGCGGATCCATGATTTCTTAGGGGGGGGGGGGGAGGGGGGGGGGGGGGTTATCGGTAAAAGGTAAATTTCCGGTCACAATTTTTTTTTCTCGTATTTTTTTTTTGGCCGGGGAGGTGGGGTGCTGGGCAAGGCCCGCTCCCCCCCCCCCCCCCCCCTGGATCCGCGCATGGATGATGGTGTTGGTTTTGGTTTTGGTGATGCATGATGAGGTGCAATATGAGTATCGCAAAGCATTATATCAGTAGGCCTACAATTTTGATTAAAGTACTCATTTCAACTTAGAGTTAATTACACCTTTGTGGCTCGACCAACTAGATTAGGAATTTAGGATAAAGGAGCATCCGATAATACCCTTTCGATGAGGGTTTGGAAACTAGATCCCCTCCCCCTCCCCATCCCTAAAATACCCTATTATCGCGCAAAACGGACCGGTTTACTCGCTAAAAAAAAAAGGATGTTTCTGACCTAGTGACGAATTATTCCATAAAACTGTACATTATTAATGAATGAACTACAACAATTTTTGGAATCCAGTCTGAATACATTACGTGTTGCTACGTGGGGGCAAGCCTTGGGCAAGCTTAAACGTGATGCAAAGATTTGGGGAATTTTGAAAATTGGATCGATAGTAATTCTTTAAAAAAAAATTTTTTGATATTTTTGGATGTCCATGTAAGTAAGCACTTACAAATTTATCCCCTAAAACACTTTTGCTTTTGAGAAATTGAATAATCAACAGCTATTTACCGGTGCTCTCCAGTAAATTTCAAATAGGCCATTCCATATGGTAGGCCTACCTGCGACCATGAATGATCAGAATATGCACGCCATATATAGAGAATATATAGCGTCCTGCCTTTTGGAAAAATATGAAGGAGGAGGCCCGTTTTTGTCTTCAAATTGGCCGCTCGGTACATTTCCCCCGACTGGCTGTCTAGCCCCAGCCAGTCGGGCTATTTTTTATGATGGCCGCCAGCATTCATTTTTTTTTTCTCGGAAAAAGACCATCAAGCGTTATGTTTTTATTTTAAAGGTAATACAAAGTTTTGGGAAATTTTGAAAATTTGGTGGATAGTGATTCTTTATAATTTTGATATATTTGGATGCCCCTGTGGATGTATTATAAGCACTAAAAAATTTAGCCCCTAAAACACTTCTGCTTTCGAGAAAAATTGAAAATAAAAATTTACCGGTGCTCCCGGTAAATTTTGATAAATTTAAAATAGCGCCTACGGCCGTACAATGGTAGCTGCGACCATGAAAATCTCAGAATATGTGTGTGTGATACATAATTTCCAAACGGGAATAGCTAATCGGTCGATTTTAGTCAAGAAACATTGTTTTATAGCTTAATTAATATCTTGACCTCGAGAGGGAGCTATACAACAAAAAGAGTTTATTATTTACAATTTCATAACTTTAGACTCGATTTCAACCGCGACAACGATCACTGAATATTGTATGATCGCATAAGCTTCCAATATGTTCATTTGAACCAAATTCATGACCCCATACCGAAACTTTGTATTACCTTTAAAAAAGGAAGAAAAGCAGACGGCCTCAAAAAAGAAAGCGGGCGGAGATACAAAACATGATTTTTTAATTTGTTTTTAAATGGCCTAATAGTTGCAACTTTTCTTTGATACAACATTGAAATATTCTTTTTCATGTGAATTCAATTCACAAGTATTGTAAAATTGAAAATGATTTGTTATATTATATTCTTTTCATAGGCGGCGAAGAGACTTTCAAAGTGGGGGGGGGGGCACCAACAAAATAGGCACCTTCAAAGGGAAATCTTAAAGCGAAAATATACAATTTTTTAGACATTGATACCCCTATATTGTGATTACATTATCAGGGATGATTTCAATATTTGTTTCTTTTTACACATCATATAAAATATTGCTTAAGCATCATACTTTGCAGTTGGGTGTGATGGTCTGAAAATTCATTTGCGAGCGAGGAAAAATTCTAAGATTTGTGAGGTCGCAGTGCGAAAAATTAAATCTTATAAAGAGGAAAAACCCAATCCTGATGGGGTTATAAGCACATTCTCAAAACGGAAGACTGAATAGACCTTTAATAAGACTAGTATTGTAGGATCATAAACGCGAGCGGGCTTTAGGGGAAATTGCTCTTATAGTCGCTTGAAATTAAGGGCACGTTTGATGATGAGAGGAAAAGGGGACATTTATCGAAAGGGATAAGACAAGTCTTATTAGAAAAGAAAAGGAACACATGTCAAAGTACAAAATCTAATTATCAGAGGTGAAAATGGGGCACTTCTTACACCTAAAAAAGAGGCACTCACCAGGAATCTGGACGTATATACCAATTGGTCCTGTCCAGTACCGCCTTAGATGTAGATGTAGAATCAAAAAGGCACTTTTGAGAATGGGAAATGTGCATTTGACGACGGAACTTGAAGTACCCATCAGATTTTGATAGGGGTATTTAAAAGAAGTGAAAAGAGGCATTTATGAAAAAGGGATAGTATAGTGCGGTATGGTATGTAATCCCGTAGGATTTTTGTGCCAAAGTTGATTTTTTGCTGTTTTGGCTTCAAAAGGGTCCCAATTGGCCAAAAATGATGGGGTTCAAATTTTCAGACACCTCCTTCATTTCTTGGGAGGTCCATAATGGGCGCCAAAATGGCTTATATAACGCGCAATAGGGAAATTTGGTGTCTTCGGGAAAATTTGAACCCCATCAATTTCTGATAGCTTGGACCCCAATGAATCCCAAAATGCAAAAATATCATGCAACTTTGGCACAGAAATCCTACGGGAGCTGTACCGTACCACACTATTATTGCAAAGAAAAATAGGAACTTGTCGAAGGAAAAGGGGTCCGTGTCGGATTAAAAGGGTCACTTATCAGAGGTGAAAAGGGGACGGGGTACTTGTCAAAGTAAAAGGTGCACCTTTCCTATGTAAAAAGGGGCACTTCTTGCAAAGTTAATAAAGGGGCACTTTCCCATGTAAAAGGTGGCACTTTTTGGGGTACTTGAAAAAGTGGGTGGCATTGTGCCCCTCTTGCCACCCCCCCCCCCCCCCCAGAGCGCCATTTCTGATTCTTTTTCATGTGTTGTTAACCAAAATGAATTGTGAAATTTTGAATATGCATAAACAAATAAACAAATAAAATGAATATCACATGTCAAGCCTATTATTTTGATAGGCGTGGTTCAAGATGAAACCTGTTTAATGAATAGGAAACATCATGTTGTCGTGTATATTTTTGTACCAGCCCGCTTGATTTTGAACAATCACTAAAAGAGAAAATGGCTGAATTAAAGACTAATTCATGTGAAGCAATAATTTTAGAAACAACACAGGCTCGGCGAGTCCTAAGAATTTACTTGGAAATCGGTAATTCGGTACGTTTGATGATTTAGATTTTCACAAGCTAGATGTATTATGATGTTTTGATGTGATAAACTCGCTATGATTGTTTGACTTTACCTCGTGCGAAGATTTATCAGGCTAATCGGAGAGTTAAACTTTGATGTTCTGTGTCTGATTCGACGTGCATTGATTTGCCTAATTGACTTTGTAGTACTTGTAGGCCTACACATTGGCGAGCGCGAGCTCAGCTCACACACAGAACCGGTGCATTGTAACTATTCTGGCTGTGTATTCAATCAAAGCTGTGCTGTGCTATTGATTCTCAACATTTCAAACACCACTGTACAAAACTCAAGTGATTTCACTCAAAATCGGTACTTTAGTGACGATTGATGACACCTAAATAGCAGTAAAATACAATTTTTTTTCTCAACTTTCTAGTTTCTGATGTTAATGGAAAGAATAATTAACAAAATTCAAATTGTGAGCGCGCTGTCAAACTTGCCGATCAGCCGCATCAGTATGATTGCGTGCATCTGTGTGTTATGAGTGTGTTGACTATTTATGTATTCAAATGCTGCCTATTACAGAGACGCCAAGTTCAAAGATCGGCAATGCGTGATATTTTCATGGTTCGGCCCGCGCGTGCAAGGGTATAACACACTTTGTAAAACTAGGCATTGGGGCGTGCGCCTGTTATCCAGCTAACAGTGGAAGTTAGAAACTGAATCAGCCGAGGACGCAGGTTCGAATTTCAGAGATATGATAATTTGTTAGAACACAACTTGTTAGAACAGATTAGGAATGAAACTTGAAAGAAAATGTAATTGTTGCCAATTTGAAGAAGAAAAGATGATCAATTAAGCTCTTTAAAAAAATTCCTTTCTCGAAGGGTGACAAGGAGTAGAGTCAGTAGAGCCAGACATGGTCCAGGTACTATCCTGTCACCACTTCAAGTCTCAGACGGTCGTGAGCCCAAGCCATGAACCTCACGTCATCTTTGCGTCTGGGAAGCACCTCTTTGTGGCGACATCCCAGCACACGGTGGAGGTTTACTTGCTGGAAGGATCCGAATGCACTCTCGTCCAGACGGTCAAGACTATTGGGCTGGCATGGAAGGGAGCGTTCTGTGTACCAGGTAAGGGACACAAGATTAAAGGCCTGTAAGCTAGAGGTGGTGCCACACTAGCAGCAGTGACAATTTAAATGTTCACATAAATGAAGCCAGCTTTGTGTAGACATTTAAACTGATGGCTTGTCCTGATTTTGATTTGCTGTGATAATCACCATCTTTTACCAGCATGAAAAATGATATAATCTTAAGAGTGCCATCCAAGTTTATTGATTAATATCTTTAATTTTTTATTTGAAGGTAACAAAAATTAACAATAATAATTCCTACACCGTGCAGCAGAAAACAATTGGGGATTTATTATCTGTGTTAAGACCTGAGATAGTGTGTTTTCATTTTTCAATGAGCCTTCTAATTTTGGATAAATAACCTTCACTGTTTCCCAGGAAATTACATACTCCTGCTGGAAGACGAAGATGGCAAGTTTAACAACGTGAGAGCCTACTTCAACTGGGACCAATGCAAGGATACAGACAAGTTGACCAAAGCTCGAATAGCCGGATCAGGTTCTCCGGTCAAAAATGTCCAACAGGGACCACAAGCGCAGTGCTTGGAGGTGGTAGAAGTACGCCCCAAGCGACATGTGCAGTGCTTTGCTTGCTGCAACGAGAATGGCAACTTGGTCTTGGGCATGCGAGATATCATCAGCATCTACAGATTGGTGGTTAATTCCAGCCAACGTGACTTTCAGCACTTCGTTGATATCGTTGTTGATGGTTTCAAGACGACGCACGTCGATATCTGCGGCGCCCATTTTGCCTTTACGTCATCTCACGAAGCCCACGTCCTGCAGATCAACTCTCAGAAGTTCCGCATCTCTTGTGCTGCGTTGCATGCTGTCCCAGCTGATTCCGCAAGTGGAAAAGCCACAGGGTCATCTAAGCCACAGGAGGGTAAGTCCCACGCATGCAAATCCGTGCTGGATGCTGTCACCGACTCTAAGCCTCCAATGCCGGACAACTACTTCGTCACTGATTCTCATTTTACTGAATGGACTTTTGAAGCCAGGAGTGTGACTGTGAGACCCTCCGAGCCTTCGGGGGCGACTCACAATCGCATTGTTCTTCCAAGTATTCTGGACGAGGAGTACCTCAAACAGAAGGATGGTCCTGCGGAAACCCTTGGCCCAGTCAGCAGCATTCCTGGCATAGCACCGTTCAAAGTGAGACATGCTCAGAAGGCGAAGTCAGGAAAAAGGTGAATATCATTCATGATCAGTCCCCCCCCCCCTCCTTCTTTTAAATTCTACAAGTAAAGTTAGCAAATATTCTGCTGAACATAGAGCCCTCAACAATCAGACTGGGAGCAGATTGATGTATGATGCTTGCAGAGAGACTTGTATTCAGTGGTTAACCTTTATGAGAAAAAAAAATTAACTGGTCGACTACTGAAATCTTGCATTCTCATAGGCTTTATACAGGGACCACCTGGTTCTTGTAGGCAATGGGTTAATATGTGTTTATAAAGGCACCCCCCCCCCCCCCATTTTCATGTGGGATGTGGAGGGCAAACACAGGTGGGGATGTCCAAATGTTGAGAACCAATTGAATATGTTAAGTATTGACTGAGATATGACCATCTGAATAAATAGATCTCCTATAGGAACTCTGGCTCGTATTGTTATGAGCTAGAGCAATATAACAATGAATTCCCATAGGAAATCTATCTATTCAGATGGTCATATCTCAGCCAGTACTATTCAATTGGTTTTCAACATTTGGACATTATTTTTGATGCACTTCCGGAAAATGAAGAAAGAATTGAGAAATTCCAAAAATAGATTTTTGATGAAGTCACACTTCACCACTCTATATCATGCACAGTTTCTCCTTAAACACGGAGGGATGAACCCCCCAAATGCTCAGTGTACATCCGCGTTGTAGCTCTGTGATTATCTTCCATCCGTAGGTCAAGCCCAGAGAAAGTGCCATCCTACATCCATCTGCTCTACTGCAGGTTTCCCAATGCAGAGGCAGGCCTCATGCTTGCACAACTCCTGCCAACCTACACCAAAGGTAAGAAACTGAATTCAGATATATCTTGTATCTCACTTTAGTAGAGGTTTGTATGTCGAGGGTTCAGTGACACAAAGAAGTAACTCCATATTTTGCCAAGATGATTATTTGATATGAAAATGTGGGCTTTCCAGGAAACACAAAGTATTAACTCCACCAAACACCCTATTGAAGTCAATGGCTAGTGAGACATAGACTTAACTCCTTAGGCCCAAGTGGATCTCTATCTTTAAACCACTTTTTCACAAAATGGCCCAATGGAGTTACGTCTTTCTGTCACTGACCCCTCGATGTGTTCTTATAATTTCTGTTTTCCATTCTGTGCAAGTGGGCTTCCAAGAGGTTTTACTGATCACCCCCCCCCCCCCCCCACAAAATTGCAGGTGACTATACACATGTACTCTGAAGTGTTTATGTACAAGAGGGCACTTCTGTTAATAATGATGCCGTTGTACAATAATTTTTTGGAATTCAGATACAATTTATTCCAGTAAAATTGACGATGTCAAAAATATGCCACAATTATTTAAATGAAAAGCAATTAAGCAATGAAAGTCCTGTATGGACTTATGTCTTTTGTATTCACTATGTTATGTCATATCTCTGGTAGATCAATTAAACCTTTCTATAAATAAAGTTTTTGTCATATTTGATGATAAGACTTTTCTTTGTCTATGATGTTCTTTTTCAGCCTCATTTACACCAGAAAAAGCTGCATCTATAAACAAAGTTTTTGTCATATTTGATGAGACTTCTTCGTCTGTGATGTTCTGTTACCACCCCTTTTTCACCAGAGAAAGTGGGGTCTGCATGTTATTTATAAGGACTGCTATTCATTTAGTCACGCGTTATGGATAGCCGTCCTTAATTCCTTATGAATAGCAGTCCTTATGGAGCGAGCTTGACCGAGAAAGCTGCATAGGTCTATAAACAATTTTTGTGGTCATATTTGATAATGAGACTTTTTTGTCTGTGATGTTCTGTTACAGCCACTTTAACACACAGAAATCTACATCTATAAACAAAGTGTTTGTCATATTTGATTACAAGACCTCTTTGTCTGTGATGCTCTGTTACAGCCCCTTTTACACTAGAGAAAGCTGCATCTGCGCAAGCACGGACGTCCGAGGCGTTCCAGAGTCGGAAGCTCCTGGGCATGTGCTGTCTACTCAGCACCCCCAAGCAGGGCCTGGTCTATGACATCACGGGCCAAGTCAGCCCTCTCTCTCGTTACCTGTACACAGGGGAGGCTGTATCTCTGCAGGTAATTATAGACTAACATGTGTATTCAAGCCTGTCTGCACTAGTTTGGTCAGGGGGATTAGACCTCCCTGCAAGGTCACTGACAGGTGGCTATCTCATCAAATCAGCTCTCAATGAACATAAGAAAAAGGGGATCATGGGGGACCAACAGGCACCGATAAGCCATTGTTTGCTATATAGAGGGCGCAAGTAGCTATAAGTAGTGCAGTGGGGCTTTAAAGCCATCAAATGGAAATGGGCTACTGGCCACTGTACACAGGTGGCCTTCCTAGACAGGTTCTTCAACACATGTTTCGTCCTAGAGGGCGGCAATGAAGCTAACCACCATATTGAATTGAAAAGCAAAATTGATTTACCTAGCTACATGTACATACATGGTGTTATCTGTCTTCCACATTGTGAGGAAGAGCATGATAATTTGCTTTGTCATTTTTCTATGTACCGGTACTAACATAAAGAGAATTAATGAAAAAGCTCACAAAGTAATCCTAACTTTTCCCAGAACTCATTCTTTAAATACTTTTTTTAGAGCAAGAGAATTCAGTAGTTAACAGGATATTACTGTGCGTTTCACCGTTTTCTCTGTCACCTGATGATATATATAACAGGCTGGAGAGGATTTCCTGTATGCTGCTTCCTCCAGCGGCCTGGAGACGTATTCCCACAGAGTGAGTGCAGCAGCCATCTACAACAAAGAGACGTTCGATGGCCAGTCTAATGTGAGTGCATACCTATTCCGTTAGCTACCTAAATGGGTTCACCTTTTTAACGCATGATAGTTGGAAATTTCTCAAAAGAAGGGGTGATCTTTAATAGAAGATGTTCATAACAAATTTGTATGAACATCCCCTAAATGTTCACAGAATTGCAATAAAAAAGAGTAGGAGTATGTTATTTTTAAAAGAGCAAGATTTTCACGAAAAATGGTCATATATTTCAGAGAAGAATCTGAGATTTACGTATTGCAAATTCAACGTTTTGTGAATTTGTACTGAAAAAAGCTGAAAAAAGGTTTATATTTAGAGCCTATTTCATACCTGTTTCTAGGCTTGCCCAGATCTCACATCTTCATTATAATTCTGGGGCCCCTTCCTGAGTGTTCATACAAGGGTGTCATGTGACAGTTACAGTCATGTGATGATCATGTGACACTGCTGGCTATTCCTCCATGAATTATGATGTATTTCTAATGTATTGTTTCTCTCTGTCTCTTTGTCAGGCTTGCCCAGATCCCACCACAGACATCTGCCTGGTATCACTGCGACCATTCCTCAGTGTTCAGAAGGTGGTGTCATGTGACAGTCATGTGATTCTCCTGTGCAAGGCACCCAATGACGAGGGGGAGGAGTCAAGCAGGTGAGAATCACTTTTTTAAAGCCCCACTGCACTACTTATACATGTAGCTACTTGCGCCCTCTATACAGCCAACAATGCTTAAGTGGTACCTGTTGATCCCCCATGGTCCCTTTCTGCTTATGTTAATTGAGAGCTGATTTGATGAGATAACCACCTGCCAGTGCCATGCCAAACTAGTGCAGAGGGGCTTTAAATTAAAAGAAAAATCTTTTATATTTCCAGAAAATTTACCTTCAATAGAACTTCATTAGCAATTGACATACAGACATTGTATTGTGTACATTTTAAGAAAGTTAAACTCTCCTGTTGTAGGATACTTATTCTACAACTTAATCAATCATTTTTATTTGGTCCCATCATTAAAATATCACTTACATTCACTGTATGTAATTCACATAAAGTTTGTCTTTAGATCACTAATCAATTACATTGATCACATGGTCAATTATTTCTCCTGTTTTATGCAACATTTTTAAACAAAAATGAAAGCGTAAAAGTTGTGATAATCTGCCTCTTTCATACCCAGTGATTGGAGTGTCTATGTGCTTCAGAAAGCACCAGCCTCTGATCTCCTCGACGACATGATCGAGCTAGCGACAGGTTTCCGCCAAGCCAGCGTCTCGGCCTACCAACACCTTATCACAGAGGCCCATCTCATGATGCGATCCAAGATGCTGCAATGTTGCCATGGTGATGAGGAGGAGGAGGAGACTGGTGAACGCGGAACAATTGAGCACCTCTATCGTGAGACGAGCGCTCTTCTTGGTCAGATACATGCACAGTATGTACTGAGACTTATTTCATCTTGATTTTGTTGCATAGTTTTCAACATGTTGTTTGCAAGGAAGACTATATTTGTATGGATTTAAGGATTGAATCATATGATTTTTGTTGTGACACAGGAAAGCATTGCATGACTTTAAACAATTCTAAGAGGCTCAATTATGTTTAGCCAAGTGTTGTATCAAAGAAACATCCACACCAAACATAGACAGTACAAGGGATTTGCAAAGTTGTCAATGGTTTGGGAAAGTGCAAAGAATTCCAGCCTTCAAAATATTATCTCAGGTATTTGAGAAGATGTTATCAATAAGTGATGCTGTGTCTGTGGTAATTCTAGTTGGATTTAAAATAAGATAAAAACAAATTTAAAAGCATCTTGGAATGAACCTTACTATAATTCTTGTGAAAGCTTTTCTTTGAATAGTCATGGTAAATGTTCCCAGCAGAGGTCTCTTGTAGCCTTGAGAGAGTGTAGCAGCAAGGCTGATATAATCAAGGGAAGAAAAAAAATTACTGAAAGGAATAAACTCACTGCTCTTTTACCTTAATCTTTTGACTGTGTTTAACAGCCTTCTGTTAATGTTATTTTATGTGCTATAAAGAGAAAAATATACCATTTACTGAAAAGAAAAGTAGCACTGCTCTTTCACGGCTGTCTCTTGACTGCGTTTGATATCCTTCTGTAATATCGCCATTTATTGTACTATCAAAAGAACAAATGAATACTATTTACTTTAATGACTTGATTGCTGCTCTGTTTTCTTTCACATGTATCTATTGAATGTGTTTAACATCCTTCTGTTATTGTTATTCTATTTGCTATCAAGAGGAAAAAAAGACTATTTATCAGGCCTGATAAAAACCCGATTTAAATCGGTTTCCTGATTTTTTTTATTTTTCCCGATTTTTTCCTGATTTTTTTTTTTTTTTACCAATTTTTTTTTTCTTCCCTATTTGATCCTGATTTTCTTGATTTTCCTCTTATTTTCTCTATTCTTCCCTATTTTGCCCTATTTTTGCCCAATTTTTTTACTCGAAAGGGGGGAATGTTGTTAGATGCCATTTTTTCCCCGCGAATCCTCTTTTTTTTTTTTTTACTCAAGGGGGGCGTGGTTGAGGGGAAAACACAAAAAACTATTTTTTTTTTAGTGCTCACTATCACCCCTGATTTATTGAAGGAGTAACAGCTCTGCACTTTCACAACTATCTATTGACTGTGTTAAAATTCTTCTATTATTTGTATTCTACAGTATGTGCTATCAAGAAAAGAAAAAACAGACCACTTACTGAAACAAATAGTTTATGTGCTCTTTCACATACCGTATATCTTTTGACTGTGTTAAACATCCTTCTGTTATTTTTATTCTATGTTCTAACTAGAAAAAAATGACCATCTACTGAAACTAATAGTATCTCTGCACTTTCACAACTATCTATTTATTGTGTTAAACATCTTCCTGTTATTTATATTTTATGTGCTATCAGGAAAAGAAAGGAAACACTTACTGAAACTTATAGTATCTCTGCTCTTTCACAACTATGTTAAATAGTGTTTAACAGCCTTCTTTTATTGTTATTCTGTTTGTTGAAGTGTGGAGAAGGCAAAGCAGAAAAATTATTAGTAATGTAGAGATGTATTATCCGGCAAGGTAGTGAAGTACCTCTTTTAGCCAGTATGGCATACTTGAGGTCTGTCCACATATAAAGGCAATTAACTGCAGGATTTTGTTGTGCCTCCGCCACCAAAGGTGATGCCAGTTTTCGGGTTGTTTGTCTAGTGTAAAGTAAAACAAAATTAGAAAATATTTTATTAACGCAATAACTTGAAAAGTATTTAAATGTGTGAGCATGCAAGGATGAACTGATTAGATTTTGGTTGGAAGAGGTCAAAAGTCACAGGGTCATAGAAGTGTTAAAAAGTACCAGAAAATGTCTTTTTACTGAAATAAGTTGAAGAGCATTGAAGGAGCTCAAACCAAACTCAGATCAAGTATGTATGAGCATGCAAGGATGAATTGATAAGATTTTGACTGTAAGAGGTGGAACAAAGTGTTAACAAATTCAGAAAATATCTTATTGCTTATAACAATCATTGAACCAATGTCGATCAAACTAGGCTCAAGTATTTAAAACCACTAAAGAAATTAAGTGATAAGCATGGGTCCGTGAGGTCAGATGTTAAAGGTTGGATGTTAAAGGTCACAGAATCATTGATCAATGAATTAATATGTAGCCGGAGGCATATTAGTCTTAGTTATCTTGTTTCTATTACATGTATGTATAGATGTAAGAGAAATGCATATCTTGTATAAAACTCAGATAAATGAGTACATGTATGTGTAGGCCCTTTGTAAATATGGAAATCTACTTTTTCATTGCTCTTGCCATTCACTTTTAATACATGCTCTAAAAATTGAAAAATCGCTGCTGTATACTGCCACCATTCCCTATGCCATCGATGAGATAGCTATTATTCTGTCATTCTTTTTGTTCTTCAAGGTCTCCAAATGCCACAGACTGGTCGCTGGCTGTCCCGTACCTGAAGATGTCAGAACACTCTTTGTCCAAGGTGCTAGAGGCGATCACTGGTGCCTTCACCCAACCTTTCATACCGAAGGTAATCTTCCCTTCATAATGTAGCAAGAGGAAGAATTTAAACAATCCTTCTCTCAATCATAACTTCTTATAGAAATATCTTGTCACCCAAGTGACAATTTATAAGGATTTTCCTTATTGTCCATTTTTTAGTAAATGATAGCCTCTCTTAATTTTGTTTTGCCATCGATGTACCATTTCTGTTGTGAACATTTATTTCAGTCGAGCCATGATTTATAATGCCTGTTACTGTGTTACATAATATAAGCCCCTGCAATCCTCCAAAAGTAACATTAATTAGGTTTCTCAGTCGTAATCTCATTTATCAATTACACACATGGGGGTATTTTGCCACCAATTTATAAGCTTTCCTCTGGGTTCGGCCTTGGTTCTAAATAATAACTGTTACATAATACATCCTTCTGTGCTCAATAACATAACGATTTATACAGTTAGGCCTAAAGGCTATTTCAGACTTCTGTAGAAGCCAGCTTTAAGGATTACATCTGATGGCATTGTAGAGTGGGGAGGATAGTGGGGAGGATAGTTAAAAGTGATGACTGATGATAGGAGGTTAAGTGGCGAAAGCAGGTTTCTTTGTGAATCCGGACAATAGAATGAGCTATGGCTATGTTCACATGGAACCTTTGTAGTTTTAATTCAGGAGAAATGACCAGGACTAAAACAAGTATTCAAAGTGTGAACGAATTCATTTGAACAACAAGCTGGTGTAACCTCCGCTGCTCGTAGTTATTGCACTAACCATAACCCTATCTAGCCGGGGGGAGGGGGGGGGGGAATAAGCCCCCCCCCCTCGACATTTTTCTTCAATGCAAAAAATCTGAAATTTTATGACTTTTTTCTTTGAGTCTTGAGCATTTTTTAAACAAAAGAATATATGATTTATGGGTAAAACTTTAAATTGTATTACCTTATTTGCATTAATTTTTTTTTACATTACTAGAGTATTTTATACACTTCACTTGACATGCTTGCAAATTTTCGCGGCGATCAGCCTTTTCATGGCCGAGATCATAGGGGGGAAGACCTTAGAAGCCCCCCCCCCCTCCCCCCAGGCTATGCAGTTTCAAAATAGCCCAGGCTAGATGGGGATATTAAGATGGCTTGTGGATTTTAACTTTAGGTAAATTTAAGTTCCATAAAAATGAATGCGTTTACACAGTCCTTGACTACAAGATAACATTGAAGTTTAAAACCATGACCTAAATTTAAATTAAACGGACTGCCGTGTAAACCTAACTAATATCTTGAAAAGGTAGCAAGTGTCAAATTTCACTTAGTTGAGGCCAGTACAATAAGTAATTGAGGTTGGATTTATAGCTGTCAAGAATGATTTACTGGGTTTCATAACCCCATTGCCTATGGGAGCTGCATGTTTGGACCTTGAATTAAGCGATTAAGAGATTTCAGTTGTCAATGTGAAAAGGAAAACTAACTAGGTGTTAAGGATTTTGAAATGTAAATGGGTATTAATAATGCTTATGCTATATTTGTTACACTGTGATTATGTAAGCACTGACATGAAGAAAAAAAAGAGAATTAGAAAAGGGGATCAAGGTGGAATGAAGGAGAGTAAGAGGGGAAGAGATACAGGGTGAAGGAGCAAGATATTTGAAGAGAGAGAGAGAGAGAGAGAGAGAGGGGGCAAAGAGAGAGAGAGAGAGAGAGAGAGAGAGAGAGAGAGAGAGGAGGGAAAGCTATGTTTTTTAACATTCATGTTGCGAAGAATAATTTATAAATCTATTTTTTTTATTTTTTTTTTAAAAATAATAATATTTTACCAAAGTTCAATGCTGATGTGCTTAATAGATGTGCACATGTGTATTTATGGCTATAGAAAGAGAGAACTAAGCCAGAAGAAATCCATTTCTTTTTAATAGTTCTATATTCATTAAAAATATATATACATGTATTTTAATTTTCTTTTTCTTTTTGAAATAGGATCATCAGCTAGGACCTGGTTTAACCAGCTTTCTAGATTCCAAGCTCTTCCCTCGAGGCTCTACTGAAGAGCTGATGGATGAGGTTAGTATTATACCTGCTTCTTGTGTACCTTCTTGTTGTTGGGAATATTGATTTAGGGTCGAAGGTTCTAATCCCTGCCTGTCACTCACATCCTTTAAGGGCCTATCTCACTGAGCAGCGAATGCTTGCGAACGTTGCGAATTTGGATTCGCCAACTTTTCTGACGAATGTTGGCGAAAATCAGCGACATTAAGTGACGTTTAGCGACAATTAGCAACATTTGAGCGAATGTCTCCGAAAGTGTTTGCGAAAGGCAGTTGGCGACTATTAGCGACTGTAAACAAATGTTAGCGACAACTTTTGCGAAGATTAGCAACTATTTGCCAATCCTTTGCCACTATTTGTGAACGTTTGAGACCTTTTGCTAACTACTGGTACTCAATGGGTCGATTTTATAAAGGAACCATATGGTAACGTGGTCGCTAGCTTTGGCGAAACACAGAGAACTGACGAAAACAAAGAGCAAAACCGTTTAACAACCGTTTACAAAGGCTTACGACTGTTTTGCAAACGCTAACGACTGTTTTGCAAACGCCTGCAAATGTTTGCGGAAAAATAAATTCGCAAAGAAAAACTGTTTACAACAAAGAAAACTGTTTGCAATCTTTCTTGCAACCTTTTACAACATTTTACAAACTCTGGCGAAACCCCAAATTCGCTACATTTGCAAGCATTAGCCGCTCAGTGAGATAGGCCCTTTAAGAGTTGCATCTGTCGGATGGTGATGTTAAAGGTCTGTCCCCAGACCGAGACGTAAATAATCATGTATCTAATTGATACACGTCTGTAAAAACCCAATTACACACTCACACGATAGTAGTAGTATCATTATCATCATATTATTAGAATCAAGCATGAATCATCAGCTGCCCATAAGAGCTATGTATTGTCCATGGCAGTTATAGTCTTCTTGCGGGCAGCCGACAATGTGTAATGCAGGGCAGAGATCCAGAGAGGCACGGATACACTGAATGTTATGTAGGAAATTAAGAAGGTTTCTCTTTAGGGCAGATATGCCTGTACGCCATAGTGCTACTACATGTACCCTTTAAAGGCCCACTGCACTACTTGTAGCTACTTGCGCCCTCTATATAACAAACAATGCCTAATCGGTGACCAGTGGTCCCCCATGATCCTCTTTTTCTTATGTTAACTGAGAGCTGAGTTGATGAGATAACCACCTGTCCAGTGACCTTGCAGGGCAGTCTAGTCCCTCCTGTAAACTACGGCAGATAAGCTTTAATACAAATTCTAGGTATAGACACGGATGAATCATTAATATTGTATCATTTGATAATAGGTGGAGAAACATTTCATTGCTTAATTTTTTTTTCTTCTGTACCACCATGTCCTGTATGATCAGTTATATATTTTTGTGTGGATTCTATTGTTTATATTAGTATGAATATATTTATGTTTATATGTTTAAACAAAATTGTACCTTTAGCATTCTTGAGATTACAGTATCTCTGAAGCTGCTTTTTCAAAGATGAATATTTTTTTTCCATCAATTTATCATCGTATCAAAAGTTCGAAATAAATATTTAACGATCATGTAACAAAATAATCAACATGGTCATAGAGTTAACGAGGCTTTGAATTTTGTAAGGGCGTCTAGTCTGCATATATGTTACTTGTTGATATGTCGGGCAAGTCTCTAGGATAGGATGTACTGTGATAGCAGGTGATGGTGCAGACAACAATAAAATGATGTCAAATTTTAATAGCATATCTGTACAGCGCTTAGAGACATTGTATTAAGCACTATATAAGCGGAATATTATTATTATTATTGTTATTATTTACAATTGAAGATGTACTTTACAAGCATTCAACTTCTTGATCCAAACTTCTTTTTTTTTTTTTTAGGTGATTGCCCAGCGTATAGTTGATGTTTATTGTCATCTGGCCCCTTCACGCTGCTCACAGCTTTTTCTTTTGAGCGAGGTCAAATGTCATATGAGTCCGCAGAAGAGATTGGAAGTGCTTCAAAAGTTGAAGCAGCTGCAATCTGAGAATAGCTATCAGTAAGTTATTCATTGATTATAATTTCTATACCCCCCCCCTCCTTTCAGACTACGAGGATTAATTGCAATCGCTATACGCGAACGGTTTAGGCAGTATAACTATATAAGTATTTACTTTTTATCTAGTCTGAACGTCATTTAATGATATGTGTTGTGGAATGCATTTTTAAGCATCTTTTCCAATGAAAATTAAATTAAGAATCAGGGTCCCGTTCTAGTTCTAAACAGTGCATCATATGAAGACCCATTAAAGTTAGTTGATAACTTTGCTCTTTATCTGATATGTCATGTACTGGATTCTTGACTGCTGTATTCACAAATGCAAACTTTTAAACTGCTTTCTCTCACCCTCTCCCTCCCTCTTCCCCCTCTCTCTCTCTATTTCTCTCTCTCTCTCTCTCTCCCTCCACCCTCTCTCTTTCTCTCTCCCCCTCCTCCCTCCCTCCCTCCCTCCCTCCTCCCCTCTCTCCCTCTTTCCCTCCCTCTTCTACCTCTCTCCCTCCCACCCCCTCTCTCTCTCTCTCTCTTTCTTTCTCTCTCTCTCTCTCTCTCTCTCTTTCTCTCTCTCTCGCTGATATTATAGGTGGTCCGCAAGTGATAACCTAGCCATGATCCTGATCAATCTAGAGTTAGGAGAGATGGAACAAGCCAAGTTCGCTACCTCTTGTCTTACTCCAGATGAAGTCTTACATCTCATCCCGGCCAACTCCAGTCTCATCCTAGATTCTAACAGACAATTTACTGACTTTGCCAGGGTAAGAGTAATGTACTTGTATCTTAAAGACCATAGCCAAACTGAAAAAATGAAAAAGATGAATTATATATCAACAGAAAGCTTATAAGCCATAGATTACAATAATATCAATCATATGCCATTTTAGTGTCTGTCAGAGGATCAGCTCTCTGAAAACTCAAAATCTAAAGCTTTGACCCGAAATTTGGAGGGGTGTGGAAAATGAGGTTTCAGTTTGCTTTTGTGCAATAATGAAAGGGTAAATACTTTTTATTCCTTTAATACTTTGTTCTACATTCATTCAGTTTTCCATTTATGTCAAGTTGTATTTTCATATTCATTTTATCTACGTTCTTCTTCTTCTTCTTCTTCTTCTTCTTCTTCTTCTTTTTCTACTTCTTCTTCTTCTTCTCCTCCTCCTTCTCTTCCTTCTCCTTCTCTTCCTTCACCTTCTTCTCCTTCTTCTTCTCCTCCTCTACTTTCTTCTTCTTCTCCTTCTCCTTCTTCTCCTCCTTCTCATTTTTTTTTTATCTTGTCTGTACAGCTTATATGTAAAGAAGCAATGGAGTGCATGGTAGAAGTGTTACTCAGTCTCCTAGATCACGATCAACTCACTCTCAAAGAGGCTACCTCCATTCTAAAGGTAAGCAGACTTCAATGTATGGCCAGAGAGTAGACAGAAATAACCGTTTGATATGAGGAATTCTTTAATCAACTACCCTCATACCTTGTCGCCAAAATCAGAGGGGGGGGGGGGGGGGGGGGGTGGTTCACTCATGAATTGGCCACAATCTCCTTGAAATTTGTCTCTCTTTAAAAAAAAAATCTTATTTATTTTAACCGTGATGTTTTGATGTAGAAATCTTTGATCTGAAAAGAAATATGTGTGATCGTCCTAAACTGAAAAAATAACACTGGAAGTCACAGATAGTAAAGCTTCAAAATACACATGCTTGCCTTCAGCTGATCTGTCCAGATTCATGAAGCTGCTGTGCTTCGACACAAGACGCCCTTCCTTCTCTGTGAAGGGAAGGTCAGTGAAGCCAGACGTAGTCTGTTGTAGGTATTACGTACCAATATAGGACAGGGAATGCATAGTTCAGTTTACTTTACTTCAACCAGTCTATGGAATTAGATAAATGAGAAAGATTTGTTTTTGTTCTGTTTTGTTTGTTTTTAATTGTGGGGGGGGGGGGGGGGGCATTGTTGGTCTGAACTTCTCTTTAAAGTTCAATTGTAATATCTGAAATTTCTTGTGCAGGAATACAACCCTGGTTCGGGCACAAGCTGCCCACTGCTGACGAGATTATTGGAATTAGTGATGTGCTCTGCAAAATGGCAACACCTTTACCCTGAAGCTATGGTAAGATTTCAGCACAGATGATATCGAGGTCAGTGACACAAAGACGTAACACCATTTTGTCCATTTTGAAAAACAGAGGTTTATGTGTCACTGAGCACTTGGACCTTTAGGAGCTAAGTCTATGTTTCACTAGCCATTGACTTCAATGGAGTGTTGGGTGGAGTTAAGTCTTTGTGTTTCCTGGAAAGCCCACATTTTTCTGAACATTTTAATAACAAATACTCATTTTGGCAAAATATGGGGTTACGTCTTTGTGTCACTGAACCCTCAATATCTTCTTTTCATTTTGAAGACATTGCAGTCCACTGTGTGAGTGAGTTAATTGGTCAGGTTTGATACAATTAGTACCGGGTATCTAGATATAAGTATAGTTTTGAGGGTGTCTTTGAAAATGCATGGAAAACTGCTCTAGAAATACTAAAAAGACTATAAAAAGAGAGTGATACATATTTGATATATGAAGAATTTTGATCACTTATGGGAAAGATGTGATAGGTCAGTGATTAAGAAAGTGCATTAAAACATTGAATTTATCTTCACACAGAAATAAGATATATAAATGTCAAGGAGTAAAGATAATTTGAAAACGAGTGAATGGACCAAGAAAATATTTGAGAAAGATAAAATATGTGGCAAATACCTTGTAAACATTACACAATGACAGTGAAAGAGCTTTAAAGCCCCACTGCACTACTTGTAACTACTTGCGCCCTCTATATAGCCAACAATGCCTAAGTGGTACCCATTGGTCCCCCATGATCCCCTTTTTCTTATGTTAATTGAGAGCTGATTTGATGGGATAATCACCTGTCAGTGACCACGCAGTGAGGTCTAATCCCTCCTGGCCAAACAAGTGCAGAGGGGCTTTAAAGCAAACTTGTGTGATTGTGTTTGCATGTTTAGATGAAGTGCATACGATGAAGATGGCCGTTGAAGGAACAGTGATACCTTGAGTGAAAACAATAACGCACAAGGCTTGTAAATCCAGAATATCATTATCATTATTTATATAATTTCTCTCTTTCTTTCCTTTTTTTTTTAGCAAGAGGTTGTTCCTATCTACCTATCTCAGTTGCTTCATTCTGATCAGCCTTCAATGATGAACACGTCCAGAGCTTGTCGACGTACGCACGCACATGTGGTAAGCAAGAACACCATGTTCATGATAGATTATGAAAAGAGAAGAAAGTTGTAAATGATGAATATTTATTAAAGTCAAATAGTATATATTACAATCCATGTAGAACATTCGGGCAAGTCTTGGAGAAAACAGTTCTGAAATGTGTATGATATATGAAGGGCCATGTATTATAAAGCCTTTTGATTGATCGTAAGGTTAATATTGAGCGTAAGTCTATGGCTCATCGTGTGACGTGTATTGATCAAACTTAACATCAATCATAACTCTTTATAATATGCGGCCCTGGGGCCCGTTGCATAAAACTTACCATTGATGGTAACTTTGCCATCAACGGCAACTACCATGGTAATGGGGCTCAACCAGCGCTCAAAATACACGGGGGCGGTGGGCGATTCGCCCCCGTGAGCTCCATAATTGCCCCCGTCAGGTTGCTCACGGGGGCGATTGCAAAATTAAAAATCGCCCCCGTGGAATTATAAAATTAAGATTATCTTTTCTGATATAACTTTAACACAATATTGAGTATTAATTTTCAAACCTTAAACCAATGAAATAGAACTTAGATGGCGCTTTCTCTACCATCTCTACGAGTATTCCCGATACAAACAACGGAAGCTCGCGGTGCGGCCGTCAGCACAGTGGCTATACTGCGCTGGTAGTACCGGTGTGCACGCTGACGCCCAATATCTGCTGGAGCTGGTGATCGACAATCGCGCAAGGACTGAAACATGGAGAAGTTTTTCGTTGTGAAAGTTTGAATCCTCTGAAATCTGGTGATTCTTAAAGACCAGCAAATAATGTAACCCGACCAGTAAATCAATATTGAGAAGAGGAAGAAGGCATAAGATGTTGCAGGGGCGGATCTAGGCGGTTTAGGGGGTTTGACCCCCCCCCCCCCTTACGCTGCCAAGGAAAAATGTGATGTGCACAGAAAAATGCTATCATGTGTCCAGACCTACACAGTATTAGTAGATGTCAGTAGATGCCAGGAAAACATCACTAACGGGGGTTCAAAAAAGCACCAAAAAATCGCCTCGCCGCTTCGCGGCTCGTGGACGATGATCCGCATGTTAGTAGATGCCAGGAAAACACCACTTACGGGGGTTCAAAATAGCAACAACAAAAATCGCCTCGCCGCTATGCGGCTCGTGGACGATGCTCCACATCGTATTTGGGGTACCCCCCCCACCCTTAGCAAAAAGCTTGATCCGCCCCTCTGTTTTGGAAGGATATGGTAAAGACTAAAAGTAAAGAAAGAATGTAAATAAGGTTGCTCCGAATAATGAGGAGGAATTTATGTGCAGAACGGGAAGAAATGGAGAAAATGTCCTCACGGGGATAAAAGTCAATAACAGCTATGTAACAAGTAAATTTCTAAGAGGAAAAATACCGACTTAGATAAATGATAATGATAAAATACCAAGGAGTTTCACGGGTACCAATTCAATGGAAATTTGTATTAAAATAAGAGCCCCCGTCAGCACTAAAAGCGCCCCCGTGAGAAGGCTCACGGGGGCTCTTTTTTTTTGGAAGAGCCCCCGTGGGCAAAAAATTAATTTGAGCCCTGGGCTCAACAGCCAATCAAAATCAAGGTTTCCATGGTAGTTACCATTGATGGCAAAGTTACCATCAATGGTAAGTTTTATGCAACAGGGCCGTGGTCAAACTTCCAAAGTCGATATGACTTATGTTTTTTTTTCTTTTAAGGCATAGAATTGCATAAAAACTTAAAAACGGCTTTCTCATCCTACCACGTATCCATTTATCATTGTAAATAAAACGCCTTGCTTAACGACATTAGTGCCATGCCGGAGATCGAACCCTTAACCCTCGCATCACCAGCCAAGTGTTTTGCCTATGTGACTGTGACACCTCTACCTTACAGCTGTTTGATTGTTTTCTTACAGCCTCAGGGTGATGGCTGCTTTGCTGGAAGATTCAACTGGCTGAACAAACTCCCCCCATTCCAAGGTAAGAAACCAAAAACACAATATACAGTCCACACTTTTTAATTATGAAGGAGGTACACATACATTCTTCTTATAAAGAAATCTAATAAAAGTGGAAGAGATGAAGGTTAGTTGTATACATGGACGTATACATGTGAACTACACAAAAGAAAAAATGTCCATTGGCATTTGGGCTCACATCGTGATGTTTTTTTGTCTCCGAAGAAATGTGTGGTGAATTATAGTCATTTTTATGCCTCCGCAACGAAGAAGCAGGAGGCATTATATTTTCGGGTTGTCTGTCCGTCCGTCCGTCCGTCTGTACATCTTGTTCCTGTGATCCTGTTATCTCAAGAACCGATCGATAGATTCCCGCCAAACTGGGGTCTTGTATGTATCTTGCAGAGCCAACGAGCTGATTAGATTTTGGGGTCCCAAGGTCAAAAATCACAGGGCTCATTATGTATGCAAAAATAGCTCATGGTAACATTCATCAAAACTAATCGACAGATTACTATTTCAAACTCAAGACATGTATGTATCTCGCTGAGCCAATGATCCTAGTAGATTTTGGGGTCATGAGATCAAAGTTCATAGGTCATGGGGTTCATTATGTATGTATGTTATGTTCATTTTGTGTGTGCTTGTATTACTGTAACCATTCCTGGGGGGTGTTTCACAAAGATCCTAAGTAGAACTTAACACTAAGTTGGACTTAAAAATTATGGAAAGCCATTAGCATCTCTGAAAATATTTTGTAAAAGTTATTTTAAAAGGCATAAAATACTGATTCAAATCATAATTATGTTCTATTATCAAGGAGATGACCTTTTACTTGATGTGGAATGAATGAGAAGTCTAAAATACTTAAATTTTTGTTTTTGAATATATTTCATTTTAAGACTCCAATGGCTGTCCATAATTTTTAAGTCCAACTTAGAGTTAAGTTCTACTTAGGATCTTTGTAAAACACCCCCAGAACATATGAACACATCTGCCCTAATGTGGAGATTTGCATGCAGACCAAGGGCATGTATTCATGTCTCTTTGCCTTACTTGTTGAATATATTCTTTGAGACAATTTGAGTAACTCAGCTACACTAAAATGCATGCATGTTTTTACCATTGACTTGATTTGAATTGATTTGATTAATTTTTCTACTCAAATATCTACAAAGTGAAATGATATTATATAAATCATGCAGTATTACAATTTATAATAGAACAAGTGAATTATACAAGTAACAAAATACTTGATAAGTATGTACGCAATGAAATAAGTTTACAGAGTACATTTAAGTTTGAGAATAAGACAAATTATTTTATATTGCTTGATCTAACTTGGATAGGTTCTTTGAGGCAGACCTGCACGGGTCTAGAGCAGAAGGCCAGGTCCTGGAGGCTACAGCGAGGCCGGAGTGGGTCCGTAACCCAGCCCCAGACGCCCACCAAGAGCGGGGCTCCTTGCCCCTGCTGCTGCTGCAATGAAGTCCTCATGAGACTACAGGTCAGTGAAACTCAGGCAATGTTCCAGCATATACATACAGTCAAACCTGCTTTAGTGACCACCTGTCTACAAAGACCACATTTTTTGTTTCCCTTGAAAATGGTTTCTCTTTGAAACATGTACTAAAGGAACCTGTCTACAAAGACCACTTTTTGTGTGTCCCTTGGGCAGTCGCTATGGACATGTTTGACTGTAGTTAGTTTGTGGAGGTGTTGTGGTATAGTGGTTCATTCACTTGACTCTGGACAATTATTACCTTTGGCAAGGCATTAATCCACATTTGCCGCTCTCCACCCATGTGTTATATGGGCACCCGGTAGGTTGCGAAAGTTATTGTAGTTTGCTTAGCATTGTGAGCATTTGTAAAATGGTGAGTAGGAATGCTCCCCAGGTAGCAGAGAATGTGCATACATTGTGTCCTAGGAAGCCTGAATCTGATGACTGATTTAATAATGTTGTCATGAATAAGAATGCTCACAAAGACTCATGGAAAATAATCTTAACTTGAAACACTGACCAAGAACGTTGAATTTGTGAGACATGGTAAAGCAAGTGCCATGAGCAATCGGCAGATGCGATTACTGGCGCTATACGAGACGCCATCATAATCACCTTTTTAAGGAGGAGGCGCGAAAGCTCAGTCGGTAGAGCAGTGGTCTCGTGATCCGGTGACCCGGGTTTGAAACCAAGTTGATGCGCTAGTGCCCTTTGGTAAGGCATTAATCCTCATTACCAGGTCCCTCTGAGAGGACCTAAAGCCGTTGGCCATCTGGTTGCTTACTTACAAGCATTTATGCTTTCTTAGCAGTCAGGTAAAATAACCACCACCACCACACAATTTATATTTCCCATCTGCTTCTTCTACAGAGTCTACTCTGCTCAGAGCACCTGACTGATGAAGTAGCGTTGTACGTCATCGATGGGATAGAGGATATGAAGGAATGCAGGGGGAAGGGATCGTTGCAGCTTCTGTGCCAAACAAAACTAGACACAAAAGTAAGTACGTGGGAAGGTTGTTGAAAATGAAGTACATTTCTGAGGATTCATGATTGACATGAAAGCAGTTAACCCCCCCGGGGCAGTTTCTAGAAACCGTCATGAGACTGATTTAAATAAGAAATATTCACCTCAGGAAAATGTGAAAAAAGACCATAAACAAGCAATCATTTTGTTTTTCCTTAGGCTGCCCTGTCTGTGGTGATACAGGAGTACCCTAGCATAGCGGTGGAGTTCTCGAGCCATCACTGCGGGCACCGGGAGGACCTGTGGTCTCACGTTCTGGTCGAACTTGTCAAGGGACTGGAAGAGAAGACTACCGATGGGATGGAGACTCGCAAGGCCGTCTCGCTCCAGATGTTGTCAGGTACGTGTAATTATTCTGTCCATTCAGAACCAGAAGGGCATTGACTGTGTACTGGAGTGTATGAGTTAAAGCCCTTCTGGCTCCAAACAGACAATTTAACCTGTAGAATAATGTGGCTTGAAATGGGTTAAGATGACGCCCTTGCATATACATGTTAAATGAATATCAAGTTGTTAGCAATAAGTGAATAGTTATTAAGCCCCATATTCCTATTCTCTTTTCAGGCTAATTGATTGAAAGCAACCGTTTCCCCTTGTATTATGTAAGTGTAGTTTCATGAGCGTATTAACTTCCATTTAGGCCAACAAGTTTACACATTTTTAAAATCTTTTAAAATCTCTTTGTAGGTGTACTCGGCTACCTGGTTCAAGAGCTGGAAGCGTCGGCTCTTCTTTCCCTTCTGCCCTCTGACCTCCCCTTGACCCTCACTATGCCCTACATGGAGAGGTCACTGCTCAGAGACCGGGCGAGCAGACTTAGGGAGGAGATAGTAGCAGCGGGAATGGAAAGCATTAAGGGTTGCTAGGGAGAGAGAAGGCATGGGAGGGGAGGGGAGGAGAGAGAGAGAGAGAGGGGGGGGGGGGGGAGAGGGGATGAGATGGAGAGAGAGAGAGAGAGAGAGAGAGAGAGAAAGAGAGAGAGAAAGAGAGAGAGAGAGGGTGGGAGAGAGAGAGAGAGAGAGAAAGAGAGAGAGAGGGTGGGAGAGAGAGAGAGAGAGAGAAAAGAGGTGGTCAGCAGACTTATTGAGGAGATAGTAGCAGCAGGACTGGAAATCATTGAGGGTTGCTAGGGAGAGATACAGAGATAGGAAAATAGACAGTTGACAAAGAAGTTATTATATTATCTTTAGGTGTTATGAATATCTTTAACAGTATATTTTTTTTCATTAGAGTATATTATCCATTGGAGATACACTGGAGTGTTATTCCAAATATCTCCTTTAAGTTCATGAAAATATTACAGATAATTTCCATTGTGCAATATGTAAACTGTATACAATTTGTTTTTCTTCAAACATTTTGGTGCATGAAATGTTCTTTGTATGATATTATGGTATTTGTGCAAGTCCAAGCTATTTTTTCCCCAATACATTACCGACCAAATCTTAGAATTTAAAATAGCTAAATGTTTGTATTAATTTGCAAGCCCTGCTAGAGTTTGACGAGACCAAATATCAAGTGAAAGCTAATCTTGAGCTCTTGTATGGGCATCGTATGTCGAGAGAACATGGCTATAATTCAATCTGGATTGTTTATCCTGCAGTAGATTAATTGTTTAAACCAGTAAAATAAAAACAACCTCATAAAAAATTGCTGGAAATCATCTTCAATAGAAACCACAACTCTCATTAGCAAATAGTGACCTGTGTTAAGCACAGGGTGTCGGGCCTACTTACCTTGGTTTTCTTTTCTTTCTATGCTCATTACTCAACCCCTATACACTTTCTACCAAAATCATTTAGCACATGTCATATATTTTTAGTCTTGAATATTCAGTGTGGGTTTTGTTGGATTCTGTGATAGTTTATTTTCTATCATTACCAGAACTCAAGCTTATCTTTAAATGATACCTTTGTTGTCAATCTATGTTCATAATACCATAAACTTTGGTACTATACAGGATTAAAAATGACCAATTCCTTGGACTTACCCATTTCATTATTTTATTGTCCACTCATTGGTCAATCGAGAATTTGATTTAACCCTTATAAAAACAAAATCATTATACTCACAAACCATTCACATATATTGTCTAAGTGCAGTATTATTTTCTTTAAAAAAGGAAAACTTATGTAATATAGAAAATGAAACATTTGTGATATAGATCATGAAGCATATAATGTAATATAGAAACATGTAACTGCAAATTTATTTTGTGCAATAAATGAGCTTATTAAAAAAACTCAATTAAGTTATGTATTGTAACCTTCAGAGTGATCTAATGATGCCTTGTAAAATGAGAGAAAGTGTGAAAGAATGTGGGCAAAACTCATCACTGAAAAGTAAAAGCTACAAAGATAAAAGCAAATTGAATGTCATGTGAGAGGGAGTATGTGTGCTTAAAGATGAAGTTGAGTTCTGGTCATGCGATTGCATTGTGAAAGAAACGGTGTGGAACCGACCAGAAAAGGTTGATCATCTAGCATATAATAATTTGTGTGTATTGCAAGGTTCTGGAATATCAAAATGATAAGAAATTTGGCCAAGTCTTGGTAAAGTAACAAACACTGTACACGGAAAGCCTTCCCCCCGATTTTTAGGATATTACATGCATATTTAGAATATGAAGGCATTTGAAGAGCCATGCTTTTCAGGGAACATGTCTTATCTGATGTTCTTCCACACTTGCATAATAAAAATGAGTAACGCTCACAAATTATTTTTCACCTCTTCCCAGGACTCAACCTTCTCTTTAACAATGTGCCGATTGCAGCATATTTTGATATTGTTAACATTGATAATGAATAATAATAATAGAAATGATGATGTTGACAATGATAATAATAAAAATTAAAATGATGATGATAATAATATTGATGATGGTGATGATAATGATGATGGTGATGGTTATGGTGTCGATAATAATGATGCTACCGGATGGTTATGACGACTGTGGTGATGATTATGGTGATGATCATAACAATGATGACAATCCCAGGACCAAAATCCAGTTGAAACCAATTGGAGCAAAACCAATTGAAACCAGTTGCCAACTGGTTTCAATAGGGAAATTGGAACAACTGGTTCCAATTGAAACCAGTTGAAACCGATTGCCAACTGGTTCCAGTTGCCTAATTGGTTTCAACTGGAACCAGTTGTTCCAATTTCCCTATTGAAACCAGTTGGCTACAATTGGTTTCAATTGGTTTCAACTGGTTTCAATTGGTTTCAATTGGATCCAATTGAAACTTACAGTTGGCATAAACTTAATTAGCTATAAGTTAATTAGCTCTTGCACTAATTATCGCTCATGTCAACACAGAGGCATTGTTATATGTGTCTACATTAAGTACAATGTAAAGGGCATTATAATATGCGGACCATATAATATACTTAACAAGGAAGGCATTGCTATTATATATGTTTGTATTTGATGTATTTTGTACATGGTTAGTGTTTTACTAATCAACTTTTAATCTGTGTAATTACAAAAATATGTTACTAATGAACATGCTTATCATTGCTAATTAATCTTTATATTTATCTAAAACAAATGCATTACTTGCAAATGAAAATTAATTAATAAGTACATTGTAAATCAAAATAAATTACATAAAACATTGATCTGCACACAAGCAGATAATATGCAAATTAACTGGTTTCAATTGGATCCAGTTGGGTAACTGGAAATATTTCCAATTGGAACCAATTGTGTAACTGGAAATGAATTCTAACTGGAACCAGTTGGGTAACTGGAAATTACTTCTAACTGGAAATGAATGCTAACTGGAACCAATTGGGTAACTGGAAATGAATTCTAACTGGAACCAGTTGGGTAACTGGAAATGACTTCTAACTGGAAATGAATGCTAACTGGAACCAGTTGAGTAACTGGAAATAAATTCTAACTGGAACCAGTTGGGTAACTGGAAATGACTTCTAACTGGAACCAGTTGGGTAACTGGAAATGACTTCTAACTGGAAATGAATGCTAACTGGAACCAATTGGGTAACTGGAAATGAATTCTAACTGGAACCAGTTGGGTAACTGGAAATGACTTCTAACTGGAAATGAATGCTAACTGGAACCAGTTTGGTAACTGGAAATGACTTCTAACTGGAACCAATTGGGTAATTGGAAATGAATTCTAACTGGAACCAGTTGGGTAACTGGAAATGACTTCGAACTGGAAATGAATGCTAACTGGAACCATTTGGGTAACTGGAAATGAATTCTAACTGGAACCAATTGAGTAACAGGAAAATCATCTTACCGTTTCCAGTTGAACTTCTAACTGGAACCAGTTGCTTGGGTAACTGGAAATGACTTCTAACTGGAACCAATTGAGTAACTGGAAAAATTACCTTACTGGTTCCAGTTGCACTTCTTATTGGTTTGAACTGGAAATGAGTACCCATAACAATATTTTCCAGTTCGGCAATTGGTTTCAACTGGAAATTTTATATTCCAATTGAAACCAATTGAAACCAATTGAAACCAGTTGAAACCAATTGAAACCAGTTGGAGATTTCAACTGGTTTCAATTGGATTTTGGTATGGTGATGGTTATGATTGTGATGATGACAGGTATTAATTATAACGAGTAACATACCCTCAGGGGGTGCAAAATGCTCTTGAAATAAAATATATCCATAACGTACACCAAAGGTATTAACAAAATATATTCTCAAAAAGTCATGGACCGTCTTGAAATTTTTACTGATCATGACGAAAGACTTCATTCATGGCTGATTGTCAACGACACGGAGTTAAGTCTTTTGTCAATTCTGTTTGTTGCTATGGCAGGCAACCAGTGAAAAAGAATTTGTTTAATAAAATTATTATGCAAGCATTACTTTAAACAAACAGAACTGTTATTCCTAGCTCATTTTTCCTGATTGAGTTATCATAGAAAAAGTCAGAACTTGCTAGAAATGTGACTTTCTCTTTAAAATTTTGACACCGTCCGCAAAATGACTTTTTGGTATCCTTTCTTCATATTGATTTTAATCACTCATGTGTGAAATACGCATCATATGAGTTGCATGAAATGAAAGAGGAGGATCTAAGCTTTATAAATAAGTGTAATTTATTAATTATAATTGTGATTAAGTTATGATAAAACATCGATAATTCTCGGTTTTGTGTTTTCTGGGACGCACTGTATTTACCGGCGGCAGCCATTTGCGTACTTTGAGACACCGTACTAGTTGCTTACCTCGGAATTCCAAGAATTAGAGTTGTCCGCTAAGTTCGAATTCTAATCGGAGAACTTGTTTTACCTGAGGAGAAAAGGGAGGAGGAAAAGTGAGGTAAAACTTGGTCTTTTACTTGTTCTATTGAATTGTGATATTCTATTTTTGATTTAGATCACATTCGAGCTGTATAGATGTTGTAAAATTGATGTTTTTATTGAGTCTGGGAATGTGCTGTGTGCTGTACGTGCCACTCGAGTCCAGCAAAGCAGAGACCCGAGAGTCAAACTCAAAGTCAATGCTGTCGATCGATGAGTGTGTGAATTGTGTCACTTGATCTACTGTGTGTTGCATGTTGGAGTTGGAATGAATGTGTGAATGATAGGAGATCGATATGACCTTTGTTTGTCCGCCCACAAGATTTGACTTTAAAATGACACTGATTTTCTTTAATATTCTTCAAATGCTTGATCAGATCAGGATACAGTAACAGTGTAGACCCTATGTGAGTTTAAATGGATACCCAGTAAGACTAAGAGGGCCCTTTGAAGAACTATGAGGCACTGAGTCTTTTTCCCCCCTACCATAATCCCCTTAATCCCCTCCCGGACCGCACAGCTCGTAAATCTCACTCCCGAAACTGAGTGACATAGGGCTTGCGAAATGCTTTGTTGAAAATACACATCGGCTGCTATCAACAAAAATGGCGGCGTACAGTATAGGGATGAGTATTTGCTAGGTGACAATTTAGACTTTCTGACTGATTTTGAGGAATTTTTAATTTATGGGAAGTTGGAGACCAATACACTAATGCACGTGTGAAATTCCATCAACGGAAAATCTTATTCGTTGCAGCGAACCAGAATGTTTCATCGTGAATGTGTAGGCCACTCCAGCAAAGCATAGATAGAGGTCTAGTTGATACTAATGCGTATTGACTACTAGCACTGCAGTACGTGCAGGCGAGTTGGCTCAGTCGGTAAAGCGTCTGCCTGTCGAACCAAAGATCCCGGGTTCGACTCGCACCCAGGCGGTGACTGAAGCCTGCGTTGTGTGTTAACGTGCCCCTTCCCTTGTTCATAGATGCAGGTTATGTCAAGTGGAAAACACTCCGTCCCTCGGATAGGACGTTAAATGGAGGCCCCGTGTACAGGAGAGTCACCACCCTTGCACGTTAAGAACCCATTGCACTATTCGTATAAGAGTAGGGGGAAACCCCGGTGTAATGGTCCACCTGCATACCCCAACCAGGCCGAGTTTACGGCATCTGCAAGAATCTTCAGTATTGAAGGAGGCAGATTATCTTGAAGAAGAAGAAGAAGAAGAAGAAGAATAGGCAGCATTTGAATACATGAATAGTCAATACACTCACAACATACAAATGCACATAATCATCCCAATGCGGTTGATCGGCAAGTTTGACAGTAGACTCACAATTTTAATTTTTAAATTATTCTTTCTAACATCGGAAAGTTAAACAAATTGTATTTTAATGCTCTTTAGGTGTCATCAATCGTCACTAAAGTACTGAATTTGAGTGAAATCAGTTGAGTTTTGTACAGTGGTGTTTTGAAATGTTGAAAATCAATAGCACAACATTTAATACACGGCCAGAGTAGTAATGCAGCTATGTGTGTTTCCACCCACAACATGCAGCATGTACAGCCCAGCGAGCACGGCGGCTTGCGCGTCGCTGGCCCCTACTCGGGGTGAAGAGTGGTGATGAATTGAGAACTTCTAACCCTCATTAAACCAAATGCGCAAATATATAACACAATTTAATTTAGTTATTTTAAGAGATAAACTTATGGACTACCTTCCTAGCTATGTAAAAATTTCGGAAACTTTCGGAAAATGTCAATAATTAGAAGAGAACGTGTCGTGATGATGATGAGAAACTTGCATTCACTCTAACTCACGATTTCCTTGGTCGATTTCGCTGGTTCAGATGGCTACGTCTTCAGTAGAGTTATCCAAGCACAGCGAAAGCATTTGATAACCAATGGAAGGTTGCATTGTGCCATAAGTTGTCGATTTTGTATTTTATATGTTATAGCTATATAGCCTACATCTTCAATGAGTATGACATCATTTTCTTGGTGACACGCATGGCTTCAAAGCCTTTTTTTTTACAACCAAGTGTTTGGAAAGCTTTGGAAAGCTTAGGGAAGCAGACCGCGTTGCGTAACATTTCGTAACATTTGGATTGCCAGAGGGCATCTGTGGTCTGATAAGGGCGGCTGTTAATGGATTTGATGGCTGAAGAGGGTTACATGACTTGTTGTTAAGCCAAGTTAATTTTGAATATCTTTCCCTCGGGGAAATTCTTTCGAGACGGAATATCCATTTAACTCACATATCCCTGATCAGATATTATTCTTTATATTTTAAGGAGTAGATCTAAATGGTCCGGATGCTTATGACTACAATAAAGTCCTCACTATTGCCTTAGTATTGACCAAATTATGCATCAAATAGCACTGACCATCATGCATATTTGTTGTAAATAATATTGTCTAACGTAACATAAGTCTTGAAGCTTTATGAAATAGACCCTATTGCATATAGCCTAAACTTCTTCAAGTCCAACTTCAAGTTTATTCATTTTTTTTAACATGCATTTATTTTTCATTCTAGTGGTGCATGACCAAAGACAAACTTCGCGGAGATTTTGAAAATATTAGAAAATGTGATATTCGATCTATGATTTCTCATATTCTACACAAATTTATTTATTTAAATATTACCAAATGGACAGCAAAGTTTTTTGATACAAATTGTTTCAAGTTCAACAAGAAAATTTATTGTCAAAAGTTTGATATCTCGATCTAAAATTTTTGATGTTGTATCGGCATGCGTGCTGCAACTAGAAAAGTCATAAAAACAATGAGACCTACTTCGCACACGAGGGTTGCAGCCGATTTATACAAAAATGTGATCCATCGAAATAAGATAATTTCATAATTTGCAAGGCAAGATAACATTCAATCAGTTGGTACCACTTCTTACTTTCAATTTTGAGGATATCTGCTTACAAAGTGAAGATTTCCAGACCCTTATCGAGTTAATAATTTTTCGGAACGGACGCAAATGACTGCAAATTGTGCCAATCTTTTGTCAATGTTTTCATAATTTCACACTCAATTCCAAAGAAAATTCTGTCTCTGGGTAATTTTATGTTCCTCTCGCTCTTTCCATTGGTGATATCAGATTTACGAAATCTTACCAATTTGTTGAGATAGCGAACGTAGGTCATGCTCAAACTATGGTCACCAAATATTAATCACGGTACATATACCACTATGGTTTAAATAATTCAAGAAAAACAAAAATAAAACAAGCATTAAAAGTCATAAAAGTCATAAAACATAATTCATAATTTAATGGAGAGAACAACATGGATGATTTGCTGGAGGTTAATTCTGAGCTTAATGCAGTGTGTAGTTTTGTTCTTGCTCGCTTGACAATTTCATTCACATGACATGACCAGGGCCTGTCTTAAAAAGAGTTGCGATTGTGATATCAATTGCAACTACTGTACTGTATGTACATAAGAGATAGGAGACTGCAAACTTAGGATTGATTGGAGGACTTTTGATTGATACAGATCAAGTACTTCAAGTAATTTTACAACCGATACTTTAATCAATTCATGATTATCCACTGTATTGCGAGTGTCACTATCTCTGAATGCATGAAGTAGACATTCATTAAAACACATTTTGGAGGATTTGATATGCTGTTGTTCTGTTTTGTCTGGTTTGGGAGTTCATTTCCCCTATTTTGTATGGCTGAAGGTTCGTTTACTTTCCTGCATTTCAGGGGGGTGTTTCACAAAGACTAAGATCGACTTTAAGTTGGACTTAACTATGACAGGCCACTATTGGTCTCTCAATTATAATCTCTAGATAATATTTTTTCCTTCAGTAATGAATTCTATAGATTTGTGACCATGATTTATACGTCCCTTCAGAGACCAATGCCAGTAAATGGTAAGAGCAAACAGTGGCATGAACCGCCTGCCATAGTTTAGTCCAACTTAAATTCGATCTTAGTCTTTGTGAAACACCCCTCAGTAGTAATAGGTCATGCACGAATGATGGCCAGACTACCATAGATTCAACCTTCAACTTTCCCTGTTCATGTGCATTGAAACAATTTCTAGAGTCCAGTAGATGTGGATTGAAGCTAGGATGCGATGTGTGACCCGTTCCAGCCTCCAGCCATGTCCGGTGAGATCTTCCAGCCCCTAGAGACCTTCGAGGAGCAGGTGGAGTCCGGGCGCGGCCCCCTGACGTGTCGGCTCTGCACCCAGCAGTACGAGGACCCCCGCATCCTCAACTGCCATCATGTCTTCTGCGGTAACTGCCTGCGTGGGAGGGCCGTCGATGGCTTCATGACGTGCCCCCTGTGTGGGTAAGTAGTGGTAGGCACTCCAGCAAAGCGTTGACCTCTAGCGCTGCACTACCTGCTAATAGGCAGCAATTGCACACATGAATAGTCAATACACGCATAACACACAAATGCACACAATGAAGACGATGTGGCTGTAAGCAAGTTTGACAGTAGACTCAGGATTTGAATTTTCAAATTATTCTTTCTAACATCTGCAGATTGAAAAAAAATTGTATTTTACTGCTTTTTAGGTGTCATTAATTGTCACCAAAGTACTGATTTTTAGTGAAATCAGTTTTTTGTACAGTGGTGATTGAAATGTGGAGAATAAATAGGACAGCTTTCTAATACACAACCAGGATAGTAATGCAGCTAGGTGTCATGGTAGGATGATTTGTACGAGGAGTTGGAGTAGTGGGCTGCTCTACCAGGCATCCGTGTGATGTTGTTAAGTCCCACATACTTTAAACACAAAGCCATGTTTTATATGCACAGTACACGCTCACATTCTCTCGTACCTTTTTTTTCTTCCTAACTCAAGAATGAAAAGCTGGACTGGTTGAATTAGGGCCTTGGTTGAGTAATACTTTTAGATGTAAGCTTTAATATGTCACATTATCTAATAACATATATTAGGACAAGTCAGTCTATTAAAATATTATAATAATGAATAATTTAGTTGTTAACTATATTTTTAGAAATGCAATTACATTTGCTTCTCTGCTGCACCTCACACTGACACAGAATTTTATCATCTCGGGATTGCTTCTAGGAGCTGCTAAAAAGAATTCTCAAAGATTTTAGGTAGTAGGAGGAGTGCTAGGATTCAAGCCATTTGCTCAGGCATAAGAGCCTTTGGTTTAATGTCCTACTTGTCCTCAGCAGAAATGTAGAAAATGAGTTTTAAATATTTTTTCGGTCTGGGAAAAGTCAGCGAATTTTAAGATGTGGTAAATCACTGCAAATGGGGACAAAAATTTGTGGAATTTCATTACTCAACGAGCAATGGAGAAAAAGATGTCGCATTTATCTCTGCAAGACAAAATCAACCACAAAGTCATACGCCAGAAAACAATGGTTAAAGACATCATGGAGAAAGTCAGAGAATCAAAGTGGAGATGGCTGGGCATGTAGCAAGACTTCAGGACAAGAGATGGACAAATCGTTTAACAGAATGGCAACCAAGGATGGGAAAGAGAAGAAGAGGAAGGCAGAAGAGAAGATGGAGAGATGACCTAACATCATACATGGGAACGGCCGCTTGGACTAGGACAGCTACAGACAGGAGAGAATGGAAATTTCATTAGGAGGGCTTTGTCCAACGTCTGGATGAACTATAGCCTGATAGATAGATAGATAGATAGATTAGCCCAAACTGGAAGAAGTCATTGTCTTTTTATTTTGTCACTCATCAGGACAACTTATCTGTGTTTCAAACTGGGTATAGGTTGAAAGAATGAGCCTGGAATGAGGAAAAACGCTGGTTAAGATGTAGTAGGCTGTGCATCCAGCAGTAATAGGACTCCATTTCTACAACTGCCACCATTCCTTGGAAACTACTTGCCAGGCTGAGGAGTCTAAATGTCTTATCATTCACAAGAATATCCGTTTGTTAAAATATGTGCTTATACGATATTGCCCTGAGTTATTATCATGTAAAACCAGACTGCCTCATGTGTTCAACAAGAGCTATGATATTTTTTCCCCCAAACAGCACCCGTAGCTTTCTCACCAATGGTTCTAACCTGCCACAAGCTGACCCTGTCATCAACTTCCTTCTCAAGTCATCTGAACAAGAGAGGGCACTGTGTGCCAACTGCGACACCGTAAGTATATATACGGTCAAACCTGCTTTAGTGACCACCTGTCTACAAAGACAACTTTTTTTGTTTCCCTTGAAAATGGTTTCTCATTGAAACATGTAATAAAGGAACCTGTTTACAAAGACCACTTTTTGTGTTTCCCTTGGGCGGTCACTATAGACAGGTTTGACTGTACCCACCCTCTCAATTCAGTTTGATGGAGAATGTGCACGGTAATGTGCAGGGTAGTAACTTAATCCAATGATGGGGTCCTAATAATACTGTAATTAGCTCTTTGGTCGGTTGTAACTGGTATAGCATTTTACAAGAGATGGTTATTATTAATATTTGTTGTACTGGTAACAGTTTTCATGACACATAGATTTTGGTAGAAGAGACATATTAAATTTGTATATATTTTTGTAAATTTTTAATATTCATGATGCTTAAGTCCATGAGATAATCATGATGAATACAGATAGGTTTGAGGTCATATGTCATAGTGGGCTAGTCTTGGGGAGATGAAGAACATGGTCCAACTAGAGGTGGTGTGAAAAAGAAGGATTTTGATCAAAGTAAGGATAGCAATCTGTTCTTGTATAGCTCACATATGACACGATATAATATGCCCATCCAAAGAGGCTAGGATATTATTAACCTATTGCTTCGGCAGCCGTTATCAGCGCACAGTTCATGTGACACAAGGACTGAATCCTGTCAGGTACCCATTTAACACCCGGGTGGAGAGAGACAGATGTGGATAAATCGCCACCGGGCTGAAATTTTGCTCCTATCATGTATCTAGTATTCAGTGGCTTCATGCATCGCACTGTGGTGCATTTGCAGAGATAAGGTATAGCTCAATGCATAATAGATACCGGTACAATAAACACTGTTTAGAAATCTTCTTTAAATAGAAATATGATATATTAAAACACTTGAATAGATTGAAACATGACTTCCAATGCTCTTTTCTTTTAGATGCAATCTTCAATGTTCTTCTGCAATACATGTAACCAGGCACTTTGTGCATTGTGCAAAGAGGAAACTCACATGGCCAAGATGTTTGCCTCCCATCAAGTGGTTTCTCTCAAGAAACGCACGAGCGAACAGCACAGGAAATGTGGTATGTGGGCAAACATTTAGATTGTAAAGTTCATAATTCCGAAAAATAAGATAGCTTCCATTCTCACAAAGGTTGGTAATTCCGAAAACGATACAGGGTTCTATTTGATTTTCAGATTTATGAGCTGTTGGGGTTATGAACCTGTTTCATTAATTTCAGAAATATGAACCCTATTATCATTTTCTGAATTACAAATATACATCCATTTCATTTGGGGAATTTGTAACCTTTTGTCAGTTGTAAAATTATGAGCCTTCAGAATTACTAACCTACAGATTAAAATACCTTTGGAAAAACAAACCTTTGTAATGATGAAAACCTGTGGAAAAAAGACATGTCCCTCACCTATGAATTCCTGACTGGACTGGTGGAAGGTTACATGCACTTTAATAGAAAGAATTCAAAGTCTGAATGATATCAAGATCAAGAAGTTTAAGATGCTATTCTGAAGAAAAATACATCCCATGAGGACATTTGCGGTAAAGCACCTTCACTATTGTTTGAGAGTTTTAAATCATTTTGCTCCATATTTCACAGATAACATATTTGTCTTTTTACTTGCAGCCAAACACAATGATGAGTACATCATGTATTCTACAGAAAAACAGGAGCTGCTGTGCATCAAGTGTTTCAGAGATTTTGAAAAGTAAGTTCTTAGATTTTGTAAAATGCTTTTCTCTGTAATTATTGTCATCTTTGTCATATCTATATTGCATAGAAGTTTTTCTAACATTAAAATTATGCAGTCATGTAACTTATTTCAATTAAAACAAAATAGAGGGAGGGGGGGAGCATTCTTAGTTTTCGACCCCTGTTAGCACAGGGTTGTGTTTCACAAAGACTAAGATTGACTTTAAGTTGGACTTAACTATGCTGACTGTTCATGCCACTGCTTGCTCTAACCATTCCTGCCATTGGTCTCTCAAGGGATGTACAAATCATGGTCACAAATGTACATTTTTTGATAATTCATTATTGAAGAATAAAATAATATTTAAAGATTATAATTGTGAGAGCAAAGAGTGGCACAAACGGCCTGCCATAGTTAAGTCCAACTTAAAGTCGATCTTAATCTTTGTGAAACACCCCCCTGGACTAAAATACATAATTTTCATTTTCTAGGGATGACAGAGCCTTCTGCCTTGATCTCGAGTCGGCCTACAAGCAGAGCTGCCGTCAGCTGGAAGAGCGCATCTCAACGATCCGAGACCTCCAGAGCTCCGTCCACGATGCGATCATCCTCTTCCAGGCCCTGATGCAGGAGGTGAGGAGCAACGGGGAGAAGGAGCGGGTCTCCATCCAGGAGCTTTGTGCTGAGATGCAGGAGAGGATGGTGGAGAAGAAGGAGGAGCTACTGAAGGATGTTGACAGGTAAGGCTATACATGACATGTCCTCTAGTGAAACTTAAAGGCCATCTGTACTAACTTGGCTAGGGGGATTAGACCACCCAGCAAGGTCACTGACAGGTGGCTATCTCATCAACTCACCTCTCACTTAACATAAGAAAAAGAGGATCATGGGGGACCAATGGTCACCGATTAGGCATTGTTTTCTATAGAGGGAGCAAGTAGCTACAAGTAGTACAGTGTGGCTTTAAAGGTATCATTTAACAATGCTAAATCTGAGATGCATGGCCCTATGTGTTATCAGTGTCTGTGATATGGTGTAGTATTGAAGCCCTTCAAAAACTGCGCTTCAAAATGATCATGAAGTGCCTCAAAAAAGTAAAATTCATTGAGTGACCGGTTTTACCATACTCATTTTCCCCAATAAACTGTAGTATTATAAAAACTGTTCGGAAAGCGGAAAATTTGATTTTGATTTCCATTCATAAATATCTTGATAATCAGACAGGGGATCGGCTTGTAAAAGTCATGGGGTTCCTGACTGACCTAAAGGTTTATAATTATGATCGCAGCATGAGCTAAATCCAGATTTTTTTCTTCAGAATCTGAGGCAATGTTAACGAGTCACTTTAAAGATGAAGTTGAGTTCTGGTCATGCGAATTGCATTGTGAAAGAAACGGTGTGGAATCGACCAGAAAAGGTTGAACATCTAGCATATAAGAATTTGTGTGTATTGCAAGGTTCTGGAATCGTCAAGTTGATAAGAAATTAGGCCAAGTCTTGGTAAAGTTACAAACACTGTACACAGACAGATGTATATGGGACTACACAAACACGTGGCGTAAAAATCCTACCCTGGATTTTTACGGTGTTACATGACATATTTAGAATATGAAGGCATTTGAAGAGCCATGCTTTTCAGGGAACATGTCTTTTCTGATGTTCTTCCACACTTGCATAATAAGAATGATAACGCTCACAAATTATTTTTCACCTCTTCCCTGAACTCAACCTTCTCTTTAATGCTTGTTCAGAAATGATGCCGTAAAGTTCTTAAACTGCAGTGGTTTTTGCGTGGCGTATCCTTGATCTTGATTGTTGTTCCCTTAGCTTTAGTTGTTCTGAAAGATAGAGAAGTTGGGCGGTAAGGGCTAGGATTGGGCCCACAAGACAGCCCTAACTTGAAATGAATTTTGATGTTTTTCATTCACAGCCAACAACTTCAGAAGGAGCAAGCGTTCAAGGACCAGCTCCCCAGTCTAGCTGCCTTGCTGCCTGCTCTCCAGACAAACCTTGCCATCAGTACCATGTTTGTGAGCGGTGCCAACATGTACGAGTTCCTGGATCTTAGCTCAGTGAGTACTTCTTCCTCCTTCCCCAGGAAAATAAGAATTTCTTGTAATAGTTACCAGAAAAATTAATTGTGTATGAAAAAAATGTAATACCTTTGTTTATCTTTCTGTTGGAAATGAAATAAATATGAATTTAATTTAATAATTATGATAACAATAATATGTATGATAACAATAATAATAAAAGCAACAGCAAACAACAAAAACAACAACAATATGTTTGTGAGCGGTGCCAACATGTATGAGTTCCTGGATCTTAGTTTAGTGAGAACTCCTTCCTCACACTAGGGACTTTCAGATTTGCACGCCGACATAGTGGAATGCTACGTGTGACATCCTTTTAAGGCAATGTGACGTCCTTTTAACCCTATTTAGCCCGGGCTATTTTGAAACTGCATAGCCCAGGGGGGGCTTCTCAGGCCCCCCCCTATGATCTCGGCCGTGAAACGCCCGATCGCCGCGAAAATTTGCATACATGTCAAGTGAAGTGTATAGAATACTATGGTAATTTCAATTTTTTGAAAAATTCACTCATTTGCATATTTATGGTAATTTATGCAAATAAGGTCATAAAATTCACATTTTTGCCCATAAATCAGACATTATTCATATTTAAGCATTCTTTCTCACTACATATATTTGTTAGACCATTTGGAATAATAATACAACACAAAAAATTGAAAAACCAGGGTTATTCCTTATGTTATCTATTGTTTTGATAATTTCTTATGTATTTCTTTGTTTTTTTTAAGTTATGTATTTTATTGTTTTTGTTGTTTTATTTCATTTCCAACTATAATTCAACTATTTTGACCCAAAAATAAACACCTAAACTATAAACAAGACCAAATAACCAATGTTTTATCTCTTTATTTGAAAAATGAGATTTACATATGTTTTGTACACAAATCACAAAAATGAGCGATTTTCGGGCTGACATGCAAAGACAAAAGGACACGTAACTTCGTAATGGTAGGTCCGATTTTCGAAAAATTTCTTTCAAAAGATGCGCAAGACTCGAAAGAAAAAAGTCACAAAATTTCAGTGCAAGATTTTCTTGCGTTAAAAAATTATCGCGAAAAATGTCGAGGGGGGGGCTTCTCAAGCCCCCCCCGGGCTAAATAGGGTTAAGGCACTGGCAGTGCCCGGCAGTGCCTTATTGCCTTAGAAGGATGTCACACGTAGCATTCCACTATGTCGGCGTGCAAATCTAAAAGTCCCTAATCATGATGATAGTAATGATAGTGATAATAATAATGATAATGATGATGATGATAATAGTAAAAATGATAAGAGCAACAACAACAAACAACAAGAACATGTTGTGAGCGGTGCCAACATATATAAGTTCCTGGATCTAAGCTCAGTGAGAACTCCTCCCCCACAGTGATGATGATAATAATATTAAGAGCAACTACTTTGTTAACTTCTTTGAGATTGATTTTATTCATTCTAGCTGTACACAAACCATTATGTTACCAGATGATTGGTACATTTCAACCATCTTGATGAACTTGTCCGGCAATGATTTCTGTAACTTTTCCAACAGTCCTTGAACGAGAGACTGGCATCCATCGCCAACCAACCCCATCAGCTCCGGCCCCAGGAGAGCGGGGAGATCAGTACCGACTACGAGGCCAAGTTCGCTCGGTGTCTCCAGCCACTGCTGCATATCCACCTGGACAACTGCGACGACTGCGGGAGCAGCTCGCCCATCATCCACGTTTCCATGCCAACGACGAGCGCCCCATCACCGCAGCAGCAGCCCCCAGCGAGGTGAGACAATGAAATCTTTGGGCCTTCAGTTGTTAGACACGATTCAGGGGTTGTACGATGCTTGCTCCTGCAACAATTTCCTACACTAACCAAATTTTAACTTCGACCATGGATCCAACACTGTACCTAACCCTACCCTTAACCTAAATTTAACCTAAAACCTAATTGGAATATTATCCCTAACCCTAACCCTACCCTTGACGAAATACAGTCTGGAGCAATCGTTGCAGGAGCAGTTGTCAGTATACCAACAAAGGATATCTCCTTCAAAAAGAATAAATAATGCTGTGGAAAAATAAAACTAGAAAAGATGACACTAAAAATCTGTATATTATAGATGAACCTGATTTAGGGACCACCTGTATATAGAAAGATCACCTGTCTGTAAAGTCCACATCTTTATTTTTCCTTGAAAGTAGTTCCTCATCTCATCTAAATTTTAATGAGCATATACGTAATATACATACATCAATATCAAGGAATATTGGAATACTGTATAAGTTAAAACAAATTCTTTCTGAAAGATCTATGATTATATTATACAATTCTCTAATTTTATCACATGTGATTTATTGTAATATTGTATGGGGTAATTGTAGCTTAACAAGAATTAATTCCTTATTTTTGCTTCAAAAGAGAGCGATTCGCATGATCACTAACTCACATTATATATCACACACGGAACCTTTATTTCAGCGTTTAAAAACATTAAAAATACAAGATATCCACATTTTTCAGACATGCATTTTTATGTATAAATATTCTCATAATCAATTACCATCCCTATTTCACAATATTTACAGTTTAAACTCAAACATTCACACATACCCCACACGTTGTTCAACAAATTATCACTTAGAAAATCCTAAAATACTTTTAGCACAAAAATCAGTAAGACATCATGGACCAGATGTTTGGAACTCCTTACCAAATTCAATAAGGCATTGTTCATCTCTCTATTCTTTTAAAGCATCTCTCAAAAAAACTCTTATATCGAAGTATCTACATAACTGATTTCAACATGCAGTAGGCAATTGTCAAATTTCGGTCACATTGCAACTCAGTTTTGCAAATTTTGTTTTCTATTTCGTATTTCTTAATTTCCTTTATTGTAAAGGCTGTATTTGTTTCTACTCGACTATACCACACAGAGCTACGTACACTTCCACTATTTGTTACAAACACATACAAACACGCACGCTCGCGTGCACGTGCACACACACACACACACACACACACACCCACCCACGCATGCATACACGCACACACACAATATACACTTGCACAACACACTCACCAACTCATACACAAAGATCGCTTGAACACTTTTTCATTTTAAGTTTTACCTTAAGATTTTTTTTTGTTTTGTTCTTGTTTTTTTTGAGGCCGCCATCCTTGTCAAGCTTTGCTTATGATTGCGGTCTCCTGCACTTTTCCACCAGAATAGTTAGGATAATACTTTAAATTTATGATAATATGTTATGGAAATAATAAGTTTCGTTATTATAATTATGTACATATATTATGTAAAAAAACATTTTGACATGAAGAAATTATTGTTTGTTTATGTTGTATTATACCTTACATGTATATTATGTTATTTGTTATTCAGTTATATTTTATTTGGAAAAAATGCAGAAATAAAATCAAATCAAAATTTAAACCTGTACTAAAGGAACCTCTACATAAAGAACCACTGCCTTTAAAGACCACTTTCCTTGTCTCCCTTGAGCAGTCTTTATATACAGGTTTCACAATTTATTACACACAGATCACAGAATACCGGTATGCATAATGACCAATGTTGCACACAGATTATGATTGCACTCTACTTGACTTATATTTCTACATGTAAAGTGATGTTTATTTTGCAACAGCATTTTTTTTTTTTTGGGGGGGGGGGGGGAGGAGGGGCATGGTTCAAGATAAAGTTGAGTTCTAGTCATAGAGGCTGTTCACACCGGCAGAGATAGCGCGCGCTAGACCGCGCTTTCTCTGCGGTGTGGAAGGTACAACGTCGTTTCGGTCGGCCCAACAGCGAGCCACGGCGAGACAAAACGGCGTGCCACTGGAGCACCTCTTGGGGGTGGTCCACGAGAGATAGCGCGGTCTAGCGCGCGCTAGAAAAAAAGGGGGTGCTACGATAGACCGCGCTATCTCATTGCGGTGTGAACAGCCTCATAGATTGCATTGTGTGAGAAACTGGAAGCAATAGGAAAATGTTCATGAAGCTTGTAATCATAATCAATAAAAAGTTACAAAAAGCTACTACAGTAAATCCTGTTTATAGCCACCAGCCAAGGGAACCACAAAATTGTTCTTTATAGACGGGTTCCTTTAGTACATGTTTCAATGAGGTTGTTCACACCGACAGAGATAGCGCGCGCTAGACCTCGCTATCTCTGCGGTTTGGAAGGTACAACGTCGTTTCGGTCCGCCCAACAGCGAGCCACGGCGAGCCAAAACGGCGTGCCACTGGAGCACCTCTTGGGGGTGGTCCACGAGAGATAGCGCGGTCTAGCGCGCGCTAGAAAAAAAGGGGTGCTACGATAGACCGCGCTATCTCATTGCGGTGTGAACAACCTCAATGAGAAACCATTTTCAAGTAAAACAAAAAATGTGGTCTTTGTAGACAGGTGGTTACTAAAGCAGGTTTGACTGTAGTTTGAAATAGCTGTTATTAGCTACTACTTTGGAATGAAATGTGTATCCAAGGAGTTCTGGAACTGGATGAAATAAATTCTTCCATATATCATCTATTGAAATACAGGAGAGAGCACCCGGCCCCACAACCCCTGTCCAGCGCATACATCTCTAGTGCCCTCGCTCGCCACCTGTCCTTGACGAACACCCTCCAGGATCCTCTGGCGGGGAAGGGGCTGAGAAGGGGCAGCAAGATGGCGGCCAGCATCAGACATCGCTTGCAGGAGGGCAACGGACCCTTCGTAGAACACTGCAAGGCCTTCGAAGCAAACTTCAGGGTAGGTAGTCAATGAGGGCCCTCGACTTATAAACAGTTGCGATTAATCGCAACTTATTTGTGATTAATATCAATCTCAACTATGTACATATGAGATAAGTGACTGCAAACTTGCGATTGATTGTAAGCAATGCCCAGGGCATCGTTTCACAAAACCATCATTGGTACAAGTTCACAGACTTCCCAATGAAGCTCGTTTTAAAATGAATAAAAGTGTTTCAATGGAATATCAGCGAACTTGCACATGTTCCAGTTTTTTTGTGAAACAACGTGCTGTTTATTCTTTGTAACCTTTCTACTTTGTCAGGGTTCAACATTTTAACCTAATTTCCTTGGTAATGTACTTATCGTTGGGAAGCTGATGTTTTTCTTCTTTCATGTGACACCTAAGACATGATCAATGAATCCATCATGCATCACTGACATCAGAGAGTCTGAAGTGGTACTTCAGAAACACAAGTGTCCAAGACAAGTGGATGGCTGTTATACATGTGGCTTTTTGTTTTGAAAAGGCAGGAAATGATGTTAAATCGTGTTAAATCATTGAATAGTATCTTCATGTACGGTTCACTGATCATGTTGTAAGTGTTGTGTGAAATTAGAAGAGAAAATTAGCTTCCTGAATGATGTGTACAATAATGGAAAGAAATCAAGTCAGATACAGTAATTTATGTAAAAAATTGGGTTTCTTTTTTCAGGGACACCCTGTATAGGTCATGCACCTATGAACAGGCAACTCATTGTCAAGTGCAGAAATGCATTTTATCAAAACTATTACTATAAAATATGATTAACTTTGCATAAACCAAACTTGTTGGGACCACAACAAATAGTTAGACCTAAAGATGCAAAATTCAACTTTGAAAATATAAATAACACACAATTTGCTTAGTTTGGTCCAAAAAATGGAATTGACTCGGGTAAAATTTGACTTTTGCAACTTTGAGTTATGCAGAGGTAATTTCTAAACTATGTCCATTCCATCTGCCTTTTAGTTGCTTCAGCATCGTATCCAGAAGATGAAAGAGCAAGTTCAAGAAATTCACAGGGATATCACACGCAGGAAATGCCTGGCAAAGAAAGAGAAGGTAAGTTAAAGATAAACTTGAGTTCTGGTAAGAAAAAGAAAATTAATTCTCACAGAATCAAACGAAACTTACAGTGAATGTTCAAAATTACAAATAAATGACATGTGCCAAACAATTTTGGAAGAAAATGTGTACTGGCTGAGTAATGAGCATAGAAAGACAAGGAAATCAAGGTAGTACTAGCCCCGACACTATGTGTGTTGTCCCATATATAGCTTTCTGTGTACAGTGCTTGTTACTTTACCAAGACTCGGTCAAATTTATTATGATTTTGATGACTCCAGAACCTTGCAGTGCACACCAATACTTACATGCTACATGATCAACTTTTTCTGATCCTTTCCACACCTTTTCTTTCACAATGCAGTCGCATTACCAGTACTAAAGTTTATCTTTAACCCTTTGCCTACAGGAACAGGGTGGTCCCTATATTAAGCCTATGGGAATTACAGAATTCAGTAGTCATGGGTTAATTCAAATAACATAAATATAAAAGAAAATTGGTGTATTTAAAGATACAGAGTAATAGTTCAAGGATAAATTGTGCAAAGTCTAAACTGTCAAGAAGGACATAACTTAGGATCATCAATTTGAAATAAAGACTTGATTATTTGTAAAAGTACATATTCATTGCCAATTGAAGTTCCCCTTGAAAAGAACCATGTAGCTTTAGAAACAAAACATGAATAATTGAAAATTAGAAATTCAAAAATTACTCAAATACTTGGTTGAAAATTACTTTAAGTTATTTTGAATTAATCATTTCAATATACATAATTATGTGTCAATCTGAATTAATATTGGATAAAATGAAATGAGACTTAAACTACATATTTTGTAATATTTATACAATTATAAAAGAAATCAAATCAATCTTAAGTCTTTACAAGACAGGGCCCAGCATGGCCAATTACATTTTAACTCACATTCTTCATAATGGATAAACAAGTCAAAATATATTTTTTTAATAATTGGAAGTTCAGACACAATAGAAATCATCTTATGATAATTTTCAACTACAATGTGGTATGTAATTTTTTATTAAATTGTGAAGGAAATAATTTGTATCAAGGCACTTAACAAACACGTATGCATTAAATGTGGTTTCATTACGAAAATGGTCTGTTGTTATGCATACATTCTAAGTGTGTATGGAGTAGTATAAGTTTGATTTTCCCCTCCCAGGCACAGGTAACACCAAATACATAAACTGCACTACTTATAGCTACTTGTGCCCTCTATTTCGCAAACAATGCCCAATCGTTGACCGTTGGTCCCCCATGATCCTCTTTCTTTTATTTATTGAGAGCTGATTTGATGAGATAACCACCTGTCAGTGACCTTGCAGGGAGGTCTAATCCCTCCTGGCCAAACTGGTGCAGACAGGCTTATTAATGATAATGATAATTTCATATCTTTCATTAGGTGACGGATGTTCTGGATGAATGCAGTCAGGTTGAAATCCAGATCGGTACACATACTGCTACGCTGGAACACATGAAGGTTATCTTTCAAAAGGTATGTTTAGAGTGCCCATGTCTGCGTAGTGCCCTTGTCATCGCATACATGTAACTGAACGATTCTTATGAAACAAAACGCCCATTAAACACAACATTTTTATCTCTATAATTGTGATACGTATTCATGCAACCAAAAAAATAAAATGGGTCTCAAAAGGCTTTCTATCATGTCAAATCTACAAACTGCTTGTAAAATGAATGAGTGCCCAGACATGGGAAACTTTGTTTTTGCTATGACGAAATGACATGGTCGCCTTGTGAATTTTTATGAATTATTTGCACATTTACTTTTAGAATTTAGGGAATAATACCAGATTTGGGTCCATACACATCTAAAGAATGATGTCTGAATCATAGACATCGAACATTCAGCTGGTAAACAAGCTTTGCATGTGTCGGAGAACAAGTCCATGTTTCTTTTCTTTCTTTTTTTCATCTTTGTGTACAGATATGGCAGGAGATGTTAGATAGGGTCTCTAGTGAGCAGGAGATCTACCAGAATCAGCTGAAAGACATGAACTACCTCAAACAGGAGAATAGTCACCTAGCAACCATCGCTAGGCAGATAGCACCCTACATCACCTCCATCGACGCTGTCACCAAGCAGATAGACCCAAGGTACCACCACAAACTTCCTTTTTTTTCTGGAGACATATCCATGTACATAATGCGACATTAAAGGGGGTGTAGCTTGGCAAATACTGGTTAACGCCATCTACGTCTTCTTTTGGACAACTGCACGTAAACGGATGGACTTGATTAATGAAGTTAATTAATCTCTACATGGTCAGCGCTAGCATTCGCGAAACAGACCAAAGTTCTCCTCACGCTTTGGTTTCACGTTTTTTGCACGCACTTGATTGCTGCCGTCGCGTCGTCGTTTTATACCTGATTGGCCCGAGTCAAGCCATGGGAAAGACATGTAGTCTCGTTTTGCTACATCCCCTTTAATTGTTTTATTTCTCTTTTTCTCTTATACTTGCAATTCATTATTTGTTGTATCTTGCTATTTTGTGCTATGCATTTATGTTCAGTCACAATGGATTGGAAAAGAAGGCCTTCAAGTTATAGTTATTTAGCTAAATCTCTTTCTTTTTCCTGGCATCCATGTGATTCAGTTCAAGCCTTATTGTTGTTTTCTATTTGCTGATCTGTTCTTCTCATTTTTCTCCTAATATTAAAACAACTTATTATCAGGTTGAAGTCCCCCTTAAACTCTGAATTAATCTAACAAAATAATGATAGGTTGTGTTGTTTAGCATGGTAGGTACATTTTATAATGAGAACCCAGATATCTATGTTTAAAGGTATAGACCAGTTCTGGTAATTGCATTGTGAAAGAAACGTTGTGGAATCGATCAGAAAAGGTTGATCATCTAGCATATAAGTATTACTGCAGGGTTCTGGAATCATCAAAATGATAATAAATTTGGCCCAATCTTGGTAAAGTTACAAGCTCTGTACACAGAAAGATGTATATGGGACCACGCGATATCTATCTAGTCCAGATAGATATGATAATTTACCAAATATATTAATTAGTAGGCGGTTTCCCTGCAAAATTTGTATCATCACGTATTAGTCAAAACATATTCTTTCACATGATTGGTAATAAGAGCTTCCATTTTATTCTTTGAGAGGGGGGTGTTTCCAAAACTGGTCTTTACCTTTAAAGTGCCTTGCCCTAATCTTATTTGTAATTATACAACTCACTCCCAGATCCTAATCAAATGATTGGTCATGCGCGGTCACGTGTGATTCACGTACTGAGCCTATTGCACTCGTTTTCATGAAAAGGAGTGCAATTTTTTCCAGTACTATTGAACTCGCTTTCAGAGCGCAGTAGTGCGCTAGAGGATAGAGCGCTTAATACTGCGTGAGCATGAGCCTATTCTTGCACAGCACTATGCGTAAGGTAGTGCGCTTGCTATATCTATAGCTATGTGTGCGCACTAAAATAAGCCTGATTTAACTTGAGATTTATTTGTCAGCCATGTACTGTCACGAAAAAATCTTGAATGAATTCTTTTTACATCAAATAACAAGGATCTAGGAGTTTCGTTGTATCAAACAAATGATGCATGTTTTCATTCGTTCATTATACGATCTATCCGCCCTCGTTGATGCTGTGTGTATCTATTGCACTCAGCCTAACGGCTTCGTGCAATAGAAACACACAGCCTCAACTCGAGTGCGGATAGATCGTATAATGAACTCGTGCGCATGCATCATTTGTATACTGTTTCATAACAAGTTTTAAAATATACGAGAAAAATAGCATGCTGAGTGTCGTGTTTGTTCTTTCACTCCCACTCACAATCAGGAGAGCCAATGATGGTGACGAGAAGCGTGACGTCACCAGATGACATCGTCCGTCTATCTGTCTCCCTCGCTTGTCACCTTGCATGAACTTTGAAGCCTTGACTTTCCATTCCTCCGTGTACCATTACAATGCCTTTGTGTGACCTTTCAACTATTAACCTTGTGTTTGAGACCATTGCCAATAGCGACCATCTCGTCTCAACATAAATCAGCATGGTATGTGTTTGTTTTTCTTTTGTTAATTGTGTATACCTCAAGATAGTGAAGAATTTGTAGGAGGATGAGGAAATCAGTAACACTTCCATGAAGCAAAGACATGAAGCATTTCATGTAACTTTTGATACAAATAAAAAATCAGGGCCCTGTTAAAAGCTACCGAAATCCTGGTATTTGTTTGGCTGACTGCAAATTTGCCAGGTTTTTTTGCAAAGTTTTATAAAAACAGGGCCCAGAAGTATCTCGTGTCTGCTATCAAATTTACCAGGTTTACAAAAAAAAAAAAATGAATTCAGCTACCACTTTCCATTCTCCTAAATCTGGATGTAGAGACTTAGAGACTTCGGTGGTAAGCGCTTTATAAGTAACGTTTTTATTATTATTATTATTATGTACTCCTGGCTAGGTTGTGTATTTACTCATTGCTTGCTAAAAATCAGACCCCAAAATCACCAATCCAGAATAAACACTAGCATGCAGTATGGGTCTTCAAAGTCTGTTTTTCTTCTTCGGGTAGCTCTCGCAAGATAGTCCATGTTAACAGAGTTTATTGTCCTAGAGTGGTATATAGTAGTGTTGCATCGTCTTCTACATATTCCTTAACCTTTATTAACAAAGATTGTTATAATATTGTTACATAGATCATATTAATGTTTGTTTATCCTTGCTTGTTAATGTTTTCATGATAATAATTTTTCAATTTTTGTGTTTCAATATTTGTTCCTCTTCGTTCTTCCAGATCAAGATCAGCAAGCCCACACGAGAGTGAGGACGAGGGGTCAGAGGGCAACCCTCTGCACATCACCAAGCTTGTACTCACCAGTAACACCAAGAACAGCATCACTGACTCTGCAGAGAGAGACCCTGATACAAGCCCTAGCCAGTCCCTCGTGCCACCTGATGGTGATACTGATGCATCACATGACACCCCCAGCGCCGTGTCACATGATGTGGATGGATCACATGACGTGCTGTTCCAAGGAGATGGGGCGGAAGCGAAGAAGGCATTTCATCGGACCTTGAGCGAGCAGGAAGAGTATGAACGGCTGCGAGCCAAGAAGATTGTCATGGATGCCATTATGTCCGAGCAGTGCAAGGAAGCCCTGAAGGATAGCGGTGTGAGCAAAGGTCCGGAGCCTGATCTTCCTTGCGGAAGCGGTCAAAGGCCACAAGCTACATGTAGCAATGGTGTGGAGGATGACCAGAAGTGCCTTGATGCTGATAGGAGGTTGACTGTAACCAAGTTGGACCTTGACGACCCTTGCGGAAGCACTCAAAGGCCGCAGTCGGGTAAATGTTTAGAGGAACCAAAGAGCTATGCAGATGCAGATAGGCATGTGAAAGTAACAAACAGTTTGGACACCGAACATTCTTGTGGAAGTGGACAAGGTCCTAAAGCAGAACAGGGTGCAGAGGAGACACAGAAATGCGGCAAGGCTGATAGGTTGTTGAAAGTTGTGGATGTCAATGGAAGCAGCAGTGATTCGAGTCATGACTTGGGGATCAAGAAACAGAGAGTGAAACGCGAGAGACTGGGTGATGAAGGGATTGTCCAGACGACTGTGACTGAAGCGGATGCTGAAGAGGGCAGCGTTTCTGTGAGTTCCCGCGTGAAACGGTTTAGCTTGAGCGACGACCAGGTGGAGATGGCTCAGAAGCAGCAGGCCGGTGCCTGTCCTGGCTCTCCGCGCCCCCCTCCTCGGGCACAGAAGGACGCAAAGCGTGTGGTAGTCAAACCGAACGATGCCGAAGTGAAGCAACGCTCGGTCATGAGCGTTACAGTCACAACATCAGAGGACACCTCCTCCACACACACCAGCACTCCCACTAGTATTGAACATTCAAAAGGAAAAGGACCAGTAACGGATGAAACGGAGAACATTGTGTTAAGGGTCAGGAATCGAAGAAAATTGAGAGAACAGGCCACCTTGGCCAATAATTCATGATTGCAATATGATTGTCGTTGAAAACAATTTAGAAAGCAAAGCCAAGAATTCATGATATCAATACGATAATTATAGGTTGAAGAAAATTGAGAGAACGGGATAAGATTGTAAAGAATTCTTGATTGCAATACAACTATCGCTTGATAAGAGTGTGGATGTGCCTTCAGAAATATCTAAGTATCTATGCCTTGAAGAGGATTACCTTTTTCCTTTAAACTGACAAGAACTGTTGTTAGTGTAAAGGAAATGAGTTACATTGTAACAGGATCATTACAGATTTTATATAGAGAAAAAAACAATGAAATGTTTGTGATATTTGATTATTTATTCATATGATCTATGTATTTATTTATTTATCAAAACCTAGCATCAGAAGAAAGTACACTTTCAAGACGGAATGAATTCCAAACTGATTCTTCAATAGAAAGCCAGGCACAGTAATAATCATCTTTCATGAAAATATTATGTTGAATTGATTCTCAGTCAATTTAGTGTATTTTTCTACCATTTAGAAACTTATTCTGAGTACTTTATTCTTGCCTTGATAGAAGTTAACCAACATTTTCCTTGAAATAGTACTATGAACTAATTTAAGACCAATTACATATCATAGGTTTTAGTTATTAATGCTTTTAAGCTCCAGGAGAGAATTTATTTAAAGAAAAATTTCCACAGGTCCCAGTGTTTGAGATCTCAATCTCTGGGGATAGCAGCTAAAAAATTGTTTTTTTTACGGTTCTTAGTTGTGTTTTGTTTCTTGTTTTTTGTTTTTAAGTTGTTTATATTTTTTATTTTTGTGAATTGTGATTTTTTGCAAGTTTCATTGCACCAAGTATTCATTGTTGAATCGAATCAGAGGGTGCCATATTAATAAATTGAAATGCATGCAAGTTTCTTTGCCACAAAAATGGTCAACATTAACAAATCACAATGTTTCATATTGCAAAGGAGGGGGGAGGGGGTCACATGTCCCGGATTGGATGGATTGGGTAGCTGTAGTTGGTGATTTGTTTTTGCTGTGGGTGTGGGCTTTAGAATCAGTGATGTTTTTTCTTATACCAGATCATGTGATAAATAACGGGTTTGTTTGTTGTGAAAAGGTTTCGAACAAATTTGTTTTCTTTCTATAAATTTAGAACCAATGGTCCTTCATCCATGTCTATGCAATACTATTTGTAAAGGGTTGTTCACATATGGCGAGGCTAACTGGCATTTTTTAAAATCATAACACAAGCAGGTGGTGCTGCGGGATCGTATTATCGTCCGTCTCTCATGACGTGTCCTACTTACGAGAGACTTTTACCTCTCTTAAGTATTCAAAGTCTCCGGTATCTATTTGTGTTTGATATTTAATCATGGTGGTAGGTTTTTTGTGTTCCAAGAGGAGGAGGAAGTGCAAAGAACGTTGAGGCGAGAGAGGGTTTCCGAGATAGGTCCAACCCATTAGATATTTATAACGACATAGAACGGAAGAAAAGGTATAGGTTCACCCATGAGGAAAATAGATTTGTTGACGGAAGACTTTGAAACTGGCACCAGAAGGAATCATGCAGCTCCTGGTACCCTTCAAGTGTTTATAGCCCTCTCTTTTTACGGGATGGGAGCTCTGTTTAGCAACACAGCAACAATACAAGTTTATGAAACACCCCCCTGGTTTGATCATACCATGGACCCATCTTTGTTTATGGGTCCATCTTCGTTTATGGGTCCATGGTGAAATTAATCAAAAGAATACTCGTTTTCTTATATGTAAAATGTCTTTAAAAGATAAACTGCTGCAGTTTTCTGAGTCATATGTGATCAGGCCATAACAGATGATAAGACAAAGTAACATTTTGTAGAATTTCCTGAGACGTTGTATTTGTTTTCAAAATGTTGAAGTCATATATATTATCTTTCTTGTTTTAGTCACTGAACAGCCTGGGACCTTACAAAGAAAGTGTTTTAAAAAATGGAAATTAACTTTAATATTCCATTTGCCCATTGTACCCATATTCATATTATTTAAAGGAGTCTCCCTGAGAAAAATAGAATTGTCATGAATTTTGAACTTTTCTTGTGACTTATTTACCTTAAAATGTGTGTGTTTATGAAGTATTTCTTATGAAAACCAAGAGCAGGCATCATTAACACATCATTTTCCACAAACAAATATAAAAATTAAAAAAACATAATTTCCCTTCTTTTTAACTTAATCTTCTCTTTCTTCCACTTTCCTTTACTATTCCCTCGCCGTTTGACAGATTTTAATGAAATTTGATATGAAGGTACATTATATCAAAATACAGGCTAAGTTTGATTTTGGCGTACGTAGGTCAAAGGTCATAGCTCATTGAATATGCGAAAAAATACACATCTGGTTTCCGATCGATAACTTTAGTAATGTTTGACAAATTTTAATGAAATTTAATATGAAAGTACATGGTATCAAAATACATGTACAGCCTAAGTTCGATTTCTGAGTATGTAGGTCAAAGGTGAAAGGTCAAAGCTCATTAAATATGCAAAAACACCTACGGTAATCATATATGTGAAAATGTGGTTAACTTCCTTGCCTAGTAATATGGAGGTAACTTGTTCTGACGTATATAGGCCATTTGTACCCTGCGAGGGGATGCTACGCTTTGCGTTGACTTGTTACTATACCATCTCTCTCACCCCACTATCTACCTTCTCAGCTTCTTTTATCTCTTTCTTCTTTCACACTCTTTCCAGCACAAAGTAGAGATACATATACATAATATTACAATTTCTCTCAACATTTAATATTACTGCCTCCTCATTTTTTCATTTCCATGATTAATTTTTCATGCATACACATACATGTACATTTACAATGAGTTTATATGAAATTAATGTGTTTTAGGGGTCACAGATACATTCTCAAGACTTGCTCAAAACTTATGTTCTTGACAGCACGAAATCTTAGATTACAGGCTATTCAAAACCTTTTTTCCCTTTGCATAATTAAGATATTTTGCATCTTGTTAATTTGCCATCGTGCCTCCCTAATACATGTAGTGTGTGGACAGTTGGACAAAATAAAAGAAATTCCATATCGACAGACAAACAGTTTTATCCTACATTTACTTGAATTTACATACTGCAATTTTGGGATAATTATTCAAACATTGAGTGATGCAAATTTGTATAATTCCATTTGTATAAAAAAAATGCTTGCACAAGATAAGCCATGAATCAACCAACATATGGAAAAATGTCTGTTCAATAACGCTTTTGAGGCTTTTGCATTCAGAAGATAACAGTCCAAACACTCATTTTTGGATGACATCTCAATGAAAATGAGAAAATGTAATTAAAGGTTTTCTTTCTAACCAGACGACACTCCCTGAACATAAAATCATTTGGTGAAGTGCATTTCTATGTAACAAATTATTTAAATTGAAAATTGGTGCAAAATAAAGTAAACATAACATGCCAATGTGATCATTCACTATGTAAAACTAATAAGCAAAACAAAGCTTTCAATAGAGAGAAAATATATTGCAAGTGCAAAGAAATTCATAAATCAAACACATTCATAAATATGACAAGTTGAACTGATTCCTATTGGTACAATTAAAGAGGTATGTTAATAATACTAATGGAAATGGCAGCATTATATTGCTTGCGACTTTAAGGTGGAATATAAACAAATTGAAAAGAAAGTCAGTCAAAATGCCCTGGAAAAATGGGAATGAGCATTTTTACCACTAACATAAAATTTCTTTGTACAAACTCAAGTCAACAATAAAAAGCAAACAATAAATAAATATACAATACCTTTTGCATTGGTTTCACAATTGTACAATACCAAAAACGTAAAAACAAAACGGAACAAAATTAATTAATTAGCTCAAAATATATAATAATATAAAATTTAAACTATCGGCAAAAAGGAAAGTTTAAGAAGAAAAAAAAATCAAAGGCTGCAAACTCAAGTCTAAATGAAGAATATTTACTAGATAACCTTGAGGTCAACATAAGGAACTATTAGGAGGAGCCAAATACTGGACAAATGAACGAGTCTAATTTTGTTTGCATAATGATTTAAAATATTTCCTTTTTTTTTACCTAATTTTTTCGGTGGTGAATCCATTTTTCTTTTTTAAAATCATGTTCTGAAAAACCTCATATCATGTTAACCAATTCATGGAAAAGAGAATGTTAAGTTAAAGGTAGACTATAAATGTGCAAAAATGATAAAAATACGTGGAGACGACAGAACGTAGAATACTCCCCCCCCCCCCACCTCTTATTTTTTTGTACAAGTCGATATCCTGGAGACTCGTCTGCAACCACCAACTGCTGCAGAGGGACAGCCGCAACGATACAGGCCCTTGGGAGGGAAGAATTCAAGATGTTTGTCCAGGTGGGCAACCCAGGACAAGGGGATAAGCTGAGCTACTAGCCTCTCACTTGCCAGATCGAGGATGGCATCTCTACATATTACAGTGTAGACATTGTACTATTGTTTTGCTTTTCTCCATTTCCTAGGTAAGCAATCACATTGTACTTATCATGCTTATCTGGTACAGACTATTTCCGTGTTCCCTAGTTACGTTTGAATTGTGAGGTGCCTGTGTGTGGGACGTCGCTCGTATTGTTAGATGTAACGCCATTGATGTTATGTTGTTATTATGTTTTATAATTTGTATAGTTGTGTACATTGTTTGTAATAAACCTGTACCAGTGAGCAACAAATTTCCATTTTAGTGGACAATAAATCAATTCAATTCAATTCAATTCAATGCAATTCTATTCTATTCTATTCAACTTACCTCAATTCAATTCAATTCAATTCAATTCAATTCAGTGGACAAGAGGTGGTGAGTGAGTCAGGGGAAGCCCCTAAAAGGGTATCTTGAAAGTAAAGTGGACTTGACTCTACCCAAATGGTGCAGGATCATGAGGTGTCGCTATCAGGAACGGGACAGGATCACTGTGTATGAGGAGTTGACCTCCGGCATGCAAGGATGATGTGAAAGTCCCCAGGACTTTGCCATATGAGGGTGACAAACTTTCAACAAAAGGTGGTGTTTGCTTCTAAGGAGGAGAATGGTGCCTTGCAGAGAGAACAGGAACAGCAATACAAGCATCAATGTGGGAGGACAAGTTGGAAGCTTTACTCCTTCTTCGGACTTACAGAAAGGAAACGCCTTCAAGCGATGAAGACGCCGAGACGGATTCTACTTTGAGCAGCTGAGCAGAGTGTAGGAATTGCTAGCCAGTATGTAGATACAACCCTGCTCGAATACAAGAAATAAACAAGAAAATAAGTCAAAATAATGTGGCAAATAATAAATGACATACTTCCCGGAAGGCAATAATGGAAATCTTATGATGAAATGCTAATTCTTTGGTGATGGTGAGGAGAATACTGCCTTGCGTTATGATGAAGACATTATGCAGAGAACATTTCTACTAACACTTAACACAGGACTCGAAAAGTTGACCTCCGGCATGCAAGGATGACGTGAAAGCCCCTAGGACTTTGCCATATTTAAGAGTGACAAACTTTCGACAAAAGGTAGTGTTTGCTTCTAAGGAGGAGAATGCTGCATTGCATTATGATGAAGACACGAAACAGAGAATGTTCCTACAAACACTTAACACAGGACTCGAAGAGTTAACTTTCAACAAAAGGGGGTGTTCGCTTCTAAGGAGGAGAATGCTGCCATGTGTCATGATGAAGACACTCTGCAGAGAAGTGAGAGAACATTCCTACAAACACTAAACATAGGACTCAAAGAGTTAACTTTCGACAAAAGGTTGTGTTTGCTTCTAAGGAAGAGAATGCCGCCTTGCGTCATAATGATGAAGACACCATGCAGAGAACATTCCTACAAACACTTGACACAGCACTCGAAAAGTTAACTTTCGACAAAAGGTTGTGTTTGCTTCTAAGGAAGAGAATGCCGCCTTGCGTCATAATGATGAAGAAACTATGCTGAAAACGTTTCTACAAACACTTGATACAGGACTCGAAGACGATAAAAATGTTGCCATGGTCGTGGCATCAAAGCGGAAAGAGAGGTAAAGACAAGTACATCACACAGTGCACAACAGAGTTTTTCATGCCCTGATGGCTGGAATCAAAGAAGCTCAGAGGGATGACTATGCCCTTGCATGATTGGTCATAATATTCATATACATTGACGAAAATAGGCCAATGAGCGATGAGGCCATGACGTCATGAACTCATGAAAATTAAATGATCATATGACATCGACAAAATGGCGTTCATTAGAGATTACGAAACAAAAACATTATTGACAGTTTGAAATATGCAGCACAGAGGCTCAAAATAGATGTCTGCAATTCTTTGAAGGCTTCTGCAATCTCATGTGTTCTATTAAAAAGAAGAGGACGTTGTTGTTGGTTTGCCAACTGGATTCAGGAAAAGTGCAATTTACCAGGCTTTGCCGTTGTCCTTTGACTTCCTAAGTTCTCGAACTGACTCAGCCAGGGACCTGGGCAAAATTTTTGCCAATTTGCATGGAAAACAGTGATTTTGAAATCTCCATTGCATTCCCATAGGAAAGTGAAAAGTATGCCGCAGACCTGCCGCAGACCTGCCGCAGATCTGCCGCAGACCTGCCGCAGACTAAAAGTCTGCGGCAAAGAGTATGCCAAAGTATGCGGCAGAAAGAAATTTTGCTGCAGACTTGCCGCATACCAGTATGCCACAGGAACAGTCTGCGGCAGATCTGCGGCAGGATGAAATTTTGCTGCAGACTTGCCGCATACTAGTATGCCACAGGAACAGTCTGCGGCAGATCTGCGGCAGATCTGCGGCAGGATGAAATTTTGCTGCAGACTTGCCGCATACTAGTATGCCACAGGAACAGTCTGCGGCAGATCTGCGGCAGGATGAAACTTTGCTCCAGACTTGCCGCAAACTAGTATGCCACAGGAACAGTCTGCCGCAGATCTGCGGCAGGATGAAATTTTGCTGCAGACTTGCCGCATACTAGTATGCCACAGGAACAGTCTGCGGCAGATCTGCGGCAGGATGAAACTTTGCTCCAGACTTGCCGCATACTAGTATGCCACAGGAACAGTCTGCGGCAGATCTGCGGCAGGATGAAATTTTGCTGCAGACTTGCCGCATACTAGTATGCCACAGGAACAGTCTGCGGCAGATCTGCGGCAGGATGAAACTTTGCTCCAGACTTGCCGCATACTAGTATGCCACAGGAACAGTCTGCGGCAGATCTGCGGCAGGGCGAAACTTTGCTCCAGACTTGCCGCATACCAGTACGCCACAGGAACAGTCTGCGGCAGGTCTGCCACAGGAAATCCCATTAAAGTCTAATAGGGCCAATTGAAACCAATCATCTCATGCATATTCATTATTACTTTACACGTGTGACAGAAAAATACATTTATCATGATTTGTTAAGCAAATTAAGACAATGCACATCATTTTTGTGATTTCTATTTTCCTTTTGCCATTATTAACCAATAGATTATTTTGTCTGATCATGTTACAGTTACATTCACGTTTAAGCAATAGATATATTGATTACTAACCAAGAAACTATGATTACTAACCAAGAAACAATATACATATTTAGTATATATATGTGTACGAGCCTGTGTCACTTTAAATGTTACTCTTGAATACACTTCAAATGATCAATGTGATGAAGTTAATACAATTGAGAATAGAATATACCTAATTGGTAATATCGACATACATATTGGTATTACCTAATTGGTAATATCGATATTGCCAATATCAATTATGAAGTATCAATCAGTTTATCACTGGTTCTTCTACATGTATACTTTATTGCCACGTACTGGATATGAAAGAGTATGCGGCAGGTCTGCAGCAGGTCTGCAGCAGGTCTATATGAGATATGAATATTCATGACGAAGAGTCTGCGGCAGGTCTGCGGCAGACCTGCCGCAGACTCTTCATCATACTGAAAGAGTATGCGGCAAGTCTGCGGCAGACCTGCCGCAGACTCTTCATCATACTGAAAGAGTATGCGGCAAGTCTGCGGCAGACCTGCCGCAGACTCTTCATCATATTGAAAGAGTATGCGGCAGGTCTGCAGCAGGTCTATATGAGATATGAATATTCATGACGAAGAGTCTGCGGCAGGTCTGCAGCAAGTCTGCGGCAGACCTGCCGCAGACTCTTCATCATACTGAAAGAGTATGCGGCAAGTCTGCGGCAGACCTGCCGCAGACTCTTCATCATACTCAAAGAGTATGCGGCAAGTCTGCGGCAAGTCTGCGGCAAAACTAATTTGCATGTGAAAAAGATGACTGTCTGCGGCAGGTCTGCTGCAGATCTGCGGCAAGTCTGCCGCAGGAGTATGCGGCAGGCTCATTTCTTTCCTATGGGATTGTCAATAGGAGGATTTTAGTGATCATTTTCCTTTAAAAATAATTTAGCATCAAACAAAACATACTGATGCAATCAAAATGGGCACATTATGTGTGGAATTTTTTCCTCTTTCTGCTCGTGTACTTGGTATAATTTTTAGGGGTCTGCATCAAAAGTTATTGGGCCAAACCGCATATGTGGACCCTTTGTCACAAATGGGTAAAGCCTTAAATGGCATGGCGTGGCATGCATTCTCTCTAAGGTGGCGAGATGCACACGGGACACCGCTTGCCGTTTGCCTCGTTTACATTTTCATTTTTATTTTTTGATGAATTTCAGAAAGGGTCTTATGATGATCAAGAGAGGGAACTTGAGGAACAGGCACCAACATTTCTGTCCTGTTTTAAGGCTGCTGCCATCTGTCCGAAGATTGCTACAGGTACTGCAAAACCGTCTGCACTAAAAACATAGAAAACTTTGAGACCAGGCATCATTGGGGCTGCAGGTTCTTTGCTGATGACGGCTTTGACTGTAAAGAGAGGAGGATGCGGGGGCAAGGCAATAGTTCACTTGCAAGCAAGGGGTCTTTCTGTGTCTGAGACACCAGGTACCCTTTGGCAGCAATTACAACGGCAAAGTACATAAGTGGAGAGAGTCCCTTGAACAAGACATGAAGAAAGAAAAAGAACTAGTTAATGATCCAGTCGCCCTGGATGCTCACAATAAATCTACACATCTTGGATACATGGTAAATGGGGACAATGTTGATAATATGCATATAACCCTAAGGCAAATGTCCAGGAGTGAAGGCTCCAAAGATCTGCACTATTTTCAACACATTCCTGTGAAAAATAGAATAGCAGACTTTTCTCTTTGGGTCAATAGAGGCAGATGCAGCTTTCAAGTACGACGATGCCACTTTGGTGCAGGGGAAATTTCTCCACTCTTGGCAAGGATCAGTAGTGATTGTATCAGGAGCAACCTGAAGACTAAAATCTGAGAAGTACGGGGGGGGGGGGGGGGGTATTCTATGTTCTGTCGGTTGCCAAAAAATAATTTGGGACACAACCCAATTTTAACTTTTGCACAGAAATACCTGCAGAAAATATCATTCCATTCTTGTCTACGACCACTACAAAATAGTTTTGCAACACTCATCTCTTTATGGCTGTTAAATTCCACATCATATCTATGAAAATGCCTTCTGGTTTTAACAATTAAAATGAATTGCAGCTTTCAAAACCTACCAAATGTATACACAAGAATGGTTCTGACATGAAAATTTATAACTTGAACAAAATACAAAATTATTCACAAGTCAAAATCTCTTTACAAATGTATGGGAAAGGCACAATCATTTTGTTACAAACATATGATACAAAGGAAATATACAAAAGGAATATGCATTTTTTAATCATAGAAAACACGGTCACAACTACTTTCTAAACATCAACCCAAGGCAATTTTAATGGCCTTGAACATCACCTTTTGGAATGTGCAATCATGACAATAAGTGATTTCAAGTTGGGTGTTAGTGTTAGTGTTTAGAGCAGTCAAAAGCTTTTAAATCAAGCTAAAAATTTGCTGATGAAATTAAGGGCCCGATACAGATATCAATATCGATAGCTTAACATTAACACCAAACTGGAAATCAACATTTGCTTAATCCCTGGGACTAGTGTTAGTGAATAGGACATTTGTATGTAAGATATAAACACCAGCCACAAAGGTCGGTTTAGCAGACGGTGATTTTGCAAAATAGATAACACTAGCTACCGTGAGTTGACAATATTCAGAGGTCAAAGCCTTAACACCATCTGATTTCCATTTCGGTGTTTAGGGCTAGTGTTAACATCAGTCCTAAGCACCCAAATTGAAATCACTCAATGACATATTACATAATCCAAGCATGATTTCTAGGGGACATACAATATAGTATTGACATTGCCCTTGAGTCATTTTCTTTACAGTAGTTGTGATCGCGCTAGAAATAAATTTCAAAATGAGGTTAATAAAACTCAGCTTGCTACATCATTTCTTACAATTCCATTTGATCACCCTTCATCACATTGGGTATACCAGAAACAGAAATCCAAAACCTCAAGTAACCCCATCACGGTTTTGGAAAATGTTTGTATTAGATTCGGTGAGATTCAGATTGGGTGGGGAAGGGAGTTGCAGAGTGGGGGTGCAGCAAGGGAAAGCTCTGTCACCCCAACTCTTTCTTCTAGGTTCTTTAACCTTTGTGGAAATTGAGGAGGAATGGACAGCTGCAAGTGTAGTTAAAGAGGGATGAAGGAGAGAGGATATACAAAGGGCCAAGGTTATGAAGTGAACGGTAGGTGAGCAGTAACAATTTATATTTTATAAGATTTTCTATAAGAAGTCAGTGAAGATTCTTAATGCTGCTATAATATTCTTCCAAAATAGGTAAAAAAAGAAGAGCAAGTTTACAAATTATTGTCTTCGTTACCATAAGTCAACCTTCTCCTAATAATCAAACACGCTATGAACAACAAGTTAGTAGTTAATAGAGGATTTATCTTAGTATAACACTATAACTGCACCAATCTTACAATGGAAGCTCATGCATGCAAATAAACAACACTTAGACATAATGTTCGCCATGGAAATGGAAATTCATGAAATCTCCTGTATAGAACCAATGGGAGAGGAACTAGCAAGATACTTCATAGCATTGCCAATTTGTGTTTGATTGAATAAAACTTGTTTTGAAATTTTCATCATATTTTGTTCTTGCTTTTACTTATCTAGTTCTCTCATTTTTCTCCATTGAATAAAATGAAGTAAACTTTCACTTTAATACACCTCCAATTGGGCAAATAGGGATACATAGCATACAATTTGTTTGACAATGTTTGACGTTGTTTTACCCGACTGCTAAGAAAGAATATAAGCTTGTAAGTAAGCAACTAGGGAACCAACAAGTGTAGGTCCTCTCCGTGGGACTTGGTTCTTGTGTGCCTGGCAGAGAAACATGAATGAATGCACCAAAAGCGATAAACTTTTGAGTAAAATGAATTCCAACGTAACGACGATTCTTACTAGTCCTTTACTATCAAACAATAATATTGCATTCTTGTATATTTCATATCAAATTATGAAACACTGTATAATGTTTCAACATGCTTCCAAAGGACTTTGGATATTATTACCCGAGCATTAGCCCTGACAAATGTAGCGCTTAAAGCATTCGAGGAACAAATCCTTTAGAGTACCCACTTCCTAAACCTGGGTCAAGTGTGGCGAATGTAGATTTGAATTCTTGCCAGAGGACATTGGTGCCATGGCAGAGGATTAAACACTGAACTTTGTGATCTACAGTGTGGTAACTTACTGAACCACCACACCTCGTATTATTACTATTTCAGAAATCAAAACTAAGAGCATATAATTTTGTCGTCATGCCCCTCTGCCAGGCTCACAAGAACATGTGGGCTTTCATTGCGATCCACCGGATTTATCGCCGGATATCATGCTGAAAGGATACGTACATTATACTGTACAATGCTGTAGATATTTGCAGGCATCACGTTATTTGGTCACGGCGGCTCGGCTCTTCTAGCTTTGACATCGCCACGGTCATAACTTGTAGCCTTGGATGAAAGGTAGCATGGTGCCGACGCGCTTCTGGTAGTCGACGTACCGCTGGCCGAAGAAAGCTATGAGCGTGATCTCCTCATCCTCGACCCGCTCGTTGAAGAAGCGCCAGGACGTAACGCTATACCCAAGACAACAGACTGGATTGCATAATATCAACTGCAGAGGAAAAAAAGGCACCATACACTAAATTAATAATCTTTCAGAGGAAGAAATCAAAAAAGAAATCAATGTGATATAAAATTATTTTGGTCAAAATTCAAATATTTGTATTTTATCAAAAAAATACATAGAAGACAGAAGTAATCTTACTAGCATTCTGGAAAAATTGTGAATATATTTTTCAAAACTTTTTTGTTCCCACTATGTTGTAAAAAGTATTGAACAAACAAATGAATAATAAACAAACACATAAATTAGTGCATAAATGTAATAAAAAAAATAAAAGAATAATTATATAAAAAAATTAATTAACTTTATTTTCTTCTGCAACATACAAATCAAATAACATTTCAGCAATATTACATATAAGATATAACAAGTTTTGTTATTGTGTATACAATATATAATAAATGATGACATTAAAGCAAATTTTAACTGATAATACAATACCAATAATTATTCATTAGGAAAGTTGCAGGAGAGAAGGCGCTATTACAATTAAACAAATGCATGTTGATACGTATATAAAAACAAACCTGTGTTCCAATGCTCCAGTAGAACCAGCCCACATAGGAGGGATGCCTGGACAAGGAATAGACCCCGCGAGTGACTAGCTCATGGTCATCGGCTTTGGTGGTCTGGATGTAGTGATTGAAACTCCGGCCAGCGGTCAGCATGGCGGACTTCCGCAGGAACTCTCCTCCGCCCGCACACAGCAGGATGCCAAGAAAACTGATGTACCATAGTGATTTTAATCCTAACAGAGAGAGAGAATATGATATCAGCGGGAGCACTGTGGTATGTTGGTGAAGGCTCTTGGGACTCTCGTACAAGGGGTCCTGGGTTCGATTCTTGCTCAGTGGTTACATCCTTGATTAAGGTGTCCTTTTTCCCTCTTTGTCCTTTTCCAGGTATAAAATGGGTACCTGACAATGCTGGGTGATAAGTATTCGGAGCCTGCAGGTAGAGCAGTACCAATACATGGCCCTGTTGCATAAACTTACCATTGATGGTAACTTCCATGGAAACCTTGATTTAAATTTGATGTTGAATGAATGATGCATGTTGCCATGGTACTTATACTGATGGCAAAGTTACCATCAATGTGAAGTCTTATGCAACGGGGCCCTGATGTGGCTAACTGGCTATCGTGTTTTAAATAAGACCCATATAGTATTACTATTCAGGCTTCAATATTTGATGAGCGATTGCTTAAATAAATACACCAAAAATGAAGCACATGACACTGAAGGGGTTAATTTTTGACAAAAGATTTCACATCGTCGTTTTTCAAAAAGAAATTCGCTACGGTTACTGAGGACTATCCGAACAAGCCTCAACACCTAATCTTACCTGGGAAGAAATAGAGCTCGATGAAGAACTCCAGCCAACTAGCGAAGGCCGCCACATGGTACGCTATGCTGTGGTTCAGGAGGTAGGAATCGAGCGAGAGGCTCTCGTAGTTGTAGATGCAGGTGCTAAAGAACTCTGAGAAATGGAAGAAACTGAGTATGACGAGGTACCAGCCAAACGGATGGAACGTGTTGGACGAGAAGCCAATGATGAGACCTGTCCCGGATAAGACTCCCAAAAGGCAACCCTGGAATGCGACCTGGTGGATGACATAGTGAGAGAGAGGAGCAAGACGTGATAAGATGGAGTTTCTTTAAAGGTAAAGACCAGTTTTGGAAACACCCCCTCTCAAAAAATGAAATGGAAGCTCTTTATTGTAGTGGTACGCTGATTTGGGCAACACATTGACCTAAAGGGGCGCTAGAGCCATAGAAGAGCCGGGTCGGGTCGATTGATTGTACGGTTATTAGTTTGACCTGGTAAACACCTAAAAGTTAAATAGTATTAATTATGTTTCCAATAGTATGCCGGGAACGGGTAAACAACCCCTGGTTTTGAATTCTTGCATTTGATAAGCACGTTGGAATGAATTCCTGCATTAAAGGTAATACAAAGTTTTGGTATGGGGTCATGAATTTGGTTCAAATGAACATATTGGAAGCATATACGATCCTACAATATTCAGTGATTGTTGTCGCGGTCGAAATCGACTCTAAAGTTATGAAATTGTAAATAATAAACACTTAATGTTGAATAGCTCCCTCTCAAGGTCAAGATATTAATTAAGCTATAAAACAATGTTTATTGACTAAAATTGACTGATTAGCTATTCTCGTTCGGAAATTATATACCACAACTACACACTATGAAAATGACTGACAATGAGAGCGGACAAAATATACAGTTCCTCAGGTAGACAAAGGAACATCCCTTCACTGCTATTATGTAAAAATGTGTAGAACAGGTGTCACATGCATATTCACCTTTTTACATAATAGCTGTGAAGGGATGTTCCTTTGTCTACCTGAGGAACTGTATATTTTGTCCGCTCTCATTGTCAGTCATGTTCATAGTGACATACTCTGATATTTTCATGGTCGCAGCTACCATTGTACGGCCGTAGGAGCTATTTGAAATTTATCAAAATTTACCCGTGCTCCTTTATATTCAATTTTTCTCGAAAGCAGAAGTGTTTTAGGGGCTAAAATTTCTGGTGTTTTTAATACATCCACAGGGGCATCCAAATATATTAAAATTGTAAAGAATCACTATCCACCCATTTTTCAAAATTTCCCAAAACTTTGTATTACCTTTAAGATGTACAGGTGTTCATTTCCGATAACACGTTAGACAATAGACTGTTTTTCCGGGGACCTGACATTCTCCCGGAGAGATAGACTCCTCCCATTTTTGTCGGTATACAGTATACATGGTATAAATTTTCTTCCAAAATTGTTTGGCACATGTCATTTATTTGTAATCTTGAACATTCAATGTAAGTTTTGTTTGATTCTGTGAGAATTAATTCTCTTTTTTTTTTTTACCAGAACTGGAGTTTATCTTTAAGTTGCTGAAAATGCTTTTGATACTAGCATAGACCTAGGTCTAGATAGACTATAGAAGAACTGCAATGTCATAATTACACCACTGCCTTATTGTGTGAAAATTACATCGTTCAAATCTTGATTGATCTACAAATTTTGATGCGAGTTTGGCACAGTAACTTTCTAATTCTAGAATATTACTATTAGGATTGAGATGAGATCAAGCATTGGCAGCATATGCTCCTCTATTTCACGTAAAATGTTGGTTGCGCAGACATAGAGCCCCCATCATGTTTTCCACACAACTTGAACAATACAAAACGGATACGAGGCAATTGACAAACATATTTTGCAGCACATGGGACAATGCATTACCTGCCGGGTGAAATACGTCTTGTAAAAGATCCAGCAATATAAGAAGTTGATAAGTGCATATACGACGATAGATTCAAGATATCGCTGTGAAAATATTTCAACAAATGGACTGATGGTTGGATAACTTCTCAACATGAAATATAAGACAGATATGCAGTTTCCCTGGATAAACCAGCGAAGGCTAAACGTAGCTTCTGACGGAACCCTAAGCGCAGCCATCTTTTCCCCCTTTTTTGTTCTTGATGGTTCGATCTTTCGGTAGGTATAGGATACCCTCAGCTCCTTTTTGAATGATCCCGAATGAATTAATGAATGAATGCATAATATATAGGTCTGTACTCTCGAGTTATAAGTAACCGATAGAAAACCGGGGCTAACCATGATTAACATGATGGAAAACATTTCTCAAGTTCCCCATGAGGATCATATTGTGGGGGGGGGGGGGGGGGGGGGGGGGGGGGGGGGGGGGGGGGGGGGGGGGGGGGGGGGGGGGGGGGGGGGGGGTGGG